TCTGATGAAGCTGTGGAAGAGCTGCACGCATGCATGGAATCTACAGACTGGGACAGACAGTTTGGATGAATATACGGACACTGTGACGTCATACATTCACTTCTGTGAGGATAGCATCATTCCAACAAGGACCAGGGTCATCTATAACAACGACAAACCCTGGTTCACTGCTAAACTCCGGCAGCTCAGGAAAGCAAAGGAGTCTGCTTTCAGGGAGGGGGACCGCAGCGGCTACAAAGCAGCTAAATATCAGTTCAGGAAAGAACTGAAAGCAGCCAAGTCCCGGCACAGAGAACGACTACAGGAGCAGTTTGGTAACAACGATACTGCTTCTGTCTGGAGGGGCCTACGGGAGATCACCAACTATAAGCCCAACGCCCCCCCCCCTGTGCCGACGACCACAGACTGGCCAACGACCGGAACAGGTTTTTCAGCCGCTTCGACGCTGCCCCGGACACCTCCCCCACCCCCCACTACTCTAACGACCCACCCATCAGCCCTGCCCCCAGCCTAACAATAGCCTCTAAAGCAGGCATGTCAAAGTCAAATACATCAGAGGGCCAAAAAAACAAATTTGCTGCGAGCCGAGGGCCGGACTGGTTCAATGTTTATTAACTCATTGCCTGCCAGCCTATTTCAGAACAGGTACTCCCATATTGCCAGCAGTTTCTGATGATTTTTATAGATTTTTCAAGAACCACAGAATATTGTGTACTATGACTATCTGAAATCCGAAACCAGATTCTGAAAGAATAGACTGTCTACTTTCATCAGCAAAAATAATTTTGTTTCTAGCTTGTAATCCCCAGTTGAGTAGAGGGAAGTTTTACTGAAATCACCAAAAAGTTGAGAAAAAAGAGGCACAACAAGTGCATCTAGCTGTTTTCAAACCATTCAGAGAGCGCTGCTGCCACCTGCTGGCTCGATTCAATATGCTCTCAAGCTTATCCCCAAACATATTAGATATAATAGACATCTGGGAACATGAAAATAGCGGAAAACGCAATTGACGTTATAGTGCGTCAATGGCAGGCAACGGGCCATGTAAAATTCATTCGCGGGCTGGATTTGGCCCGCGGGCCTTGACTTTGACACATGTGCTCTAAAGCAGGGGTGCTCCCACTTTTTCAGCATGCGAGCTACTTATAAAATGATCAAGTCAAAATGATCTACCTACTATAAAAATGCAAAACATATATATATTTCTAAATATATTGAGGATTCTTTATATCTACAATGTATGTTGATGTACATGCAAAACCGCATGATTTATGAAATAATTTGCATTTAAGCACCGCCTCTGGCGGTCATCCAGGATTCATAGAACCAAAGTTACGTTCGTAACTTTCGTTCTGTAGCGGCACTGTCATAGTAGAAACTCAGGGTGAAGACGTGTTATTATAGATCCATGGTGAAGACATATGTTTACAAGCATTGACCCCAGTCCTCAGCCCTGGTTTGATCCTGGTTTAGCTCCTGTTTTGGTTGTTTTCGAGCGTGTGTGATCACTTTGCTGCTCTCTGATGTGGAGCGAGGATCGCTGCTGTGAACCGCTGTTAAGGCAGTATGATCCATGCTTTAGTGATCAGAGGTCGCACGTTTTGTTTGTTGTTGTTGTTGTTTTGGGGGCAAACTGTGCCGTGCAAAAACGCAAAACTCCGGTTATCTCTGTCCACACGCAAATGCATAAACGGATTAAAAAATATATATATATGTAATGCGATCTTCCAATACTACCTTTGCGATCGACTGGTAGATCGCGATCGACGTATTGAGCACCCCTGCTCTAAAGAGATTAAACAACTCTTCTTGAGGCTTTGCGGGGGAAAAGCTCCTGGCCCGGACCACGTGTCTCCGGCCACTCTGAGACACTGCGCCAGTGAGCTTACTCCTGTGTTCACTGACATTTTCAACTCCTCTCTGCAGTCCTGCCATGTCCCGGCCTGCTTCAAATCCTCCATCATTGTCCCCGTCCCGAAGCCCAGGATCACAGGACTCAATGACTACAGACCTGTAGCACTTACGTCTGTCGTCATGAAGTCATTTGAACGCCTGGTTCTCTCCCATCTCAAGTCCCTCACCTCCCCCCTCCTGGACCCCCTGCAGTTCGCCTACAGAGCCAACAGATCTGTAGACGACGCCGTTAACCTGGCCCTCCACCACATCCTACAGCACCTGGACTCCCCGGGGACCTACGCCAGAGTCCTGTTCGTGGACTTCAGCTCTGCCTTCAACACAATCCTGCCATCCCTGCTCCAGGACAAGCTCTCCCAGCTCAACGTGCCCGATTCCACCTGCAGGTGGATCACTGACTTCCTGACGGACAGGAAGCAGCGAGTGCGTCTGGGGAAGAATGTCTCGGACTCTCGGATTATAAATACAGGAGCCCCACAGGGCTGTGTTCTTTCTCCCCTGCTCTTCTCCCTGTACACCAACCACTGCACCTCCAGCCACGACTCCGTGAAGCTGATCAAGTTCGCGGACAACACCACCCTCATTGGACTCATCTCCAACAACAATGAGTCCGCCTACAGGAGGGAGGTGGACCGGCTGGTGTCCTGGTGCAGTGGTAACAACCTGGAGCTGAACGCCCAGAAGACAGTGGAGATGTTTGTGGACTTCAGGAAGAACTCTGTCCCCCCTCCCCCGCCCTCCGTGATGGACTCCCCCATCACCTCTGTGGAGTCCTATAGTTTCCTGGGCACCACCATCACCCAGGACCTCAAGTGGGAACCGACCATCAGCTCCCTCATCAAGAAGGCGCAGCAGAGGATGTACTTCCTGCGGCAGCTCAGGAAAGCCAAGCTGCAGTTCTACACGGCCATCATTGAGTCCATCCTCACCTCCTCCATCACCTCCTCATCACCTCCTCCATCACCTCCTCCATCACCTCCTCATCACCTCCTCCATCACCTCCTCATCACCTCCTCCATCACCTCCTCCATCACCGTGTGGTTCGCTGGAGCCACAGTCAGGGACAAACAGAGACTACAGTGCATTGTGCGCTCTGCAGAGGAAGTGATCGGCCGCAGCCTTCCATCGCTGCAGGACCTGTACGTCGCCCGAGCTCGAGGCCGGGCTGGTCGTATCACAGCCGACCCCTCTCACCCTGCACATGGACTATTCCAACCACTCCCCTCTCACCTGCACATGGACTATTCCAACCACTCCCCTCTCACCTGCACATGGACTATTCCAACCACTCTCCTCTCACCTGCACATGGACTATTCCAACCACTCCCCTCAGGCAGGAGGCTGCGGTCCATCAGGACTAGAACCTCCCGCCACAAGAACAGTTTCTTCCCCTCTGCTGTTGGACTCTTGAACACTTCTTAACCTGTCCCCCCGCCCTTTATAAAGTCACTTTACTGCCCATCATACGTCACTTTACTTCACTGTACTGCTGTCACCTTACATGGTGTGCACCATGTGCACTTGTATATTGTAAATAGTAACTGTAACTCTATTTTAAATTTAAATTTATTCTTTAGAAGTGTTTTTTATTCTTATTTTTATTTTCTCTGACTGTTGCACTGAGCCAAAGCAATTTCCAAGTCTGTGACCTCCTGTTACTTACGTGGCAATAAAAATGATTCTGATTCTTCTGAAGGAGCGCTAGTTTTTGTAAAGAGGAATGGGCTAAAACCATGTGCAAATCTTGTGGAGACAAAAAGACTTGCTGCTGTAATTAAAGCAAAAGGAGGTTCCACAAAGTATTAACTCATGCTGTATGAATACTGGTGCAGGCCCAACTTTTCACTTTTCTATTAAAAAAAATCATGTCATTTTGCTTTCACTTCACAGTTGTCTGTTAATTGTGTGTGAACTATCAGTAAATAATGGTTGTAAACAAAATGTGCAAAAGTCCCAGCTTTTGCACATTCTACAAATATGTTTGCGAAGGTACTGTAGATAGATATAGATACTTTATTGATCCTCGTCTGAGATATTCAGGTGTAACAGTAACAGCAAAAATTGATCATTCTAAAAAGTTAAAAGTAGTAATAATCAGGAACAGTCCTTCAGGTCAGAGCAGCAGAGGTGGAGTAGTCTCTGGGTGGAGCAGAACGGGTCACAAGGTGGAGTAGTCTCTGCTCTGGTCCAAAGTACGATGCTAAATGCTTCATTAGCATTTTTCAAAAACATAGCATTCCTCCAGTGGATTTTCATCTCATCCGCGTGGTTCGGACCATGAACCCTCTCTGCTCTGGTCTTGACCAGTGTAAAACCATGAACTCTCTCTGCTCTGGTCTGGACCAGTGTAAAACCATGAATCCTCTCTGCTCTGGTCTGGACCAGTGTAAAACCATGAATCCTCTCTGCTCTGGTCTGGACCAGTGTAAAACCATGAACACTGAACTGCACCATCTCAGATAGAAAAAAATAAATAAAAATAAAAATTCTAAAGCACAAAACAACTGTTTGAGCTACTTAGGACCTGCAGCCGTTTTCCAGCACATTCAAAGTAAATATGTAAATATGTAAATATGTGTAGCAATGATCAAATATTGTAATAGATAGTATTCTGTAGATATTGATTGTACTTGTATCATAGAGCAAGTCAAACAAATTCACATATTTTGCAGTGTTTGTGTCTGAATCATTTTGACAATTTAAAAATGACAAACACTGTGACTCCAATTAGAGTGACAGAGTTCCAATTACATATTATATATAATGTGTTAAAATGATTGCTATATTTCAGGCAAGTCAAATTATCAACCATCGTCCTTAATTTTAGATTTGAACTATTTTTTCCAAATACTATTTATCAAGATTATTTTTTCTGCACATTTTAAAGATTTTGTGTAAAGATACAACAACATTTCGTGGAAGATAAATGATAAATGACATGAAACTAGTTCCTCTCTCACCGCTTCTGACACTAGTTTTCACATTTTTGTTATTGAAGTTTCAGGGCTCCCTTTTTTCACGTCAAATTTCTGAAAAATTACCCTAAACATAAACTCTTCTGTTATGAATAGAAATGAATCCAGTACCGTGGTGTGGATCGGCCTGGTCCACATGTTTCCTGTACGTGTTCCACCAGACTGGTTGGTCGTGGGCCTTCTGAGCCTGTTTGAAGTAGCCGATGTAGCTGCGGTATTTCTCCGAAGACTCCAGGTTCTTCACGTCGACTTCTTGGTTTGGCAGAGGGCCTGGAGCAGGGGCCCGGCGCAGCCACAGAGAGCCTGCAGGTGAGGATGGAGAGGTTAGTCTGTCAATCATGCAAAGACTACAGAGCACTGGTATAAGAGAAACCAGGACAAGAAAATCTGTCTCACTGCGGGGACATGTTGCAGTTACATTACATACAATAGGAATAAAAGGAACTCTCAAACAAGATAAATGAAAAAGAAAAACTCATAATTACACACATACATAATACCGTCACAATCAGACTAATGTAGAGCAGCGGTTCTAGTCAGAGCTCCGTCCAGAAATATGTATAAATAATCCGTTTCTAGACTGTTATCTTTTTTTTTTTTTATCCTGACCTACCTAAAATGAAAAATAATAAGATAATTAATTAATCACCTACAATGCATGGTACCAATGCCATGATGCAACTCTCAAGGACATACAATATAGACGAGACGATCCTTCTATTTGTATTCAGACTATTCAAACAGACTATGGTAAACTAATATTTGAAAGTTTATTTAAATGTATATATAGATCCGGTCACTAAAAAGACATGCCGCACTATCCTGCATCACTTTACTTTATTCAAACAGCCTTAGTATTTTGAACAGGACAACCGACAGACAAATGATTTTTTTTTATTACGCAAATGAAAAAAGGCAACATAATGAAAACGTACCAGTTGTGGACAGTGTTCTTGCATTATTGAGCCCCACTTGCGACCCGCTTCTTAGGGCGGACAAACCCAGTGTGCACGCTGCCATCTTGCTCTACTTCTGCAGGGAGGTACGGTGGCCCCAAAGATCAAAACACACACTGCACGGGATTACTTTGTTTAATCTTTAACGTTCTAAGAATATTTTGATTACTGTTAACATTATTTTTCTTATAGCTATAGTTCCTTTGTAATTCAGTTCTGATTCATGACTATGGTTTAATAAAATAGGGCAGCCATTCCCAAACTCAGTAACACCGAGGCCCCCTTAAAAATCTGACGGGTCTGCGTGGCCCCCCAAAATAATAACCAAGAAGACAACATTAAGAATAGGCTCTTCTGGTTATTTTATTTTGGGGAAATAGCCTCTGCTACAAACATTGTAATATAAAAATGATTACAGTGGATTATTCAAGACAAATAATGACCACAAATATTTTAATATTACAAACAAAACGTTATAAATTTAACATTAAATAATTATATATATATATATATATATATTTTTTATGACCTCCCGCGGCCCCCCTGCAGTACCCTCGCGGCCCACCAGGGGGCCGCGGACCCCACTTTGGGAGACACTGAAATAGGGAAACAAACGGAAGTAAATTAAAACCAACAAACATTATATTTTATCCACTCAAATCCCTGGAATCAAACAAATTTAAGAGATCAAGGTACTACAGACAAGACAATACAATCTCAGAGTAAAAGTGCATCGAAAGGCTTCATAGAACAGTTTTCATTCATTCATTCATTAGACATGTTTTTTTTACCTGACAGTACGTGAACGCAGCATTATTCGTCATCACGCTGGATTCCGATACCGAAATTCAATCGGTGTGATCAAATGCACTGCTCGGGCTCATTCTAATGGTAAGTACAGTTTTGATCTATTAAAAGCAGTTAAAATTGGTCATATGAGCATTTAAATGAGACTAAATCTAGATCGCTCAGGCTGATTAGAAGTCGTCCTGTTGAACCTGATGTGTGCAGCCTGTGCACCTTTACAGCATGCTAACAGCTAGCTGTCATCGCTTTGTTATACTGTGGCTAATGGCATTCTGTTGCTACTCAGCTGTAAGTACCTTAGCCTTATTATCTCCACTATATAGTGTGTTCCATGCATTTAAATCATTCAGTAAATTAGAATTATTGTTAATATTAAAGGTATCACCACAATAAAATATGTATTTATTTTTTTATCTGAAAGGGTACAAACAGTGGCTACCAGTAAACTGACTATAATTTAAACTAATACAAATAACAGTATTATTATCGTTATAATTCATAATAACATTATTATTACCACTCTTATTATTATTATTAACATTATTATTATTATTATGAATAAGAATAATAGTAATATTAGATGTTATTGTTATTATTTGTTGTTGTTATTCCTGCAAATCTCAGAAACTAAACTGTAATTGTGTTTTTAGGCACACCCACAATGCCTAGAATGAGTCTGGTGTGTATCTGAATGATTGGTGATGGTCAGAGGGCCTCTCTTCTATCACTCTGCTCCAGGGCAGCTGTGTTTTTACAGTAGTAGCTCAGTAGTAGTTGTATTAGCGTTGTAGTTGTACTAGTAGCTACAGCAGCTGCTTCGAAGTAGTATTAATAATTGTAGTACATCTGTAACAGTAGCAGTAATAATCAATTGATTACTGTTTTATAAATAGTATCTAATTAAAATTAGCCTTTTTATTTTCCACTTTCAGCTCATTATTCCAAAATGGACGGCCCAAATATGATGACCTGTGCCATCTGCTTGGAGTATTTTAAGGACCCGTCCACCATCCCGTGTGGACACAACTTCTGCCTTGCCTGCATCAACTTGCACTGGGACCGCCAAAGTAAGCAGGGCACCAGCCTCGACTGCCCTAAGTGCAAACAGGACTTCCCCAGCAAGCCTCAGCTGTGCCGGAACATGGATCTGAAGGAACTGGTGGAGGGGGTAGGCAGCTCAGGACTTTACAATGCAGAGGTTGTGGCGGCCAGGGCAGACGGAGGCAGCGACGCACCCAGAGACCGGCCTCCCTGCCACCGACACGGGAAGCCTGTGGTGTTCTTCTGTAACCGGGACAAGATGGCGGTGTGCTGCGAGTGTGTGGTGAAGGAGTGTGCTCAGCACGACAAGAGCATGCTGGAGGAGGAGCGTCAGAACCAAGAGGTTTGTGGGGTTCTGTAATTTAGTTACATTTTTGAGAAGCCCATTATCACAACATTGATCCTGAATTGGTAAAACTCAAAACATACATCTATCTTCTATATGTATGTTTTCTATGGAATCATGCCGGTGTCATGCTGCCTCAGAAAGTTACACAATGTTTATTACAGGGGTGTCCAAACATTTTATCCAAACTCTTGAATACACTGGAGCAGCACACCTCACGCCAATCCGCGCTTGTGAGTCTAAAATGCATCTATTTGGGAAAACAGAATCAGAATCAATGTATTGCCATTTGCAGAATACACTACATTGGAATTCAAACAGGAGACCCCGGGGGAACCAACACCACAAAGCACACACACACAAACAAAAAGAATAAAAATAGTGATACACAGTGAGGCAAATATAAAAGCACGATTGAGAAACTACGAAGGAGCGACGAAGAGAAGCAGATCTCAGGACGCTCTGTTCAGTCTGAGGGAAGAAGCTATTCGCACGGCGGGTGGTCTGCAGGGACCAGAATCTTCTCCCCGAGGGAAGAGGCTGGAACAAGGCGGCTCCAGGATGGCCAGAGGAGTCATTAACAATCCTCAGTCCTCCACAGCCCTTCGAGCAGAACCACTTTGTTCAGAGCTCTTTTCTTTGGCTGTGATGCTGCTGAACAACACAGTAATCGCACCAGCAAGCATGTGTTTGTTTAACACTAGATTAGCTGCTCACACCCACAAACATTAGGAAAAGGGTTGGCAGGTTTGACTGTGATTCTGGACATCCTTTTTTTCCTTTCACAAAGTCTTGCGTCTGACCACAGCAGCTCAGAGCCATGAGGACTGTCCTCTGGTCTGGCCACACAGGGACAGCAGCTGCGTCTCTGTGCACTCTGCCGGTGTGTCTGCTGTGTGTGTAAGCTAAGTCTTATATTCTAAGACATGGAAACTCAATGTTGGCAACATGTTCATTTCCCTCAAACCTGTAGATTTTTTATTTTATGATATTAGATATTAGAACTGTATTCATCTCACAAAGGAGAAATGTACATGTCACATTTGGCACAGATAGAATCACTGAGATTGTGCAAAGACAGAAGTGTGAAACATGTTAAAGGTTAAAAATAAAGTCTTTGCAGGATATAATTATGTACAATAAAAAAGGCAATAGCACCACGTTTTATTGTACATGAATATATCCTTATAGTGACTTAAAGTGACTTATTGTACAGTCTGACAGCGGTGCGGATGAAGGCCCTGCGGTAGCGCTCCTGCTTGCACTGAAGGAAGGATAAAGAAAGGATTGAGATTTATATTAAAATCAATCTAAATATCTCTTTGGAGGAATGGTTTAGATTATCCAAAATGTTGAAAAATGTAGATTATAATGTTGGCTGCATCGCCCAGCACTATTTTGAAACTCTGTCTCTTCAGATGATCCTCCAGAAGAAAGAAAAGGACATCGAGAGACTCATCGCTGAAACAGAGAAAAGCCTCGAGGATCTGTCTGAGAACATCGACCAAGCAAAGGCAAGACAGTCCCACATGTCTCCTCGCCTCAGAGCCACAACCCTCTCTCCTTCTGCAGGTCAACCTTCAGCAAACGTCCAGTTGGGTCAGCACCAAGTTCAGCAGCTTCATCAAGAGCCTGGTGCAGAAGCAGGAGGCCACGGAGCGCTTCATGGAGGAGCAGAGCCACAGCACCATGGCCGATGCCCAGAGCAGACACTCGCAGCTGGAGGAGCGCGTCCAGAGGCTGCAGGAGAACCAGGAGCAGATCCAGGCACTGAGGGGGCTGTCCGACACCCAGCTCATCCAGGTCCTCAAACAATCACACATTTATTTATATTATTCAATGAGTCACTTTTAAATCTGGGGGCGCTGATTTACAAACGACAACACTGGGAATTATGCACCGGTGCTCTGTAAATTGGGCCAACCCAGAAATAGATCAACCCATTTACATTAACACTTTGAAGAAAGACATCTAATATTTAGGGTTTTTCTAAAATGTAGAACACGAATAACACAAATAATTAGCATGTTTTTATTTTTATTTTTTGGACCCCTAATTTTATTATTATTATAGGCCTTTACCAAATGGTTGAGAATGAGATGCAGTTTTTTGGTAAAAGTGCCCAAGATAAAAAGATACGCCCAAAAGAGGTATATTTCAGTTCCAAACATGCTTAAAGTAGATATATTGACTCACAATGTGATCTACCAAATGGTTGAAAAAACAGTAAAGGGTTAAGGGGATAAAGATGGATGGATGGAATAATAATTTTTCCATCCATCATATTAAGAAGCCCTGATTTAAAGCGTCCCTGTGAAGTGGGATCCTTCTTACACACTTCTCTTTCTCTTTATTTATTTGTTCATTTATTGCTCATGACCATTTATATGGTATGGAGCATAAGTTACAGAACAAAACAAAACAGCAATACATCATTTTAACAAAGGAAGAACATTTTTTAAAAATGCTCCAAGTTTACAAATGATTCTAGGGCTTCCATTTTGCAAAAGTCCCAACATTTTTTGCATTGATGGATATTTAACATGATACTGAGGTAGATAACTGTCTCTGTTTACAGCAACTTCATATGACTCCTGTGCACAGGTTACAAAAACATAAATGTTTGTCGATGCGTTTGAATCATTCAGTGATCTTAGATAATCTGTTATTTCCAGTTCTTAAGTGAACAATAGACTTTCTACAACTCCAACTGCACATTTTACTGTTACAGCTTCTATGGGAGTGACCCCGAGAAGCAGAAAAGCATAATCGATAATGTGGAAGTAGTGAATGTTCTGTGTTGTTGTTGCAGGAGTCGAGGTTTGTCAAAGTGCCCCAGTTCCAGGACGTCTCCACAGAAGTGAACCCCGGCCTCCAGGAGCGGCTCAGCGCGGTCACAGACGTCCTGACCCGAGTGTCCAAGCTGCTGCACGAGGACCTGGAGCGGGCTGTGGGGACCGCTCTGGCCGACAGACAGGGTGAGGCTGGGGGGTGAGAGGGTGAGGCCGGGGGGTGAGAGGGTGAGGCTGGGGGGTGAGAGGGTGAGGCTGGGGGGTGAGAGGGTGAGGCCGGGGGGTGAGAGGGTGAGGCTGGGGGGTGACTCCAAAGCTTCTCTGACCAATGAGCTTGTGGCATCCCTCTGTTTATCTTTCATAGAACCAAAGACCTCCACTTTTTTATTTAACTTGAGAAAACGATTGCTCTGGCTTTGGCTGCATTAATCGTTGGTGCTATGAGACGTTCTGTGACAGTTTAGTGTCATGAAAATCAAAATGGACCAAGGGCGGGTCTTTGTGGAACTCCATTCAGTGGTTGAAATGTTTTGGAACTGCATGAAGCGACCAAAAATGTCACAGTAGTCACTTTGTCCGCCTGGGCCTTAGCTTCTGATTGACGTGGAGGTGTCAATGATGGATGTCCAAAACTTGATGTGATTAAAGGTGATTTCAATGGATGTAATAGTTCCACAGGTTCCACAGTTGTCCACAAGGTTAATCCACTGAACAAAACACCAATCCGTAGGACATGTAAACTCAAAATGCAGTAGTGCAGTCAAAAACTGTTTGCCTATTAACCCAGGCTAACTCCACCCCGAGGTGCGCCCCCATGTGGACATTTAAGGCAATGCACTAAACATAAGAATATAGCAATAAAAACAGAATCAGTGAAACTTATGATCAGCCCAAAAATAGGACAACAGTAGCTAACTAAATTGGCCGCGACACCACATTCCAAAAAAATCTCTTTCAAAACAGAAGATGAAAATGTAATTAAATCAAATGGTTCACTTTATTGAAGGCTGCTGTCAAATCTAGTAAAATGTAAACTTTACCATGATCTAAGTCCATTGGAATGTCTCAGTCCAACGATGGGCTCTGAACCCAAACTGAAAAGATAAAAGTCTGTGGAGAAGTCTGTGAAATCCTATGATAAATGGCAGATTCGGTCTATAATTACAGTGTAGAAGGACCCAACATGAGGGGCTTCACCACAGACACTTTGAGAGACTTGGGGAAGACACTGGACCCCATGAAGTATTTAAGATAAGAGTTCCTTTATTCGTCCCACAGTGGGGAAATTTCGTTGTTGCAGCGCACATATAGGACAGAAGTAGGAGCACACAAATATGCTAATTAAGTTGTAGCTATGTTTCTTAATCAGCTGTAAATGCTGTAAATGCTTCAATAACAGTCAAAATATCTATATGTAGTAGTACGGGGTTATATACTGTACATATAGAGCAGGATAATAAGTAGATAAAGTAAAGTGACATTCTGAAGTTGCAGTATTGATGATTTTAGTATTTACTTATTTACAGATGAATGACATTTACAGGTTCAGCAGTTCTCATTGTACAGTCTGACAGCAGCAGGAAGGAGAGACCTGCGGAACCTCTCCTTCACACAGCGAGTGAGAATTTATATGCGTCAATATGCGTTGCTATAGTAACCCAGCGACCACTGCTCCTGACCGAGGCCCGAGGGACAATGAAGGTAGAGCTGAACGCAGAGGACACATTTCTCTATAGACTATGGTGACAAAAACGTTATCTTTTGATTTTAATAAATATGGTTGACATTGTCCCTCAGTCCTGGCCTCCACTATTGGCTTTTCACAAAAACAACACCGTTTCCTGAGACAAACTGTGTGTGGTTAAATCCAGTGGGAAACATGGAGCTCCATCTTCATCAGGTTATGTTGTATTTTGAAAACAGATTCAGATTCATTTTATTTGCCATTTGCAGTAACACTACATTGGAATACATTAGTAAAAGTTCCCAGTGTGCACAGGACAAGTACAGACACAAAACAACATTAAAAGACAAAAATAAAACAAATTTTAAAAGCAGTAAACAAATGTCACTGTGAAGTTGACCAACTTAAAACAGATCTATACAAGTGCAAAAACATTAAAGTGCTCTATTCAAACTGTTAACAGCTCGTGGAAAAAAACTATTAGCATAACGAGATGTCCTGCATCTCAGAGGACAGTATCTTCTGCCAGAGGGAAGAAGCTGGAACAAGGCTTTTCCTGGGTGGCCAGAAGAGTCATTGATAATTCTCAGGGCACTGTTAAAAAGTCTGGATTGATAAAGAACCTCCAGGACAGGAAGTTCACAGCCTACGGTCCTCTTTGCAGAGCGGAGCACCTTGTTTAAAGCTCTCTTTTCTTTATCTGTGACGTTTCCAAACCACACAGACACAGAACCAACAAGTAAACTCTCAAGGGTGCAGCGATAAAAGTTCAGCAGAATCTTAGAGTTAGTGGTAAATTCTCTAAGTTTCCGCAGGAAGTAGAGACGCTGACGAGCTTTCTTTACGACCCGGTCAGTGTTTTTAACCCATTTCAGGTTAGACAGAGTTAGACCCAGAAACGTACACTCCTCTACAATCTGCACTTGGGAGTTATCGATTGCGACAGACAAATGAGAACTATTGCGACTAAAATCAAAGACCAGTTCACATGTTTTGGATGCGTTCAGCTGGAGGTTGTTAGCCTTACTCCACTGAACCACGTTTTGGATCTCGGCTCTATAAGACGATTCATTGTTATTACTGATGAGACCGATGATGGTGGTGTCATCAGCATATTTAAGGATCAGGTTAGAGTCTGAGGAAGACACACAATCATTGTAAAACCTGACAAACCTCAGTGTAAAATAGAAATGTGGGAGTTGTCATTTCAGACGAGTAGAGTCACTATCAACATAATGGTTGTGGTTTTATGAGTGTGATTATTCTGGTAGTTATTGTATTAGTGTTACTGTAATTATAGTTGTTATAGTAGTTCTTGTTCCGCCTCCCTATAATGAATTCTGGGGCGGTCCATTACAGCAGTGTTTTATAATTAGGTGTAAGGAGAGGAGTCCATCTTTAATGTTGTATATTCACTGTAACAGGTTTAATTGTATAAGACAAAAGTGAAAATTTTGATTAATCTTTAAAATATGTGTGTGTCATGTGCGTGCCTGTTTGTATGTGTCTGTGTGTGTGTACGTGTGTGAATCGTATGTGTGTGTGTGTGTGGGCGTGCGTGTCTGTGTATGTCTGTCGTGTGTCTGTGTGTGTGTGTACGTGTGTGAATCGTATGTGTTTGTGTGTGTGTGTGGGCGTGCGTGTCTGTGTATGTCTGTCGTGTGTCTGTGTGTGTGTGTACGTGTGTGAATCGTATGTGTTTGTGTGTGTGTGTGGGCGTGCGTGTCTGTGTATGTCTGTCGTGTGTCTGTGTGTGTGTACGTGTGTGAATCGTATGTGTTTGTGTGTGTGTGTGGGCGTGTGTGAATCGTGTGTGTGTGTGTGTGGGCGTGCGTGTCTGTATGTCTGTCGTGTGTCTGTGTGTGTGTGTACGTGTGTGAATCGTATGTGTGTGTGTGTGTGGGCGTGCGTGTCTGTGTATGTCTGTCGTGTGTCTGTGTGTGTGTGTACGTGTGTGAATCGTATGTGTGTGTGTGTGTGGGCGTGCGTGTCTGTGTATGTCTGTCGTGTGTCTGTGTGTGTGTACGTGTGTGAATCGTATGTGTGTGTGTGTGTGGGCGTGCGTGTCTGTGTATGTCTGTCGTGTGTCTGTGTGTGTGTACGTGTGTGAATCGTATGTGTGTGTGTGTGTGGGCGTGCGTGTCTGTGTATGTCTGTGTGTGTGTGTACGTGTGTGAATTGTATGTGTGTCGGTGTGGGCGTGCGTGTATGTTTACACATGTGTATGTCTGTCTGTGTGTGTGTGTGTGTGTGTGTGTGTGTGTGTGTGTGTGTGTGTGTCAGGCTCTCCCCAGGACAAGCGGCCCATCCTGGCGGTGGTGCCGAGTCCTGCAGCTCCCTTCGTCCCGGGCCTCAGAGAAGGACTGGACACCTGTGAGTCCCACTTTTCTACATTGTTTTCATTTCAAACTTTAGATAAACTCAGCCATCTTTAAACTCCCTGTAAGTGTCTGTTTGTCTTCAGCCCCATTCGCTCAGGACCAGTACCACCTGTGGACCCACTTTTGTGTTACCCGCAGCACATTCCCACTCCATAAGTCTGCAAATGACTGTATTTTCACTGATATCAGACTGTACTGCACTGGGCACAAAGTCGTGGACGAACACTTCAGAAAGCTGTCATTGTTGCAAATGTCCGCTGAGGCTAAAGCTAGTTTTATCTTTGTGATCATAGTTAGACTTCTTACTGCATGTCTCTAAATACGTCCTCCAGGCCAACGTCTTGTAAGAATAGTCTATCTTCTTGGATCTTCTTATCGTCCCTGTTGATCGGTTTCCATGCTGCGATATGGGCCCGTATAATAATAAAATAATAATATGTAATTTGCTGCTAAAAAGCTTCAAAACTACCGCAGTCTCCATTGTTCAAGATATTGACAGAAAACTATGTAGAAAGTAGAAAAGGGAGAAACTGCAGTAACAATCACTGAGCTGCAGATACACACAGTATTAGTATTATCACTGAACGTCTGTGTTTGGACAAATGCAGTCATTTAAGGTGGAATTTTTACTTTCATTTGCACAGGAATAAGATCACAGGCTTCCTCCACAATTATCACAGATCACGAAAGGTTTTTTACTGAAGAGTTTTTCCTTGCCGATGCAGGAGGGTCAAACAGGCCGTGGTCATGATCCAATACACTCCACATTTATGGACATTGGTCTTTGCCGCTTATGGACCAACAGCTCTGTGTTTTTTATAATTGCATTTCTTGTATTTGAACGGTTTTTCTCTGACCTGTGTTGGCGAATACAACAGATTTGTTAAGTCCTCTGAGACAGTCCTCTGTTGTGATTTAGGGCAATACAAGAATAAATATAACTGAATTGAGGTAAAACTAGTCTTGTGCGAATAGGGCATAAGATAATGAGTATGTTTCCTAAATGTAATAACAGATTTATTTAATAGCAGAGAAACCGGAAGTCTGCTGTCGATGTGCTAAAGGTGGAGCTTGGAAAGTGAGAGGCCTTTTTGTCACAATGTCCTCCTTATGTGGTTGTTGCAGACCGCTGCGCCCTGACCTTTGACCCCTGCACGGCTAACGCTAACCTGTCCCTGTCCCACGGGAACACCCGGGTGGAGCACCTGACCTCGGGCCCCCGGCTGCTGCCCCCGGACGAGGCGCGCTTCGACCACACCTGGCAGGTCATGTGCTCTCAGGGCTTCCAGCAGGGGGTGCACTACTGGGAGATGGACGTCTCCAAGCCCTGGGCCTTTGTCGGGGTGAGACACATCATGGTGCAGTCTCTCTTTAGATTTAGGAAGTGATCAAAGAATTATTCTGTATACAATGAAGAGAACTGAACAGAGCTAGTTAGAAATGGTTTTCCTTCTTGTTGGTAGAACTTGTTAATCCATAAAATAAACTACAGAACTATACATTGGATCTACCTGCTCTGTATCACTATCATGGGTCTGTTATAATGTCTGTGTGTGGTACTGCAGACTAAATTCAAGTGGGTTAACCAGAAAAACGTCCCATAGAACTCAATGTAAACTAAAACAGCTCAACCTGAGCTGACAGAGAACCTGACAGAGAACCTGACAGAGAACCTACAGCTTTCATAAAGACCGGATTCTGTGCAGTTTTTGTGTCTCTTGTCATCCTGAACTTGTTTCTTTCTTAAATCCATCAGTTTTCTATAAATCTGTAATGCAACAAATTCTGCTTGTTTTCTTCCCGCGCTACTGAGCACAAGCCATTCATTTGAATAGGACGCCATCTTGGATCACCCGGGCTTATTCACGATTTACTACCCCCTGTTATCATCTTGAGACTAAATCCAGCTTGGTGCTTTAGTCTGGGCTAGCCTAGCCGCCTAGCTCCATGGCTACCTCTAAATCCCCTTTGGGATAATTTTATTGAGCCCAAACTCAGGGTCGTTTTCTGATCATAGCAATAGCAGCAGCAATTGAGTGGAGTTTTAGAATCCAGGGTTACGTTATTTAAACTGCGTGTCAGAGCTACAGCCTTGCACTAGCATTAGCCCAGCCTTGCACTGGCATTAGCCCAGCCGTGAAAGGGAGCACAGCTGCCATGTTAGACCCAGGCAGGACAGGAGCAGCGAGCCCAGCTCTCAGCCCACTCCATGCAGCCGGGACAGAACAGGATCGGGGCGGTTTGGTGACAGTTTGGGGAAGGTCATGTGTTGTTGAGTTTAGACACCCACAATAGATTCCACCCTCTGTCCGGCAGTGACCCCTTGTGGCCGGGCGGGGTGGTCCTCACTGTGCAGGACCAGTGGGGGAGGGTCCCAGCTCAAAAGTGGCCAAAATGACGTGCGCTGACATGCTGCAATACCACCCCGGGCCTGTGGGGGTGGACCCGGAAGTAGAATTAGCCAATGCTAACATATAGCATTAGCAGACCTCTGGAAAACGTCTTTACAGGATGGACCAAAAGTTGTCTCTTGGCCCAAAGCTCCGTTCCACATGTGTGTCAATGCTGAGTGTTCTGGACCACTCTAGTTTAGTCGCTGTGAATTTTTGAAGTCTCTCGTTCAAATGAATGGAGCTGCTCCGGCTGACGCATGCGCAGATGCGTTTTTTCACTATTTTCTTGTGGGCGGGACCACTCGTTGCCATTTTGGATTGCTCCAGTAGAGCACATTTTTTGGCCCATTAGTTAGAACGGTGGAGATAGTGACTCTGTCCATTAATATATACAGTCTATGTGCAGGACGCTGGTGATTGGCAGGTTTACTTAGAGGTAAAGATCCCAGACCCCAGTGTGACTCAGTGACGTCATCAAGAGTGCAAAAGATAACGCACTCTTGATGATGATGATGCTTCCTCTCGTTTATTTATGTGAAGCACTTTGAGTTGCCCTGTATAAAGAAACTCGCCATGTTTTCTGTTATGATGGAAACGACATGTGGTTGAATTGTCAAAAGAGCAGTGTGTAAACATGTGGCCAAAAGTGGTACTGCAGCCTCTCCCACTCTCCCTGACTCAGGTTGCCAGATATGCAGACGAATCCAGCTGGGACCATAACAGCTGAATAGACAAGAGTTTTGTCAACAACAAATCTATAACCAACACCTTTTTCACAAAGATAGAAATCCTGGTTTTATTCCTTGTTTTGTCGTTAATGATTTGAGAATCATAACGAGACCTTTTTTAGTTCTGCGCCATATGGTACTTTACCAGTGAGATTAGCTCCATGCGGTGAGTTCTGGCGCCCAGATCACAGACTTTCTGATTGGTGAAACGGTGGAGGGCGGGACATCGAAATGAAAACAATAACAAGATTTAGAGGCTGGAAAAGTAACTTAGAAATTCAAATATCTCTGAACTACTGTTATCAGTTAAAGAAGTATTGGAAAAGAGCAGTTTATTATTATGACAGATTAAGGCCCTTTAATGATGACAGATTAGGGCCCTTTAATGATGACAGATTAGGGCCCTTTAATGATGACAGATTAGGGCCCTTTAATGATGACAGATTAGGGCCCTTTAATGATGACTAGACATGAAAATCTTACACACTGCTTCTTTGACAACACTTTTCTCTTATGACTCAATCTGAAGAAAAAAAACATGTATTATTTCTGAACCAAAGCCTTGAAGCTCTCTCACTCAGACTCTTGTCCCAGGTGACGTACGAGTCCATCCCGCGGAAGGAGAAGGGCCCGCGCTGCATGGTGGGTCGTAACGAGATGTCGTGGAGCCTGCAGTTGGACGAGAAGCAGCTTAGCGCGTGGCACGGCGGGCGTCGGGAGCTGGTCAACGCGCCCTCGCCGCCGCCCTGCCGCATCGGCGTGCTCCTGGACTACGACACGGGCACGCTCACCTTCTCCGGGCCGCACCAGAGCCGCCTGCACGCCTTCCACTGCGCCTTCACACACCCACTGTACCCCGCCTGCTGGGTGGGGGAGGGCGTCAGCGTCAGGCTCTGCTCCAGCGCCACATGACCTCCTCTGAGGGAGACTGAGGGACACTGAGGGACGCTGAGGGAGACTGAGGGACGCTGAGGGAGACTGAGGGACGCTGAGGGACGCTGAGGGATGCTGAGGGAGACTGAGGGACGCTGAGGGACGCTGAGGGAGACTGAGGGAGACTGAGGGACGCTGAGGGAGACTGAGGGAGACTGAGGGACACTGAGGGAGACTGAGGGAGACTGAGGGACGCTGAGGGACGCTGAGGGAGACTGAGGGACGCTGAGGGAGACTGAGGGACGCTGAGGGAGACTGAGGGACGCTGAGGGATGCTGAGGGAGACTGAGGGACTTTGAGGGAGACTGAGGGACGCTGAGGGACGTTGAGGGACGCTGAGGGATGCTGAGGGAGACTGAGGGACGCTGAGGGAGACTGAGGGACGCTGAGGGACACTGAGGGAGACTGAGGGAGACTGAGGGACGCTGAGGGAGGCTGAGGGAGACTGAGGGACACTGAGGGAGGCTGAGGGACGCTGAGGGAGACTGAGGGACGCTGAGGGAGACTGAGGGACGCTGAGGGATGCTGAGGGAGACTGAGGGACGCTGAGGGAGGCTGAGGGAGACTGAGGGACGCTGAGGGACGCTGAGGGAGACTGAGGGACGCTGAGGGAGACTGAGGGACGCTGAGGGAGACTGAGGGACGCTGAGGGAGGCTGAGGGACGCTGAGGGAGACTGAGGGACGCTGAGGGAGACTGAGGGACGCTGAGGGAGGCTGAGGGACGCTGAGGGACGCTGAGGGAGACTGAGGGACGCTGAGGGAGGCTGAGGGACGCTGAGGGACGCTGAGGGAGACTGAGGGACGCTGAGGGAGGCTGAGGGACGCTGAGGGAGACTGAGGGACGCTGAGGGAGGCTGAGGGACGCTGAGGGACGCTGAGGGACGCTGAGGGAGGCTGAGGGACGCTGAGGGAGACTGAGGGACGCTGAGGGAGACTGAGGGACGCTGAGGGAGACTGAGGGACGCTGAGGGAGGCTGAGGGACGCTGAGGGAGACTGAGGACTGAAGAATGTTCCCTTTTCAATTGAACTTTACTACAGACTTGGGACTTTATAGTTGTTTACTGGAATTCAATAGAAAAACAGGGCTGTGCAATGAATCACATGTTTTTAAGAACTTACAAGACAATACGATATGATACAAGAAAATACAAGACGGGACGAGGTTCAGGGTGATATCTTTCATTCACACCACTTCTACCGTTCTACAAAGGTCAAATCAACTGCTGGAACAAAACGTCTTCTTTTTCCACTTCTGTAAAATCGCCTTCATAATAAAATAAACATTTGTATATGAGAAAGTCACCACAGTATAGTTTATTTGAATGCTCTATTATTAATTTCAACCTCATGTCAGTGACACACACCCTGCAAACTTGTTTTCCTCGGGACGCTCGTGCAAAGTGGTCACGGGGATATTAGTGGTCTGAGAGAGCAGACTAAACATACTCGTAAACAGCCAAAACAGGAGCTGTACCAGGACTAAACCAGGGTTGACAATGGGGGACATAGTACTTGTGAACAAAAGTGTTTTCATGCTCCCGTGACCTTATGCAACTGCTTCGAGCGTGTTCGCCAATGCATAAATACTGTTTGATAATAAAATAAACTTATGGCGCACTTCTGTGAGCACATAGTGCTGTGTTCAGAGACGCTGCAGAGATGCATTATTGGAGAAGAACTTTACACACAACGCCGCTAGCTTAACTCTGTTAGCATCAAAGTCTGCCCGCTACTTCCGCCACTTCCAGGGCGCCACTGCATGCCAGGACTTTTGGTGTGAACACCCCTGCGTCTGAAAATTAGAAAATGTGCGTCTTGTGCGTGAGGCGTCAGCGTTGTGAAAACACCTTTAAAGGTCCTATATTTAGCTCTTCTTCATGTGTCACAGTCCATCCTCTGCACATGTATGATCAGAATCTGGGTAATGTGCCGTACAACACTCAAAACTTGAAAAATTATAGCAATTTCATGCCTGTCTTTGAGCCTGTCGCCCCAACCACGCGCTGACTTTGTAAAGTAGGACCCTAATTATTTATATAACAGTGGTATGCAACAAGCTAATAGCACTGCTCTTACAGATCTTTGCTCATTGTTTGCGTCTTTTAGTGTGGAAATTAGACCACTTTTCATGATCAGCTTTTTGAGTAAGTCCAGTTTCATAGTAACTAGATCTGGAACAGTCTTTGGTGAAGCGTCACTTGTAGTAAAACAGATTTGTTGCAGATTTCAGAAGCAGATCTTGTGAATAAAGTCCATACAAAGTCAAAATACTGTCGTCAGTAATAATGGTGCCGTGAAAAGAGCTCTGGTGTGTGCTGTCTTCTCTGTCTGGACGACACTGGGGGAGTCTTGCACAGTTTTTCCAATGTGGTTTTACTGCAAATGGCAAATAAATTCTTGAATCTTGTCACATATTTAGAACCAAAAAAAGCCGGACAGTACTGTAATGATGTTTGAAGCAGAGAAGTCAAAGTATATTATGGGACGTTTAAAGCTGGAGTACTGTACCTAACTTTGAAATCACAAAAAATAATAATGTATCACAGGAGTTAAAGCTTAGGTGGTTATTTTTATAAGAAAAAAGTGTAAAGAAGCTAGAAAGATGCACTTGAAAATCTTAAAAGTTCTTGTGTTTCTCTCGTAGATCATGCTGCAAAAAAGTGATGCTTTTTAAATCAACAAACACATAATAAAAATATAGTTTACCAAGACACGCCTGGTTCCTCACAGGTCAAACAGACACGAAGGAGTTTTCTCAGACTGACCCCTGTGTAAAAGTACAAATGATTCTGTTTGGAAATGTTTGCATAAATCTATAAAATCTTCTTATGCAACTGTCAAACTTTTACTGTAACATTTGAGAAACACATTTTTGACAATTAAAGTAGCAATATGTAAGATCTTCATGCAAGTTATCATTAAAGGGCCCTAATCTGTCAAAAGGCATTAATAAAACATGCTCTTTTCCAATACTTCTTTAACTGATAACAGTAGTTCAGAGATATTTGAATTTCTAAATTACTTTTCCAGCCTCTAAATCTTGTTATTGTTTTCATTTCGATGTCCCGCCCTCCACCGTTTCACCGATCAGAAAATCTGTGATCCGGGCGCCAGAACTCACCGCCTGGAGCTAATCTCACTGGTAAAGTACCATGTGGCGCAGAACTAAAAAAGGTCTCGTTATGATTCTCAAATCATTAACGACAAAACAAGGAATAAAACCAGGATTTCTATCTTTGTGAAAAAGGTGTTGGTTATAGATTTGTTGTTGACAAAACTCTTGTCTATTCAGCTGTTATGGTCCCAGCTGGATTCGTCTGCATATCTGGCAACCTGAGTCAGGGAAAGTGGGAGAGGCTGCAGTACCACTTATGGCCACATTTTTACATACTGCTCTTTTGAAGGTGCAGTAAAGGATTCCGGTTAGCTTTTAGCTGTAGCATCAGAGTAGCACCGACTCGGAACCCTGTATCCCATTGGTTTTGTTCTATCAGCCCGCTCCATAATATTTGTGATGTATTTTTTGAGGCTAGTCATCTGGTCGTGTCCATTCCCATTTCAATACACATAACTTCTACTTTTGGGCATCCAGGGACATTTTCTCACTGTATTTTATGAATTGCTTCAGGATAAATCATTGACTGCATCTATAAATAAGACTCTTTTTCATCCAATACAAAACGAGGTGTTGACGTTAAGTGTTTATTAAAGTCATCACACGCATACGGCACATACAGATATCATGCTAATGTTGTTATAGACATTTCCAATAAATTACAAATAAATACAGTCATTATTTTACATAGAGCATCTTCCAGTCATAGCAACAGCAGAGTTAGCCACAGACAAGGACTTGGGTCGTAGAAAGTAAACACGGTCATGAATAATCAGATAAATACTGAGTTGTGTTTGACTAGAGTTTGTAGGAGTTTCTAACAGATATTTTAAAAGAAAAACAGCGTTACGTTTCTTATCCGTGCTAAAACCCGTGCCCAGATAGTCCTTTAACTATTCATCTTACAAATGTATCTCTTTATAAAAATTGACTCCAAAATATAGCATATCTTTGAGTACATTGTTCTACACAAATAATACAAAAGTAAAATACTGCCTTTAGCCCGCGCACGTTAGCAAAGAACAAGTGAAGCGAGCTGAGCTGAAGCCACGCGATACACACTTTTGCTCTATAATAATAATAATAATAATAATGCCTTCGTCTGCAGCTTTCAAACGTCTCATTTGTGGTACAGGTTGTTAAGAGGCAAGAAAAGCATTACGTTGGGTTAAACACGGACTTTCAGCAGTTAAAAGAAAAGACACGGATTCCCCACGTCTTTTCTTTTAACTGTGGGAGACAGAATGCAACGACAAAAGAACAAAAAGTAAAGTTTTGTGTTGGTGCAAATAAATGAGAAGAATGCATCAAAAGAGACGACGAAAAGAGGACAAGCTTCTACTGGTTCTTCTTGTCCTCGGGAGGAGAGTACGGAGGCGGCTTGTCCTGGAACCAACACAAAAACAAAGACATCTGTTGTATTCTGTGAAAAATATATTGCATTCTGTCACGTAAAGTAGCAATATGTCAGATTTTCATGTCTAGTCGTCATTAAAGAGCTCTAATCTGTCATCATTAAAGGGCCCTAATCTGTCATCATTAAAGGGCCCTAATCTGTCATCATTAAAGGGCCCTAATCTGTCATCATTAAAGGGCACTAATCTGTCATCATTAAAGGGCACTAATCTGTCATCATTAAAGGGCCCTAATCTGTCATCATTAAAGGGCCCTAATCTGTCCTAATAATAAACTGCTCTTTTCCAATACTTCTTTAACTGATAACAGTAGTTATAAGATAAGATAAGCTTTATTTATCTCACAAAGGAGAAATGTACATGTCACATTTGGCATGGATAGAAACACTCAAGATGGGAGGAAATGTGCAAACATGTTAAATGCAGGATATATTATGTACAATAAAAAAGTGGCAGTTTAACAGTGGCAATCAGAAATAGTGTCAATATTAGTGCAGGTTTTTTCAGTCTTATACAGTGACTCAAGTGACTTGTTGTACAGTCTGACAGCGGTGGGGATTAAGGCCCTGCGGTAGCGCTCCTTCCACTGAAGGAGCTCCTCAGCTCCTCTACAGTCCTGTGCAGTGGGAGGTGTTGTTCATGATGGAGGTGGCTTTGGCTAGCACCTCCTGTCCCTCACCTCCTCCACAGAGTCCAGGGAGCAGCCCAGAGTGGAGCAGCCCAGACCAGCTTATACTACGGCAGCGTAGTATATGTAGCAGCTGAGGCTACCACATAAAAAGTCATAAAAAGTCCAGAGCAGAGGCTCACTCTGAAGGACCTCAGCCTCCTCAGAAGGAAGAGGCGACTTTGGCCCTTCTTGTGCAGGGCGTTCGTATTATGGGACCAGTCCAGTTTATTGTTAATGTGAACACCCAGGTACTTGAAGCTGTCCACCAGCTGTCTATTCAGCTGTTATGGTCCCAGCTGGATTCGTCTGCATATCTGGCAACCTGAGTCAGGGAGAGTGGGAGAGGCTGCAGTACCACTTTTGGCCAGATTGTTACATACTCCTCCTTTAACCTCTTAAGGATCACCCTCCCTGTACAGGGAGGATTCAGTTATTTTTCATTTAACAGCATCAGTATTAGAATTCACTTGTGTCAATATAGTCAAGCTATATCTCTTTTGAAAGCTTATTCCCACCTCTAAACGCGTATTACGTTAAAATAAACATTAAATATAACCAAAATTAAGAATAAGTAGTCTAACTGTATATATATTTAAAATATATATTGTCCTATATATTATATATTCTGGGGCAAATCACGTCTAATCCACACATGTGTGCATTCGTTTTGTTCTTTAGGGTCTAGAGAATAATTATATCCAGTTGTTTTTTCTTCAAAGTCATCCTTATAGTAGATATCCACTTGTAACAACATATTTGAGTATTGAAAGTTGCACAAACAAAAATAAAACCTGTTCTTTGCGCACTGTATGAAGAGGACATTTTACTGTTTAGCTAGCGTCACTGGGTATGTTCGTCTTCCCCTAAGCCTCCCCTTCAAAACAAGCCCATTCCCGGACTTTTCAGTGCTATGGTTTGGAAGGTAGAGTAAGTTGAGTAAAACAAGCGCACCTAGCTTTAGCGCTCCATTCACAGAGATATCTGTGCGTCACGACAGCATTGTCTTGACTACCATTGGCCGATTTGGATGTCAATCAAATCATCTTGTAGCCAATAATCTCAGGTTTCAGGCGATGTGTCGGACTTCTAGCTTCCTCCCACTGTTCCCGTCATATTTGAATGCGTAAAGAGGAAGACGGAGCCTTTTTCACGGAGAACACGCGCTATAACTATATAAATAATAGCTTTTCTGCAAACCTTTCAATAACTGGAAAAAATGCTATTTATAGCAAGAGTAATAGCCAAAAAATTATATAAATGGATTTTTGATGTAAAAACATTGATAATTTGCATGTAAAACACTTTGGCACAGTTGGCACAAAAATGGACCACTTGTGCCGAATGTGCCCATTAGTTACAAAAAAGCCCCCAGCATCAAAATAGTTCCACCTAAAGGTCTAAAATTTCATATAGGTGTTTGCAACACCACAAACATCTGCTCTGGTGAGTTTGAACATCATACCATAAAGTATCAATCAATCAATCAATCAACGTTTATTTATAGAGCGCCTTTCCTACACAAGGCAACGCAAAGCGCCTCACAACCCATATAACATCATGCATAAATCATCAAACATTAGAATTTAAGTAAACATAAAAAGACAGATTAAGAGCACAAGATATATAAAATCACACAAGTAGTTAAAAACCGTAAAAAATTAAAATCACACAAGGGATTACAATCATAAATAATCATAAATAATCATAGCGCATTAAAAAGATTAAAGATAAAAACAAATGTAAAATCATTCACTTGTATGCACAGCTAAAAAGAACTGTTTTCAGTTCAGTTTTAAAAACTGCTAGAGTAGACGCCTGTCTCACACTCTCGGGAAGACGGTTCCAGACTCTAGCTGCATGAATCTGAAACGCAGCCTCCCCATGTCTAGTTCCGACTCTTGGCACTAACAGAAGTCCAGTCCCTGTGCTCCTCAGAGCCCGAGTTGGTTCATATGGCACCAACATGTCGCGGATGTACCCTGGTGCGAGGCCATGGAGAGACTTGTACACAAGTAAAGCTACTTTAAAATCTATTCTCTGAGCCACAGGAAGCCAGTGCAGAGACCTGAGGACCGGACTAATGTGGTCGTACTTCCTGGTTCTAGTCAGGACTCGAGCTGCAGCATTTTGGATGTACTGCAGCTGTTTTACCGCTTGTTTAGAGAGACCTGTGAACAAGCCATTGCAGTAGTCCAATCGACTGGAGACAAATGCGTGGATAAGAATCTCCAAGTCTGCTTTAGACACAATGTTTTTAATTTTAGCAATGTTTCTTAGGTGGAAGTAAGCTGATGATGTCACAGATGATATGTGGCTATTGAAATTCAAGTCTGAGTCCATTATTACTCCTAGATTTCTGACCTGAGTTGAGGGTTTCAGGGAGAGAGACTGGAGGTGGCAGATAACGCTCTCTCTTTGTTTCTGAGGTCCGAAAACAATAATTTCAGTTTTTTCTGTGTTTAGCTGGAGAAAGTTATTTTGCATCCAATCACTGATCTGTTGGATACAGTGAAGGAGCGAGTCCACTGGTCCATGTTCTCCTGCTGTCAGGGACACATAGACCTGAGTATCGTCAGCGTAATTGTGATAGGACACGTTATTACTGTGTATTAACCTACCCAGAGGCAGCATGTAAATATTAAACAGGAGAGGCCCCAGGATTGAGCCCTGTGGCACTCCGCAGGTCAGGGCCAGATGGTCTGAGACACAGTTTCCGATCTCCACAAAATACTTTCTGTCCTGTAGGTAGGATATAAACCAGCTTAGGGCTGTTCCAGAAACACCAACCCAGTCCTCAAGTCTCTGAATGAGGATACCATGATCGACAGTGTCGAAAGCAGCACTTAAATCTAACAGGATAAGAACTGAGACTTTTCCTGCGTCAGTGTTAAGTCTGATGTCATTTGTTACCTTCACTAGAGCGGTCTCTGTGCTGTGGTGGGGTCTAAAACCAGACTGGAACATATCAAAAGAGTGATTGATTATTAAAAATTCTGTAAGTTGTTGATAGACAACTTTTTCTAGAATTTTACCCATGAAAGGCAGATTTGAAATGGGCCGATAACTTTTAAGTGCCAAGGCATCCAGACTCCTCTTTTTTAGGAGGGGTCTGATGACTGCCGTTTTCAGGGCCATTGGGAATGTTCCAGATTCAAGAGACATATTTACTATATGCGTGAGTGAAGGTAAAAGACTGCTCAGAACAGATTTAAGAAATCTAGGAGGTAATACATCCAGGCTACATGTAGAAGAACTCAGACTTGTAATTATCATTTGGACAGTTTCATTTTGTACTGGTGTAAAGTGTGTCAGCCCAAAAAGCTTCACTGGCTGTTGGATTGTAATTTCTACTGTGGAGGTGATGGCATTTTTGATGCCTTGGACTTTGTCATTAAAAAACTCTGCAAACTCATTACATTTGGTTTTGGAGGTAAGCTCTGATGGCATCTTAACAGGGGGATTTGTCAATTTATTTACCGTTGAGAACAGAACGCGTAGATTGCCACTACAACCTTCGATTGTTTCGGAAAAATAAGTTTCCCTCGTTCTACGTAGCACACTGTTGAACTTGCACAATGCATCTTTGAAGATCTCATGGTCAACTTGGAGATTTGACTTTCGCCACTTCCGCTCGGCTCTCCGGCACTCTCTCTTCTGTGCCCTGACAGAGTCTGCTTTTGTCCATGGCGCCTTTTGCTTATTTGTAACAATTTTGACCTTTACAGGAGCAATCGTGTCCAGAACATCCAAAACACTAGAGGTGACAGAGTTAAGTAATTCATCCACCGTAGAACACAACGTGTTATCAAAGTTTATCATCCCCATGAAAAGTTCACCTGTATTTTTGTTTATGTGTCTTCTTCTTCTAACAATTGAGGATTCAGCTCGTGCTTTACTATTGAGACACATATCAAAAAATACACAGAAATGATCTGACAGAGCAACATTGGCCACATTTACATTTGAGATATTAACCCCTTTAGTAATTAGCAGATCGAGAGTGTGTCCTCTGCTATGGGTGGGGCCACTCACATGCTGAGTGAGACCAAAGGTTTCCAGCACAGAGCTCAGCTCTTTCGCGTATCTATCATTAACGTTATCTACATGTATATTAAAATCACCTATGACGACTAAACTATCAAAGTCTGTGCACACAACTGAAAGCAACTCGGTGAAATGATCAGTGAAACTATGACATGACTGTGGCGGCTTGTACACAACAATAATAAGAATAGAAGATTGTTTTTGTTCTATTTTAAAAGAGACATACTCAAATGAGGAAAATTTCCCAAGAGGTACTCTATGGGAGACAAATACAATCTTTAAAAACTGCTGCTGTGCCTCCTCCTCTTTTATTTTCTCGAATTTCTGATTCAAATTTGAAATTTGGTGGTGTTGTTTCTATTAAAACTGCATTTTCTGTATTATGGTCAAGCCAAGTTTCAGTCATAAACATAAAGTCAAGATCATAAGAACAGATAAAATTATTAATTAAAAAGGATTTATTGCATAGTGATCTGACATTAAGCAGAGCAAGGTTAAAAATAATGTCAGTGTCAGTGGGTTTAGTTGATTGACTACAAAGAATTGGAATTAGATTTCCTGAGTTGGACCGTCTAACTGCTGTCCTTCTGTTATATTTGTGTTTATTCAAATTAAAACACATTTCTGAGCCGGTGCGAGGAACACACACAGTCTCTATTGGTTTAAAAAGTGAACTCTGTTTTACTTTGTTAAGTTCCAGATGCATGGCTGAGTAAGCACCGTTCAATGGCAGGACTGGTATTACACTGCCAGACGGACAGGGGTCAGTGTTTGCACCACAGTACTCACCCGGTGCTGGAGTGGAGGAGGAAGGTGGTAGTGGGGGCCGAGAGGCCTCGGATGTAAACAGTCACGCCCCCCTCGGGGAGCACTGAACAACATGGCGTAAAAAGTCCATCAATAAACTGGTGCCGTATCTGTTCGGGTGCAGACCGTCTGGACGATAGTAGGGATGTAAAAAACTATGAATTTTCATGACCGACCACCGAGCCTCATTAACCGGTTGAAACCGGTTAACCGCGTAGTTTAAAATAGTCCACGTTCTTTGAAATAACAGCCATTTCGAGCCGCGTACTTTTCATAAGTGCAGCTCTGCGTTCTACTGGATCAGAGCTGAGACAGCGGCGCCCAAACCCGCAACAGCTCCGGCACCTTTGCGCACAGAGAACTGCTTTTTTAATCTTCCCATTCTGCTGTGCTGCGGGTTAAAACCAAAACTTTCTAGCAGCAAACGACGGCTCGTTCACATGGTCAGAGCAGCGAGTGACGAGCCGCGTCTCACAGGTCTTCACAAAAGTTTAAATACAAGTGATGTGTGTGGAGCTGATCCCGAGGACCATAAACACAAACATGTTCCATGTGGTTTGACTGGAGCCGTGTATTTGCGCGAATCCTTTGTCTGTCGCGCACAGAGGAGCGCGACAGACCGGTATGTGTGTGTGTGTGTGTGTGTATGTATATGTGTGTATGTGTGTGTGTGTAAATGTAAGCTCCAATGTAGTTCTGACCCGCGCCAGTGTGCAACTTTGACGGTAACAGAGGGGAGAGATGATGCGTGTGGATGTTACGTATGGAGAGGGGGAAAGTGTGTGTGTGTGTGTATGTGCGCGTGTGCGTGTGTGTGTGTGCGCGCGTGTGTGCATATGTGGCTCGTGCGGCGTGAGAGTCGTCCCGGAGTTTATAATACATGGGCGCACACAGCTAGATACAGACCCGCTCGTCACACCGTGCAAATAGGGCTTAAAATAGCGTTATTAAGAGACCTCCCCTCTCCCCTTTTTCTCTTTTTTAACCGACAGCTTTGACCGGTTAACGCTGTGACGGTCAACCACCGGTTAACCGGTCGCCGATTTACATCCCTAGACGATAGGCCACGTGACGCTTCCAGAACAGGCCAAAGTTGTTCACAAAAATAAAGTTAAAAGTGCTGCATGTAGACTGGAGCCACATATTCAGCGCCACAACGCGACTGTACAAGCAGTCTCCCCGGTTTACAGTCGGGACTGGACCAGAGATAAAAACACACAACCCAGAGGACTGGAGAAGACGGAATAGATCCATAAAATGCTTCTTTGTGACCTCGGACTGCTGCAGCTTCATGTCGTTGATCCCCACATGCACGATTACCTTTGAAATGGTATCAGGCAGGGACTGAAGCAGAGGAGGGAGACGTATGAGCAGGTCTGGTACAGTGGCTCCGGGAAAACACTGAGTGACCGCGTTAAAAAAGCGGACGTGCCTCACGATGGAATCTCCAACAATCAAAGTAGTCGGGGCGAAGAGTGGACGTAGCCGCGGAGAAGGCGCTCGGTGTCCATGGCCGGAACCAGCGGGCTCCGGCCATGGACGGACATACTCGGGAAGTATGTCTTCAGGAGAACTTTTTGAAATTGCCTTTTATTTTTTTTGACAAAAAAAACTAACTTTGACTCATGTTTGAGAAGGTGTAGTGCAGACTGTGTCCTTCCTAAGAAACTGTAACATACATTTTCAGAAACTAGAAGGTTTTACCTTTCAAATGAGGCCTCATAACACAAAATCAGACACAAGATGTCCACACAATAAGCATTTCCATTTGGGTATCATAATTCGAGAAGGAGCAGGCGAAATTAGGTGATCCTTTAAGCCAGTTTCCCAAAAATCGGTGTAGGGAGTGTTTCCCAGTGACATCCTCAAAGTATAACAGCTCCAGAAAACATCAGTATGGATGAATGGGCCAAAATACCAGTTTGTGTAAAACTGGTGAAGATCTAAGCGAAATATTTGAGATGAACTTTTGTTATTGTTCGATAAAGACAGAGAGCTACTTTACGGGACGATGAAGGCAGAGAGCTACTTTACGGGACGATAAAGACAGAGAGCTACTTTACAGGACAATAAAGACAGAGAGCTACTTTCCCGGGAAGATTAAGGCAGAGAGCTACTTTACGGGACGATAAAGACAGAGAGCTACTTTACGGGACGATAAAGGCAGAGAGCTACTTTACGGGACGATAAAGGCAGAGAGCTACTTTACAGGACGATAAAGGCAGAGAGCTACTTTATGGGACGATAAAGACAGAGCTACTTTACGGGACGATAAAGACAGAGCTACTTTACGGGACGATAAAGACAGAGCTACTTTACGGGACTATAAAGACAGAGCTACTTTACGGGACGATAAAGGCAGAGAGCTACTTTACGGGACGATAAAGGCAGAGAGCTACTTTACGGGACGATAAAGGCAGAGAGCTACTTTATGGGACGATGAAGGTAGAGAGCTACTTTATGGGACGATGAAGGTAGAGAGCTACTTTCCCGATAAGATAAAGACAGAGAACTACTTTCCCGGGACGATAAAGGCAGAGCTACATCGCTCTCCAAGTTTGAAGCTCCCTCAGATGAAAATACAAATATATTTCTTCCAAATCCAGCAGTGAGAATCTGTGCAGCCTCGTCTATTCTTCCTATAACCATAAAGTGTGTCCTGGTGCTCACCTCGGGCAGGTACACATGTGTGGGCGGCAGGGCGTAGCTGGAGCTGGCTGCAGCCTCCGCAGCTTTGGCCTCTGGGAAAAAAAACACATGATAAAATATAGGGCTGCGATTAACAATGTTGTTGATTGTTGTTTAGATCCCAAAACTCCATAAATATGGGATTTTTATTCAACGTTTGACCAAAACAAAGCTTCAGTGATGAGAACTGAGAGTCACAAACCTCTTCTCAGTTTGTTTGAGTCTATGAAAGATTGATAAAAACAAAGCATTTATTACTAAATTAGTTAACAACCATTTCATTAATGGACTAATTGTGATGATTTTTTTATCTTGTTACGTTTTATTTATTTGTACCGTATTAAAACTGCACAAATGGAGTGGGCTGAAGAAACTCAACTCAAGCAGAAGAGCAACACTCCCATTTAGTGGTAGAAGTGTGAAACTGAATTTGGACAAATAAATGCCACAATCTAATTGACTGGTGAAATTGAAGATTGGACTATGACCACCTTTTCCCTCGGTCATAGACCGAGAATTTGCCGCAGTATTTAAGGTTTGTGTTTGTCGTTACGAGGTTGTCCTGGGACTGACCTGCTGCAGACATGGGCAGGTCCGGGTTGTGAGGGGGCTGCTGTCCCAGAGGAGCGGAGTACGGAGGGGGGGGGGGCATGAAGCCCATTGCACTGTCGAAGGCAGGAGGACTGGGGTAGAAACCTCCTGCAGGACACAAGAGGGATTACTGTCATATATGACATCATAATGACATCATAATGACATCATAATGAGTGCAGAGTTATTAGCCAAAAATCTCACTATTTCCTAATCACTTGAAGATGTGTGTGTTGACTTCACATGAGGCTCTTCTCGTTGTGAATTTTGTCTTTTTATTTTAATGATATGCAGATGAGTCTTGTACTCTGTTACATACTTATAATAAGTAATTTCCAAACTGTACACAAAACATTTACTTATCATATATAAGTATTGTTACTTTAGGTGCCCTATCCTTTGTAACAGACGTGGTCGACAACTAACTTGAAGAGAGAAATTGCAAACTTTTCTCATTTGTATAATTGTTCTGCTGAAATTCTGAAAATTGTGACGTCATCTGCTGGAGGTAGTTACCCGCTTGGGGGTTGTTGGAGAAGGTGTAGCCTGGGGGGGCCCCGGCTTCAGCATACATGCCGTTGGCTGGTGGTGGGTACGCATAAGCTCCGTTAGCCATGAAGGGACAGCCGCCGAAACCAGCAGTGGCAGGCTGACCTCTGGAGGCTACGCACAAGAATGGGAAGAAAATCAAAGTTTGAAATCACAAATGCTGCCAATCATTTAGCAACCGACACCAACACCGAAGAAGAAGCCCCAATGTCCTATATTGTTTACTGTTTTATTTGTTTTATTTTTGTCTTTTAATGTTGTTTTATGTCTGTATTTGTCTGTGCACACTGGTGACTTTTGCTAATGTATTCCAATGTGGTGTTTTTACTGCAAATGGCATATAAACTGAATCTGAATCTGAATCTAAAGTTATATCTATGTACAGTTGATGTCATCACCTTGAGCAGCCACCTGCAGCATGTTTTGTCCGAACTCGATGGCCCCTCCAGCGAGAAATACCAGTTTGAAGGAAGCACTGCCCTCCCATCCTCCTGACGACACACAAACCAACACAACATCTCAGAACTCACTGTCAAACTGTGCCGCACAGAGAAATAACCAGCGGCCAGTCTCAGAGAGAGTGGGAAACCTGGAGATTCTTATCCTGCTTTTATCTCCAGTAGTTTAGACGACTGTAGCGGCTGCTCACTGGACTCTCCAAAGAAACTGTAAAACAACTGCACTATCCTAAACGCTGCATCACATTAGTCCTGCTCTCAGGCCTCTGCTCCTGTGGCTTAGAGAACAGACTTTAAAGCAGCTCTGCTAAGTCTCTCCATGGCCTCGCACCCAAGTACATCTGTGGCCTCCTGCTGGGACTCTGAGGAGCACAGGGACTGGCCTCCTGCTGGGACTCTGAGGGAGCACAGGGACTGGCCTCCTGCTGGGACTCTGAGGGAGCACAGGGACTGGCCTCCTGCTGGGACTCTGAGGGAGCACAGGGACTGGCCTCCTGCTGGGACTCTGAGGGAGCACAGGGACTGGCCTCCTGCTGGGACTCTGAGGGAGCACAGGGACTGGCCTCCTGCTGGGACTCTGAGGGAGCACAGGGACTGGCCTCCTGCTGGGACTCTGAGGGAGCACAGGAACTGGCCTCCTGCTGGGACTCTGAGGGAGCACAGGGACTGGCCTCCTGCTGGGACTCTGAGGGAGCACAGGGACTGGCCTCCTGCTGGGACTCTGAGGGAGCACAGGGACTGGCCTCCTGCTGGGACTCTGAGGGAGCACAGGGACTGGCCTCCTGCTGGGACTCTGAGGGAGCACAGGGACTGGCCTCCTGCTGGGACTCTGAGGGAGCACAGGGACTGGCCTCCTGCTGGGACTCTGAGGGAGCACAGGGACTGGCCTCCTGCTGGGACTCTGAGGGAGCACAGGGACTGGCCTCCTGCTGGGACTCTGAGGGAGCACAGGGACTGGCCTCCTGCTGGGACTCTGAGGGAGCACAGGGACTGGCCTCCTGCTGGGACTCTGAGGGAGCACAGGGACTGGCCTCCTGCTGGGACTCTGAGGGAGCACAGGGACTGGCCTCCTGCTGGGACTCTGAGGGAGCACAGGGACTGGCCTCCTGCTGGGACTCTGAGGGAGCACAGGGACTGGCCTCCTGCTGGGACTCTGAGGGAGCACAGGGACTGGCCTCCTGCTGGGACTCGAGGGAGCACAGGGACTGGCCTCCTGCTGGGACCCGAGGGAGCACAGGGACTGGCCTCCTGCTGGGACCCGAGGGAGCACAGGGACTGGCCTCCTGCTGGGACTCGAGGGAGCACAGGGACTGGCCTCCTGCTGGGACTCGAGGGAGCACAGGGACTGGCCTCCTGCTGGGACTCGAGGGAGCACAGGGACTGGCCTCCTGCTGGGACTCGAGGGAGCACAGGGACTGGCCTCCTGCTGGGACTCGAGGGAGCACAGGGACTGGCCTCCTGCTGGGACTCTGAGGAGCACAGGGACTGGCCTCCTGCTGGGACTCTGAGGAGCACAGGGACTGGCCTCCTGCTGGGACTCTGAGGAGCACAGGGACTGGCCTCCTGCTGGGACTCTGAGGAGCACAGGGACTGGCCTCCTGCTGGGACTCGAGGGAGCACAGGGACTGGCCTCCTGCTGGGACTCGAGGGAGCACAGGGACTGGCCTCCTGCTGGGACTCGAGGGAGCACAGGGACTGGCCTCCTGCTGGGACTCTGAGGAGCACAGGGACTGGCCTCCTGCTGGGACTCTGAGGAGCACAGGGACTGGCCTCCTGCTGGGACTCTGAGGAGCACAGGGACTGGCCTCCTGCTGGGACTCGAGGGAGCACAGGGACTGGCCTCCTGCTGGGACTCTGAGGAGCACAGGGACTGGCCTTCTGCTGGTCCCCGAGTCAGTATAAAACGCTCGTGCACATAGGAAACAGAACTTTGACGAAATAGAATCACCATTGTGATGTCAAAACTATCAAACTAATCGTCCGGTCCTATCACCGGTTCATAATGGCACCAAATCTTCCATCTACATGAAGCACGAGTGAGTGAAGTGAAAAGACTCAAGTCATTTCTGAGCAGACCCAATGTAAGAATTCAGGTTTATGACCAGTGAATACAGATGTGTTAGAATTTTATATCATCAGAAAAGTTATGCGATGCTGCACCTTTAAGCCACGTACAGACTTGATCATGTAAAGCAAATGCCAATAGGACGAGCAGGTTTTAAAAGTAGAAATAGTGCACTCACCTCCGGTCTCGGCGCTGACTGTGCCTTTGATGTAGTTGGCTCCTAACACGGGCTGTTTAATCTCACATCCTTTCATCAGGTAGAAGGGCATCATGAAGGAGCGCAGCAAGTCTTTGCCTTTGGCCACAAAGATCACCTGCAACACAAGAAGAGGCTGAACCACTCCCGGACAGGGAATTACAAAACCCAAATCTTATTGCTTTGAATGCAGCTCTGAAACTGTTGTTGTTCTGTTCTGTTACATTTATTTTTTAATTTTTCCATCTGTAGCAGCTTGTCACCAAGTACACAGCATGAGAGAGAAGCCTCATTGCTTAAGCCCAAACCCTAGTGGTCTCAAGCTCAAAGTAGCTGGGGCTGCGTGACGCCGAGTCCGAGTGAGCCTGAGCCGCATTAAGAGGAATAACTATCATGGGTTTGTGTGTTTAAAGAACATTGGAGCAAACTGATCTACACATGATGCAGATGTATAAAAGATGCAGTTTAACATCTGGACGAATTACTGCTTTCTACGTTTAAAACTGTTATTATTAAAGAATGAGGAGGTTGGACAATCATCTCATTCTCTATAATAACAGTAGAGATAAATGTTTGTACTTGATCGTCTCCGTTTTTTTCCATCGCTGCAGGACCTGTACGTCGCCCGAGCTCGAGGCCGGGCTGGTCGTATCACAGCCGACCCCTCTCACCCTGCACATGGTCTATTCCAACCACTCCCCTCAGGCAGGAGGCTGCGGTCCATCAGGACTAGAACCTCCCGCCACAAGAACAGTTTCTTCCCCTCTGCTGTTGGACTCTTGAACACTTCTTAACCTGTCCCCCCGCCCTTTATAAAGTCACTTTACTGCCCATCATACGTCACTTTACTTCACTGTACTGCTGTCACCTTACATTGTGTGCACCATGTGCACTGTATAATGTAAATAGTAACTGTAACTCTATTTTAAATTTACATTTATTCCTTAGAAGTTATTTTTATTCTTTATTTTTATTCTTTATTTTTATTATCTCTTTCTGACTGTTGCACTGAGCCAAAGCAATTTCCAAGTCTGTGACTTCCTGTTACTAACGTGGCAATAAAAATGATTCTGATTCTGATTCTGATTCTGGTTTTAATTTGACTGATTTTACATTTTTTGGCAACAAGTGACTCCCAGTCACTAACTACCGGTAACTAGTAACAAAAATACAAATTCATGTTCAATACAAATTTGCACAAAATAATATAAATTATTTCATAGTGAAGTAATAATTGGTAAAGACAAAATGATTACTCTTTTCTTTACAAAAAGTCCAGAAGCATTTAAGACAGAAAGTCTGATTCCTCCCTTTCTCTCACTGAATGAGTATGAGCCGCTGCAGACGACAGGGATACTGCTGCGGTTCACATTTACACATCTCTGAATAAACCATGGCTCTCACCCTGTAGGGAGTCAGGTAGATGCTGCCTTTCCTGCTCTTTCTGAAGGCTTCGGGCAAACGCTCCGCATCAGAGAAGGCCAGCTCCACGTTATCATGGTTCGTCAACAGACTGGAACAACAGCAAAACAAACACACAGTTATAGAGGTTTTCATTTATAATATGTTGTTTCTTTTAAGAGTTAGAGCCCATACATCAGAGGTCAAAAAACCAATTGCCACTAGCCGAGGGCTGGACTGGTTCAATATTTTTTTAAATTATGCATAAAACATTAAAACCTATTGAACCAAGAACTAACACAACAAGCCACATTTTAGTTAATGATTAAAAGAATAATCAAATATTTTTGCATGGCTTTGTCAGTCATTTCAAGTTAAAAAAAAATGTCCACAGCTCACAGACAAACTTCTTTCAAAGAGAAAACACATGTCCTCAACATTAAATTGATAATCCAATATTTATGGCTCTGTGCGGCTGGTACTAATCAAATATCTTTCCAGGGCCAAGATCATTCTATCGCGGGACGGATCTGGCCCCCAGGCCTTGACTTTGACACCCATGTTCTCTAAACCCTATAGATTTATGGTAGTTCATTATTTTGTCTACACTTTTTATGGTTTCAAATCCTCTAAAAGGCTTACAGCAATGGCATTAATTGTAGGTGCATAAACAATGTCAAAATATTACTAGTCTAGTATAATCTAAAGATACTTGTGGCACTTTTAAAAACGAATAACTCTATTTGACCCTGACTTCATAATAGTAAAGGGTTGCAAAGGTGATGCCAGAGGGTCTTTCCACTTTCATAACTTAGCCACAGGATGACATCACTCTTGTGCAACTGCTCCTGTTCCACACATGAGCATCACACGCTGTCAGTAAACACCAGAGCACTAACAGGATTAGATCAAACTGCAGAAGTCACAGAGCCCTGAGCTGATGCTGTTACTAAAGCCAGCCGCTTCCAGAAGAATCTGCCACCATCGCCTCATTCTCTAGAACTTGCTGGAGTTATACAAGCAAAAAGGTCAATAATGTTTGCTCAACAGAGGTCGGTAGCCTCAAGAAGCAATACACAGATGTCAACATTGATGAGAAGCATGTGGAAATCAGCCAGTTACAGAGCACTGGACATACCCGTGTTAAAAGGTCTGGAACCTACTTCTGATACATGGTCCAAACAGAGAACATTAACACTAAAATACTGTCTTCAAATCATAATAAATCAGATTCAATTTCCACTGGTTAAATAACACATTGTCTAAAACCAGTTTCTTGTCTAAAGCACTACAATTGGAGTTTTTGTTTTGCTTTGGTTATAAAACGTTTATCCAATATTGCATTGTGTTAGTACAATTCTTTACGCTGATCAGAAATCAAATCTATCACATGATATCTGGAAAAGTAACAGCAGTACAACAGGTTATTGATCGGATACGTCAAAACAAGGAAAAAATGCGTCACTGTTTTATTGTATTTTAATGGTCACACATTGAAGGCAAATGTGAAGCAAAAATAGTCTCCTGCATGCTATATATGGGGAAAAAACCTGTATTCTGTCGTACCAAATGTAAGTGTAAACGGTTTTAACTCTATATGGTTATTTATTGTGGTCTCTAGTTAGCTAACCTACCATAAAACACCAACATGTCATTATTAAGGAAATAACAAATGTGATAACTGCACAAGAGAACTGTATTGTCCTGGTGGCTATGGACATATTTATTGCTTAAACTTAAGAATATGGCCAGCCAGGTTAAGTGTTAGTAGTAGTGGCTGAAGCTAACTCTAGGCGACAGCGCGTGCGGAGCTAACAGTACCTTTCGCTGTTGTTAATGATGACTCCACCGGACTCTGAGTGGTTCTGGTTCAGAGTCATGTCGATGGCCTAAAACCGAGACAAAACACACACACACACAGTTCTCCTTTCCCCGCTGTATGGGAGCGAACGCAGCCTGTCCCCGTTCTGTGGTCCCAGAGCAGATTAAACGTTTGAAATGTTTACAGTGCACCTGCTCTTCCGCATCACGTACACGCCTCCACGTTACGTCAGCATCACGTACACGCCTCCACGTTACGTAGCGGAGCGCGTGGCGAATCGTTGCAATATCGTCCAGCTGCAGCCAGAAACACAAGAACGCCCCAACACACAAGAACGCCCCCAAACATCCGTTCTTCACAAACATTTCAAAATAAGGGTTGTCACCGCTATATTGCTATATTGGGGGGGGGGGGGGGGGGGTACATTATCAAAGGTTAATACAACCTCTGATAATGTATTAAATTATGATTTTGTACAGCATTATTTCACTGACTCTGATTTAAGCGTGGAATGCTTTTTAAATTGAATGTAACAAATTGAACATTTTTAAAGACACAAAAACCAGGGGCTGTGCATATATTATATTCATTTTCATATTAAATTGAAAATTGGATTAAGCAAGTAACTTGAAATAGCAAATAATTTCTTCCAAACCTCCAGTCTCTGCTATTATTTTGTATTCTACAGAACTTCTACAGGTAAATGATGAATGACTAATGCGGTTTAATGCCCCAAGGAAACCCTGTTTGCATAGTTTATGTATAAATATTATATTTATGTTCAATTTAACTTCATCAAACATACATACTTTTACAATTGACCTTATTTTAACCAAAACTCGAATAGATCTAACTTGTTAATAAAAGAAAAAAAGAGGGCGCTTCATGGACCACCAGTCAGTAAAAAAATGGTGGGTTTTGGTGAAGGGATAGTCAATGTATAAATACAGAACCAAGGCACTCTCTCAAAAATGGATTACAATGCCTTTATTGGGTATGGTAATCACTTTTTATTGAACAAAAACTGGAAACTCAATATCCTCAATGGCATATTTTCCATGGCCTTTAAAGTGAAGAACAACAAATGCCTCCTTCCAGTTTTTTTCGGAAGAAAACAGTTGAGCCAGTCGCAGACTAAGACCGCTGCTCTGACCTGCCACCGTGCAAATTTTTCCAATCTTAATTTGAACCACATTTCTTTTAAGTTTAAGGCTCTCTGCTATGTAGTTGTTCAAATGGATCACAGGAGTGTATTGCTGAGCCATGGATCGAAACATTTTAGACACCCTGTTTATAGACTCCAACATTGCCATGTTTGTTTCCAGGGTCATTCTAATAATAATGTCCCATATTTCGGGAGGGAGATGTGGCTCCTCCCGGCTCTCCTCCCGGCTCTCCTCCCGGCTCTCCTCCCGGCTCTCCTCCCGGCTCTCCTCCCGGGCTCTCCTCCCGCTCCTTGAGCACAGCTGGTGGTACCACTGGTCCGCCAGAGTTGCTGAGAGATTGAAAGTATAGAATATTGTACCAACAAGTATAAATAAATCACAAATTATGGACACAATGACATACCTGTCAGGGATGTTCTGCAGCAGCTGCCCACACCACCACCTTCTGATTGTCATCATGTCATCCTGAACATTTACATAACCAAGTTAAACACTTGACATTTCATATCATTACCATGGTCATCGTTTACTAGTGACCAATGACAGACAAAAGCTGCAAGTAAATATACAGGACCTACTGAATAATTACATAACTTAATTTACCGGGAAGAGTACAATAAATAGGAATCAAATTTCAGTTGAAATCACTGACCTCACCAAAGTCATGGGTCTTTTCAAGGACAGCATACAAAGCATACTGAAATACAGACAAAGTTTTATCTATCATAACTAATCAAAAGTGATATTTTGGCGTCAAGCTATAACTCACCATCAACATGAAAACGCCGCAGTTGTTGCTTAAGTGCTGATATGAGGCCCCCTGTAAATATAATATTGCATGATAAATAATGATCACCACATGGCAATCACTCTCTGGAGGATGGGCTCCAAATTGTTAAGTACTTTGTGTTATATTCTTGTATAAAAAGTGCTTTATAAGCTCATTAAAGCTCCAGTGTCAGACACCTAAAATTTACCTCACAGTCTGCCAACAAGTAGCCAGTCCACTCCTCTCTGGCCACAGCAAGTGCGAGGTTACTAGGATAAAAATATAAATAAATAAGCAGTACTGTGCAGTAGCCTGTGAAATGTAACATGGAGTCGCAACAAGGAATTGCCAATATTCCAAGATAAGCCCCCCCAAACAATTAGTGTATATAACCATATAAATAAACTAGTCTGGGAGTAACAGCAATTCCTAATAGAGACTTCATACATTTGTATCGAACACAAGAAAAAAAAGAAAAAAAAAAGGAGGTATAGTCTAAAACAGAACCACCATACTTCCTGAGATCAACTCAGTTCTAGAAGCAGTATTTTGCAACTACAAGCCATAATTGTATGATTTATTTATTATTCTATGTATTCCCACACTACAATACGTTACCGATTACTGTAATGTATTACAATTAAGCTGGCCAGCTGAATAAAAAAAGGACTGAAAAGCCATTCCCGTCAGTGTACTGTTCACCTAGACAACTCAGAGGTGTGAAGTAATCACTTACAAGTAAAGTAGTTTTATGGCTCATTGCTCCTTCTAAGTATTCTATGAAATATGAATTTCCTCAATTAGGCATAGAATTTTGTTACAAGTTTAATGACAATAGCTTTATATTGATGTGAAAACATTTAAATGAAACATAAAAATAAATCTGCCTAGGGTGTTGGGGACTTACTTCCCACCTCTAATAACACACAACAATGCCAGCTTACTTCATTAAAAAAAAATCTATTAAACAAATAATTACTGCTTCAAGATGTGAGTTTTCCATGAACATAATGAACTGGCATTCAGATTTCTTTGAAAAACCTGAAGACTTCTAAGTAGCGGCCATCTCCAAAGCCCGTAGGGTTACTGGAGTCATAAAAGTGCAAGGACCTTTGTTTTGGTTTGAGAACCTGTAAAAATGTAATTTCACGGAATAGCAAGACATAGTTAAGGACCGTATTCTCAAACAGTTGTACAGTAAGTTCCTTAAATTTCTGTGTGCAAATCACAACCATAGGGTACAAGTTATTTTATGACCATTAAAACATTGGAAATGTATTATGTACTCTGAATTCTACAAAATAAGCTCCATGGTCAAACCAGGATTACAATATTGCATGAATGTACTGTATCATAGTTATGGAATGCATGAAGAATACAAAACTTATAATAAACATAACTTCTTTCAAAATCTCATTCATATTCAGCCAAGTACATATCAAATAGATTACTCACACATAGGGTCCAGTGTTCAGGCTGCCAGGCAGGAAGCAGCACAACATCCTTGTTCAAAAAATCACTCTGGGGAAACAAAAACGGCTTTACTATTAACTTGAAGGATATGTGGTGAAAGCTGCGATGCAAGTATTAATGCATCATTACTCACGATCATGTAATCCTGGGGTTTGTCAGAATAGGGTGGAAGCCAGGTTACCACAACATAAGCATCGACAGCCATGGTTGCAATGCCCTTTAAAACCAATGCGTAATGGCTTTTTACTCAACACTAACATACATATTTGTAATTGAAATTTACAGAAAAAATAAAAAAACTTACATGATCACTTGCAATGTTTGTGATTATTTTGAAACAGCAATTTGCTATCTATAAAGAAACAATAAGGACACTGTCACATACTGCAAGTACACACAAACAGAAATTTAAAAACCAACAAAAATGATAACATTTACCGATGCCTCAACGTTCCTCTGTAGGCCCAGGCTCCAAAAATCAGATCTTTGGAGGACCACGTGGTTGGCAAGAACAAAAGCCTCATATGGGTTGCCTTTTGTGTCCAATACATAGACCAACTATGATGAAATACATTTAATTATATACAGGCATGCATAATAATGACATTTAGACAAATATTACTAATAACTTACTAATCCAGAGACACTCGCATGAAGTGTTTTTCTCCAACATGGCATGGCCTCAGTTGCTGAGACCAATTCTAGCCGCGATCCTAATTCCAAACCAGAGGGGAAATAACAATTTATACTGGATACAAAAACTAGTAAAATATAAACAGAAAAACAGCCCTTACGTTTTGTGGGTGGAGATGCATTGGCCTGAGCAGTCCCACTCGGTGTTGTTGAAGAGGAGAGAAAAAACTCTGCCTGTCCAAATTCATTGAGGGTGATTGGAATTTCAGGACTCAAGAGATTTTTCAAGTCTTCCATGATGGCCTGGTTTCTTCGCCTATTATAGTGATGAATAATGTTGCGCATCATGAAGACATGTGTTGAAGGTGAATACATGTTCATGAAATAATTGTTTTTTTTCATGACTGAGAAGAGCTGTTCCGCAACTTGACTGTTTATTCGTCCAGTGAGTTCGGGCACAAGTCCTATCCTACGGAGCACATCACTGGGGTCTTTGGTGTTTCTTTCGTGAAAGGTATCATAGAGGCAGTAGTGCTCTTGGGATCCTGTTAAAGGATGCCCATTTGGGTCTGGGAAGGTCTTTTTTGTCATTAGCCATGGTAAATTCACTGTGCCACCTCCGGAAGCCAACTGGATGTTAGTCGGGCTGGGGTCCAGTAGTCTCCCCTCATGGGGACAGAAAGGTAGGCTGACAGGCTCTCTTAAATTTGCATGTACTGCAAGACCTCTTGCAAAATCGTAGATACAAATATTCGGTAGGTGTTTCCATGAGAGTAGCAAGTCTGTGAAGTCCCGTGGACTTTCTGCCCTTATGTTAAATTTCAGAGATAAAACTTGTCCACAGGGGCACATAATAACAGCCCAGCCGCCTGGGGAAGAAATGTCAACTACATTAGAATAAAGCAAAAAAAAAATAAAATAAATAATAATAATAATAATAATAATTACCCGATGCACCCCAAACCTTCTGAAAGATTTTGTCGTATTTACTTCGTGTAGCCATTTCGTGACGCAAACGCATTATCAGTTCCATTTTGGAACCTTTAGAGTCTATTTTGCACTCTTTGCAAAGTTTGCGGATGGCATGGACCTATCACGCAAAGTAGGAATACACTGTAAATATATCTTCATTTATTATGATTGGTTAAAAAAACACTAACATGCAAATATGTTAACCTTCAAATTGGATATTTCATCCAAGAGCCTGTCTTCAGTTATTTCAATTTCTGCGCATTCTTTTTGTGGTCTTGATGCATGAACTTTTTCAAACTCTGTATTGAGCACCATGTTTGACTTTCTTGTATGACGTCCAATCCACGGTGCCCAGCGGTGGTATGTGGGTGCAACTGCAAATGGATTTTGCCTGTCACCTGAAAGAAAAAAACAAACGTTTGAACTCAGATAAGAGGAGCAGTAAGACTATAACAACAACAAAAAACAAATAAAAGACAATTGTTTTTCATCTTACAATATGAACATTGAATAAACATTTTATATCACCTACTTGTGACAAAACCACGCGCTATTCTCTCTAAAGATAAGGCGGTCCAGAACTCGTCAATGTCCACCTCTCCGTTATAGTCAATTGGTGGGTCCTCGAGTTCACTGACTACAAGTGTAAAAAAAACAAAAAAAAACATAGGGGATCAATACAATTGATGATTCATTCTTCTGACACTTCATCTTTGGAATAATTCTGCCGACTACTGCCGTGTAAACAGAAACATGAAATTAGACATGGACTGTACCTGCCAAGCTAAAAACACAACTCTTATGCAGATCCATCACCACAACCGGTGGGTAATAACCACAACGAACACAGCAGAAATCATATTGATGGTCTGACAGGGCCTCAAAGTGGAGATATGCATGTATCACAGTGTTTTTATTAGGGAACTTCTGTTGTGAGGTCAGCTCCAATGTTTCGATTGCGCGACCTAAAGCTGTATGTGTCTGGATAAAAAAAATAAAGAAAAAAAATAATATAATATATAATATATATATATAGATATATATAAAAAAAATTCACTCCTGGATATTACCTGGAGGCAATTTCGAAGGTATATGCAAAAATGGAGGGTCAAAATTATTCTGTCATTAAAATTGTGCACACCGTCTTCCCATTCTTGGTATCGAATAATCAGACCACATGAACTGCATTTTTTACAGTAAGTTGCCACACCTGTATAACAAAAAAAAAAAAGAAAAAAAGAAAAATCAGCTGATATGTACATGGTACATACTCTTATGCAGATATGTACATGGTACATATCAGCATAATACCATACACATAATGATACATGCCACTAACCTTCTATGACTCCCTTGACCGTTATTATCTTTGCAGCTTGCGTTATGATTATGGGCTCACCAAGAGGAATATTGCCCGGGCATTCAGGGCAAACCTCTTCCTTAGGGATCAAGTGTTTTGGTAGGTCAGCCTCACTTGACAGGCCAGAAAAGTATGACGGCAATTCCCCAGGAAGCTTTTTGTTTATATGTATATAGGTTACAGTTCTTCTCAGGTCCTCGCCTTGTGGAGGGTACTTGCAGGGGTCCTCTTGTATTTTGTTGTACTCCAATTCTGGCTCTTCATCAGGTACATCGCTGTCATCAATGTCATCATCACCATTAGTTAGGAAATGCTCCTTCATAGTTTGGAACAGGTGCCATCTGGCAATGCACTTGTGAATACAAGCTTGTTTCCTCGCAGCACAATGGCAATGCCAAGTGTTTTTCACTGTGTCCAGCATGACCATTACTCTGCCAACGTTATTGCAATATGTGAGTTGTGGCTCATAGACCGATACAAATTTTTTCATGATCGAGCTTCCCACTTTGACCTCAATACTGAATGGGGTGCCTTTCTCTCTTGCTGCTTGTTGTCTAAGGAGACACAATCTCTTTTTTTCTTCACTAAACCACCTGCTGCTGACAATTTCACCCAGGATATCCCCCTTGAGCTCAATATTGGAGGGGGAGGAAGGTGGACAATATTTTAAGGACTGTATATGAACACAGTCATACGACCCAAACCCACTTCTACGCATAACTTCGGCTTTAAGATGACAGGAATCTAAAGGGCACATAATTAGGTGATTCATGCCGGAGGTTTTCTTTTGGACATGAATGGGCGCACTGTTGCTGTTAAATGACTTCTTAACTGCATAAATGCCCATGTCAATGTCCAGACATTCACAGGCTAGATAACGATCAACACTGATATCCTCTTTAACAATGGGGTGTTGGCGCCTCATATGTTCTTTTAAGTTCTTCTTATTCAATTCAAGATGACATATGGTGCACTGCACTCGTCTCACATTAGAAGAACTGCTAGCTCTGGGCAGCGGCAGGGAGGCAAGAAGAGGCTGACTCTGGGGCAGCGGCCGGCTCTGGCAGGTGCCTAGATGCTTGATTATAGCCTTCCTCCTTGGATAAATCCTTCCACACTCACAACAGTGGTAGTGACTGTCACTTCTGCAGTCCAAGTTACAAGTGAACATCACATACTCTAAAATGAAAACACAAAGAAAATAAATACAGATACATGATGAGGAAAAGGAGATAAGTGCCATTGAAAAACATTCAAGATATGCTTGGAATTTTAAGTGAAATATTTCAGAATAAGAATAGGTTTTATTGCCATTGTTTGAGAACGAATTCACAAATCAGGAATTTAACACAGAATAGGTAAAAGAATGAGCTATAAAATAATATGTCTATATTAAGGGCATGCATTAATAAATTAAAAAATTTATATATATAAAAATTTGACGAGATGTACGTGTGGGCAGACCACAGAGTGCAATAAAGTAACGTAGTGCAAATGTCCTTCATGAGTCTGTAACTAAGCTATTGGGTCTTGTTATTGTTATTATATCGTATTTTAGTGCAGTACAGAAATTAAGTCACTTGACAAAATGGAGCAAACCTACTGCAGCTAATATTTGTAATGTGCGAGTTGTTAGGAGGCATGCATAATGTTAGAAAAGTAGGCTAATTAGTTGCTAATAATTTGTTGACATTACTGGCAAAATTGACTGCCATTAATTACTCTTCTATCTATCCAACCAACCAACGAGGAGGCTCATTGCAACCAACCAAAAGAAAGCATACCTCCGTGATGTACCGCTGTCTTCAGATGGCTTTGTATATGAGCCTCCACTCGAGGATAATCACCTGTGTAACGTGGACATAAGGGACAGTGCAGTAACGAGCACTTCGAATCGCTGCACGTTACTGCTTGTGGCCTTTGTCCACTGGACAGTATCGATAGATGAACCTAGTCAAAAGAAAAGAACCAAATCATTTTCAATCAGATTGCCAACCACTAACAAACGTCATAAACTTTTAGCATTTACTTTTTGTGGTCGTAACTACAGGTTAAATTTGAACACGTCACGCGTTATTATAAAACGGTAAAAGGACAAAACGTATAGCACTTTTCTATACGTTTAGGCAGCAAAAAAAAAAAAAACACGCTTCGCTGCAAGCTCATCTACCGATAGCATTGTTAGCAACTTTTACTATTTCTTTCAAGCCATGAAGTTAACTGCGTAGCAAGCTACCGATGAAATGACACGGGCATTTAAAATTGAGGCTTCATAATCCGTTACCATTCAGACGAGCACAAATTCACAATACGTACGGCCATATCGCGCTGGAAGCTGGTGCATCTCACGTGCATCCACAAGGCGCACGGACATCTATCTGCGCGGTTCTTTTACTTTCGCTGATGTTAAGCAGCGGAAATGACATCTTAACACAGCGTACCACGCAAGCGTTCTCTGATTGGTTGGTGAAACATTGCATGTGGCGTTCTGGTAATCAAACAGGAACGCCTCTGCCGCAGCTCGAGCCTCCTCAATCGTTGGCCGTTGAAGCGTCACAGAGACAGATGGATGTTTTTAGGTAAATAATCCTGATATAACCACTAACTTTGACCATGGTCTGTTGCATTATGATGTCCAACATGTTAATACGACTTTTTTTACTGTGTGGTTGATGCCAAATTGTGAAGAAAATTAATTTACCGCTGAAATGTATCCTTCCCCGTAAAGAAATAGTTCAATGTAGTCCCTAATTAAAATGAAAAAAATAATGAATATTTTTTAATTAACTCAAATTCAAATTGAATTATCATAGCCCAAGAAATTACCCTGACATTTTACTTGTCAAAGGTGTGTTTGCTTGTTCCAATTATGGCACATATAATAGGCCCCTGTCAATGATTAGTAAGTAATGTAAGTAAGTAATGTTTATTTATATACCGCCTTTCACAGACCAGAGTCTCAAAGCAGTTTACAATTGTTATTATTTTTGGGCATTTGTCCTCTCACTCCACACAGAGATGGGAGCGGGGTCGCCAGAACAGGAGGCGCATGCCAGACCTATTGTACATATTTTTAGTGGTAGGGGAAACCGGAGTACCCGGAGGAAACCTACGCAGACACAGGGAGAACATGCAAACTCCACTCAGAAAGGCCCTGGTCCGGCCGGGATTCGAACCCAGGACCTTCTTGCTGAGAGGCGATTAGTGAGTAATTGGTTAATTATCATATGTACATTGTTTGCAGCTCTGAGTACCATCCCCCGACCCAGAATTGTACTAATAAAGGGGTAGAAAATGAATGAATGAACATTGTTATACTTTAAATATTTAGCAAGAATGGAATTTTCTTTAAAATTTTCATCATAATAGAATTGGATATTAGAAGTAAAGCCTTCAATAAGTCACTCTCACGTTCAGCTTGTGCCCCTTTTCAGCTTGTAGTCCTATAGGAGAAATCATACTTTCTAAATTGCCCTAAATTGCAACAGTAGCTATCGGAGGACTTTACAAACCATTGACTCGCTAACATAGATCAAATAATCAAACCGTTCAAACATAAGAAAGGTGAAAAATACATAGAACTGGGGCAACAGGGGCCGATGACCAATCTCCAAATTTTGATAAAGTCCATAAATCATAACTCTGTCCTGAACTTGTGACACTGCTTGATTCCATGGAACTAATACAAACCCTATTTCAGAATATTTTCTGTTGAACTTTTGCCATAATCAAATATTGTTGAGGGTTACAACTGAAGAAACATAATTTTCACTTTCAAACAAGCTTGTTCAATGTTAGGACAAATGCTTTTATACTTTTCGTTACATTAAAACATTATATTATAGTGTTCACTTTTTCGGCTACATCAGCTGTTAAGACTATTAGACTGTAAGACTATTTCCACTAATGGTTATTTGTTGTCACAGGCCCAGATTTGGCGTTTGTATGTCCGCACAAGGAAATGATGCAAACGGATGCAAATGCACTGTTTTGGTTGTAATCCTCGATTGCACACATTTGTTTGCCCTGCCCCAAACACAGCAGACCTATCCCACACCTGACCTCAGACCCAGCACATACAGCATCTGCAATATTCTACACACTTTTCTTATAATCTCTAACCACTGCTTCATCATGTTCACACAGATTTACTCTGGAGTCTCTAGTATAATAATAATAATAATGCATCAGTTTTACATAGCACTTTTCTATTCAAAACACTCAATAATAATGTAATAACTACATATGAAGCGTCTTGACACTCAAAGACGCCTCACATGTTATTAATCAAGACGACTTGATGAAGTATGTTTATAACTAGTCATTACCACAGCTTTCAAAAATAGATTATTTTTGTTGTCAATAATGCTCTCTTCAAAGCAACAAATAACATATTTTAATTTAAAGGAGAGACATCCTGGTTATATCATGACAATGCTAAGAACATAAATTATTTCTTGTGCTCTGGTTGTATTTGAATGTGTTGACATCACAGAAGTGGAGTCCTGAACGTGCAAAATCCAGATATAAAAAGATTGAAGACATGAGAGAGGATAACCAGCACTGTGGAAACTACTTGGTGAAGTATGTTTGTGTCCTCATTCCTACTGTTCTGTAACCGGTGATGCAACACTGACATTTCCCCGCTGTGGCACTAATATAGAGCCTCTTCATCTCATGTTTATAGTGATATTAGAGCGGCTCCAGTGTCGGTGATGGAGTTGCAGATATGGCTCGCTCAGTGGCTCGGTGCTGGAGCTGCCACCTCAAACAGGAAATGAGGACTTCCTGCTCGAGCTGCGAGAGCTGCTCCCCACACAGCAGAGAGACGAGTCCTCGCTGACAGCATCACCAAGAGCAGCCATGCTTCAGACGCCACAGGTACCCACTCCAACCCACAGACAGAACTACTCTTTAACTTTGCTACAAGTGTGTGTATAAGTGCTAACCCTACTGTACATCACTGCATGTACCACACTGTCTCATAGTGGAGTCTGTGTGTTGTTTAGTTTTGTGTTTTATTTTGCTGAATGGTGTAAGGGGGTTGGGAAATCATGCTTCATCCAACCCCTTTTCAAACCTGTATTAGCGTAAAGTTATGTAAATTGTGTTTTGCAGGTTTGAAATCAATCTATAAGGCTGTAAGTTATTGCAAACAGATGCTAAAAAGCTCAAACCTGTGAATGAAGAGGAAATGATGTTGTCTCCGTCTAAAAACCTATTTCAAGTTGCCATGACTCTGAATCAGACTTATTTTTAGAAGCAGCGTATGGTGTCTGGGCTTCGTCTTTCCCGAGATGGTTGGGTTTAAACTAGATGCAAATGAGGTGTTTTTAGCGTTCTTTTCTTCCTTCAAACCGGAGGTGGCTATTTTCATATTTTTCAACGCAGTGAGATAAAGTTTCATTATCAGAAATACAGGATGTTGCTCGAAGATACAATCGAGAGAACTCTTGAAATATAACAATGTTGTGGCAAAATTGGTTGAAAAATATTCTGCGCCAAATACATCACAAAATATATGTATTGATTTTGGTATTTGTTAAAATTCATGTTTTTTTTTTTCTAAACAGAGCCAGGGTTTGGAAAGGCAAAGGAAGGTACGATATTTACTACTTTTTACTTTCACTTACGACTTTGAAATCCAAATCTCTGTACATTCTTCTGCTTACATTTGGAAAGAAGGTTAGATACTTTGCAGATGGCAGAAAGGGTGCCCATTCAAACAGTGGTGGTTAGCCATGCTTCTAAGTTCAGATTACAGTTTTGCTGGTATGGAAGGGTTTCTCCGTCTATTTTAATTGAAGTACATTTTCAATTCAATTCAATGTATTTTTGTATAGCCCTAAATCCCAACAGTTGTTTTCTCCGAGGACTCTACAAAACTGCTGATTCCCAAACAGAGATCAGAGAATCAAACACAACAAAAAAACAGATCCATTGCTGCACTTTGCTTTAGAATGTGTTTATAATTGCATCAAACGATTAATTAACAACAGATTTGTGTGAAATGTGCAGCACTGGACACTGACTTAGAGAGATAGATACTTTATTGATCCCAGTAGGAGAAATTCAGGTGTCCAGTAGCAGCAAAAATAAAAAAAATTACATTGATCATTCTAAAAAGCTAACAAGTAGTAGTAGTAGTAATCAGGAACAGTCCTTCAGGTCACAGCAGCAGAGGTGGAGAAGTCTCTGGGTGCAGCAGACTCTGGGTGGAGCAGACTTCGGGTGGAGCAGACTTCTTCTGTGTGTTTGTTTTATATCATAATTACTACGTATAAGGCTCTTGGTAATATCAGTATGTGTTTTAATGAAAAATACAGTGCCTTGCAAAAGTATTCGAACCTTTCAACATTTCGCCACATTTCAGGCTTCAAACGTAAAGATATAAAAAATATTTTTTTTGTCAAGAATCAACAACAAGTGGGACACAATCGTGAAGTGGAACAAAATTTATTGGATAATTTAAACTTTTTTAACAAATAAAAAACTGAAAAGTGGGGCGTGCAATATTATTCGGCCCCCTTGCGCTAATACTTTGTAGCGCCACCTTTTGCTGCAATTACAGCTGCAAGTCACTTGGGGTATGTCTATCAGTTTTGCACATCGAGAGACTGGAATTCTTTCCCATTCTTCCTTGCAAAACAGCTCGAGCTCAGTGAGGTTGGATGGAGAGCGTTTGTGAACAGCAGTCTTCAGCTCTTTCCACAGATTCTCGATTGGATTCAGGTCTGGACTTTGACTTGGCCATTCTAACACCTGGATACGTCTATTTGTGAACCATTCCATTGTAGATTTGGCTTTATGTTTTGGATCATTGTCCTGTTGGAAGATAAATCTCCGTCCCAGTCTCAGGTCTTTTGCAGACTCCAACAGATTTTCTTCCAGAATGGTCCTGTATTTGGCTCCATCCATCTTCCCATCAATTTTAGCCATCTTCCCTGTCCCTGCTGAAGAAAAGCAGGCCCAAACCATGATGCTGCCACCACCATGTTTGACAGTGGGGATGGTGTGTTCAGGGTGATGAGCTGTGTTGCTTTTACGCCAAACATATCGTTTTGCATTGTGGCCAAAAAGTTCAATTTTGGTTTCATCTGACCAGAGCACCTTCTTCCACATGTTTGGTGTGTCTCCCAGGTGGCTTGTGGCAAACTTTAAACGAGACTTTTTATGGATATCTTTGAGAAATGGCTTTCTTCTTGCCACTCTTGCCTCTTGGCTGTATCTCTGATCAGTCTTCTCCTTGTTTGAGATGGAAGTTTGGAGGGACGGCCGGGTCTTGGTAGATTTGCAGTGGTCTGATACTCCTTCCATTTCAATATAATTGCTTGTACAGTGCTCCTTGAGATGTTTAAAGCTTGGGAAATCTTTTTGTATCCAAATCCAGCTTTAAACTTCTCCACAACAGTATCTCGGACCTGCCTGGTGTGTTCCTTTGTCTTCATGGTTCTCTCTGCGCTTTAAACAGAACCCTGAGACTATCAAAGAGCAGGTGCATTTATACGGAGACTCGATTACACACAGGTGCATTCTATTTATTATCATCAGTCATTTAGGACAACATTGGATCATTCAAAGATCCTCACTGAACTTCTGGACTGAGTTTGCTGCACTGAAAGTAAAGGGGCCGAATAATATTGCACGCCCCACTTTTCAGTTTTTTATTTGTTAAAAAAGTTTAAATTATCCAATACATTTTGTTCCACTTCACGATTGTGTCCCACTTGTTGTTGATTCATGACAAAAAATTTGAATTTTATATCTTTATGTTTGAAGCCTTAAATGTGGCAAAATATTGAAAGGTTCAAGGGGTTCAAAGGTTCAAAATACTTTTGCAAGGTACTGTATACCAATATGATCTGTTTGAATAACGTTATGGCTATGAGCAGTCTCCACAAACATGACTCGTACTGGACCTGATGAGGTTTGTTTCTATAGAAAAGTGTGAAATGTGTTTTTGGCCTCGGTGGAATTATTTGTGGTTTTGTAATCGACAGAGATTGGTCCATGGTGTGTCTTTGAGTCATCGTTTTCCACCTTTAGAAAAGATCAACATTCATTTGCGTTTTCTAGAGAATTACATCCTAAAGCACGATGGATTCAACATTTGTCAAAAACAAAATTGCTGATCCACATTAGTACAGCCAAGCGGACACTCTTCAGGATCTCAGTCACATGGGAGGAGCTCGGAGTATCTGTTTTTTTACATCTGCTTCTTGGTTTGACTCTTAGATTTCTTTTGTAAATGTCTCTGCAGTCTTCCCCCGGCCATGTACGGAAACTGGGTTTGACCAGGAAGCGGGACAAAAGGGTGAGCACACACTTTTCAAGTCAATTAATTTCTGTTTTGCTCTAAATCACAACAGTAGGACTTTACTACATCATCGATTTGGCAACAAAGAAACACAAGACACAACACATAGGAGCCATTGATCCACAGGGGGCAGATTACTAATGTCAATAAATGTGCTTATAAATGTCCTGGATCATCAGCACTGTCCTTAGACCCTCCTCCATCAACAAGGGACGACTCGAAAGCCCAGTTGGATAAATTGAAGGAGGCCACGGTCAAACGGTTGTAGATCGAGGACTGAGGCTGTAGACCCAAGGACCAGAGCCACGCGGTGCAGGACTGAGGCGGCTCCCATCTAACCATGCGGTGTCCTCAGGCATGACACTTCACCCACACTGCTGAGTCTGAGTCTGGTGTGTTCGTGCCTTGGTGGTGGTCGGCCACTGATTTGGAGATATGGATTGGTTGAAAACACAACCGTTTAATGAAGTTGTTAAACCAAAAGTCGGGCACATAAATAACTAGATGTCAAACCATCAACGATACATAATAATCTGTCCCTCACTGCTCAATTCTTACAGGATATCAAACAAGATGAGAATCCAGAGGAGAAAGCCCGAAGACACAAGGAGTTTGAGGTAGGTTTCTTACATAAGTCTTATTTTACAGTGTACTTTAACTTTAAATGTGTGTCACTCTTCTCACTGCAAGTAGCTTTTACGAGGATAGTATTTGTATTTTTTCTCCTGTTCAATGTTTTATCTCTTTTATGTGGTCTATCCTCTGTTCAGATTTGGTTGTTTACACTAGTTCTCCAATCTGCTTGTAGTTCCCCGCTTGTAAAGTAGTTCCCACAAAAATCTTTGAATAATGCTTAAGGCATTAGTAAAATGTGCTTATTGTATAGCATCAATAAATCATACTTTTTTGTAAAGAATGTGTTATGGTTTTCATATGTAGTTCAATATATATGAACAAATCGGTAAAAGAACAGTATTCTGTAAATTGTTAGTTAGATACTTTACTGTTGGAAAAAGTCCAGCAGCAGCAAAAAACACATCCATCCAAACAAACAAAACAGATAAATTGATCATTCTAAAAAGCAAACAATAGTAATAATCAGCAACAGTCCTTCAGGTCACAGCAGCAGAGGAGGAGGAGCTTGGTTCAGACCATTTTCTCTGCTCTGGTCCAAAGTAAAATGATAAATGCTTCATTAGCATTTTTCAAAAAGTTAGCATTCCTCCAGTGGATTTTCACCTGATCCACTTGGTTTGGACCATGAATCCTCTCTACTCTGGTCTGGACCAGTGTAAAACCATGAATCCTCTCTGCTCTGGTCTGGACCAGTGTAAAACCATGAATCCTCTCTGCTCTGGTGTAAAACCATGAACACTGAACTGCAGCAACATCTCAGGTAGAAAAAAGCAGGAAAAATAAAAATGATAAAACTCAAAACAACTGTTTCAGAGACACTTAGGACTTGCAGCTGTTTCCAGCACATTCAAAAGTAAACCAAAAGTTGACTAATGGTCCAATAAGTGCTCTGACAAGTGTGAGCTCTGGAAAAGGATTGTGAAACCTCTCGATCTCGTTTCAGCTGAAGCCTCTGTACAAAGAGCTGCTGTACACCATCGCTCACCGTCTGGGGAAGGCGTCCTGGAGCGAGGCGTACAGCGAGGCCCAGCTGCAGCAGTACATCCAGGAGGTGAGCCCTGCACGGCCACAGCCCTCATCAGCTCCGTCTTCATGTCTCGTTCTCCTCTGCAGGCTTTCAGGATGACGGACGCGGAGCACAGCAGCCTGACGGAGAAAGCCCACAGCACAGAGGTGGGCCACAGAGCACAGGACCTTTGGATGCATTACTTTTTATTTTTCACTCATTCTATTTTTATTTGATACTGAATTATGCAGCCTCCAGTTTACTGCCTGATGGCTACTGTCAAAGAAGCCAAAGGGATTCTGGGTAAAGATGTCAGTGGTAAGTCCACCTTAGTTTTATTATATGAAAACAAGAATATATTACCAGACATTTTCTGAGCATTTCCGTCTCAAGCGCTGGATAATACAGGTTTAAGCAGTTATGAACCAAAAGTGAAATATACATTACTAAGAACAAAGTCACTCACTGAACCTGGATTACTCTGGAATAACTTTCAGAATGGAGTCCAGTAGAGTCCAAATCATGTGCTACAGTTTTTCTCAGTCGCTTTGGTGCATTTCTCAGACTTAAAGTTCTCAAAACTATTAGTTCAACCTCCACAACACTGAGTCAGCAGTTTCTCCTCTGAACAGATTACAAATACTTTTGTTCATGTATCAGTTACTTTCATACAATTCTCTGCTGTTTTATAACATTATCATTTGCTCCTGTCCTGTCAGAATGAAACATACTTATGACTTCTGACTAGTCTTTCCCTTTAAAACCAATAGTCCTCATTTCATCGCTTTAGTGTCACAAACAAAACTGTTGAATTAGTTTTAAACCAAAATCTGATTTCATACATTCCTTTATCTTTGAATTGAACAGTTTCTCTGAGGAGAGTGTCAGCTTCAGTCAGGAGGAGGTGTGTGTTTTATTGTTTACATTTGTCACAGTTCTACTTTTGTGATATTTCTTGTATGTTCTACGTAAATACTGTAAGTGACTGTATTTTTGTTGCACAATAATGTAGAGCATATTCAGTAAAGTTGTGAAAGACACACACACACATAGATACACACATACATACATAGATACACACATACATATATTTACACACACACATACATACATAGATACACACATACATATATTTACACACACACATACATACATAGATACACACATACACACATACATATATTTACACACACACATACACACATACATACACACATACATAGATACACACATACATATATTTACATACACACATACATAGATACACACATACATACATACACACATACACATACACACATACATAGATACACACATACATATATTTACATACACACATACATACATACACACATACACATACACACATACATAGATACACACATACATATATTTACATACACACATACATACATACACACATACATATATTTACATACACACATACATACATACACACATACACATACACACATACATAGATACACACATACATATATTTACATACACACACATATGCACGCATGTATGTGTCTTTTTTGCTTTGAAAACACAGAGTAAAGTGTCACATTGAAAACGTGACTAAACTTTGTGACTGTTGTTCAAACTCCGTGTTGTCAGGACTTATTATTTGGACGACACAGACATTTTCATCGACATGAAGACTTTCTTTTGAGGAAATAACTTTTCATTTTGAGAAGATGATGCACTTTTGCAAATTTTCCACGGGGTTTTTCAGTTTGCACTAATTGTTCTGAGAAATGCACAAACTGTTGTGAACATGTGAAGAATGAGAAATGCACCAAAGACACTGAGAAAAACTGTAACATGTGAAAAACTTTGCTCTGATTTGTTAGTTGCTCTTTTGTTTTTACAGCCACAGTTTGAGAGACAGATCTCTTATAATAAAACGACAGCAGACTTTTTGCTCACACTTTTTCTTTGGCTTTGCGGCTTAGAATGTTGTTTTTGAGAATTATCCCTAAGTACTTTAACTCTCTTTAACTTTGAGCGATGAGGTGCATGTCTCTTCTGCTGCACAGATGAAGATAAGATAAGATAGACTTTATTGATCCCACACAGGAAAAAGTTGACAAGTTTGAAGTTGGCCACGCCCTTTGCCACATTCTAGTCCCATAAAAGAGGAGAGAGGAGGACCACAAACACTAGATACAAACAGTGTGGGACATCATTCCATTATTAAAACAGGTTTCAGTGACCCGTACTGCCAGCTGACCGTCATGGAGGACAAGGAGCAGAGCCGCAGCAACAAGGGCAAGTCCAAACCCTGCAAGTCTCTGATGATGAACGCTGCCCTGGACAACATCTACCAGACAGACATCAAGAACCAAACCCTCAACCCCATCTGGAACCAGACCTTCATCATGTGAGTCTCACCAGAGTGTTCCCAGAGCAGGACGTCCAAACAGCTCCATTTATAAAACATTGTCTTGTGAAAACTTTTCATCCTTAACAGTATAAGAAGTAGCAGTAGATAGATAGATAGATAGATAGATAGATAGATAGATAGATAGATAGATAGATAGATAGATAGATAGATAGATAGATAGATAGATAGATAGATAGATAGATAGATAGATAGATAGGTACTTTATTGATCCCTGTTGGAGAAATTCGGTGTCCAGTAGCAGCAGAAACACATCTGTCCAAACAAGTAAAAACATCCTTCTAAAAGTTGACAATAGTAATAAAGTACTTTTAAGTCACAGCAGCAGAGGTGGAACTCCTGAAAATATTTTCTCTACAGATCGCTGAACCCTTGTAACTGAAATGCCCCTTAATTATAGTAAAATACAAGAAGCTGCAGCAGTAGCTCGGATCGGTGTGGTGGCAGTGGTAACAACTGCTGCAACTAGTATTTATCTAGATTAGATTCAACCTAATTGTCAAAAAAAATGCTACAAAAATCAGCTTAGCCTCAACCAGAAATACAGTAGCGCAAGAATCGGATCATATTTACAACACAGATAAATGTATACGTGAGACTGTACAAAGCTTTTGCTAGTATATACATTATTACATTATATTACATGACAGCTCTGTGATAAGAACCGTCTAATTCTACTCTTTCTGCTTATTCAGGGAATTTGTGGATATAGTTGGTGCAAGTTTCCACCTGGAGATGTGGTAAGAAGAAATCAATGTTTATAAAGTATTATTTTAATTTAGAAAAATTCCTTTTAAATGTTTGTTTTAGGGATAAAGACGAAGAGGTGTCACTCACTCAAAAACTAGAGGAGATTAAAACCTTGAACAGCTTAAGGCGGTAATGTAACCCTGCACATTGTATTGTAGTTATGTAACATGGAGTGCATTATATCTTTTGTGTGTACTGATAGAATGATCAAGGATGCCAAAAAGGAGAAAGGCACGGACGACTTTCTGGGTCGAGTCAGCCTAAAGCTACAGGTGATATTGTCTTAGTCTTTTAAATGTGGTTTTGTGAAACTTCCTTTAATCACGAGGTCTGTGCAGGACCTTCACTGCACTGAAGACCACTGGTACAACTTGGAGCCTCGGACTGAGACCTACCCCGACCGCGGACAGTGCCACCTCAATCTGAAGTTCATCCACAAATCAGTAAGAAATAACAAAGACATGATGGGTTTTCTTTGTCGTAGAAGAATAAGGTCGTCGGGAAATTTCAGTTTGATGAATACACAATAAACATCAAGGCATACAGTGTACATTACATACATGCATTACCGCGTTCCTTACAGGCAAGGTGGGTTATAGTCAACATTGTGAACTTATACTAAACCCACCCAGTACGAGAAGAGAAACTGTCATTGTCATTGTCTTTACAGAAATGAGAACAAAAAGAGGATACAGAGTTTGTGTGTGCTCCACAGAGAGACGAGACGCTGAGCCCAGGCCGCAGCGCCTACATCAACTACTGCGGCGTCCTGCAGCAGTTCGTCCAGGCCTACATCTCCAAGCAGCAGGTGCAACAGGCGACCCACGTCTAGCAGGAGACTGTTTTTCAAATGGAATCAGGTTTGAGTGATTCTCTTTGCTCCAGAGTTCTGCTCCGTGGAAGGGAGAACTGTGCGGAGAGGCTCAGGTTCTTCTAGAGCAGTACGCCACGCAGAACGACCTGTCGCCTTTTCTGCAAGACCTGGCGTAAGTGGAACCACAAGTATCCAACATTATGTGCACACTTTTAAAACTAGTAGCAATTGACAGAACAAAAAGGATTAGACTAAAGTTTCTCAACAAATTCACAAAAACATGTCACTAAACTAAAGGCCGGCACAAATGACAACACACAGAGACAAGCTAATTGGCGACTGCCCCGAGCCACGGAGGGTTGGCAGGTTACATGGGCGGGTCCTCCAGAGGCATTCAGCTCCTGGTGGGAAACGACTGGCCAATCGGAGCCCAGAACTCACGAGCAGGGTCTTCTTTACAGGGAGAAAACACAAACACACAGAGACCCCACAGGAGAAACTCAAGTGATCCCCAAACAGTGGAAAATAAAACTTTTCTTGATGCATTATTTGGGCTGAAAACACTGAGCTAGTTGTCCTCCCTTGGTCAAATATTATAGTTTTTTTTATTCTTAATGGGAAATGGAGGAGTTATTTCCAAAACCAGTGTTTGCAGCTCCATATTTGTATAGCATAGGATTAAAGAACGCTTTTGACACCACTCAAACATCTGATCATTGTAACCTTTTTTGTTCTTTCAAAATTCAACACACATAAAAAATGAAACTGAAAAACATTCGCTTGAAATGAGTGAGTCCAATTACACCAATATATTCATATTTTTCAGTCTCATAAGAAAAGTACATCATCTTCTATTGATTCTTTTTCCGTTTATCGCTTTTTCTTACATTACTTTTTAGACTTTACATCAGCGTTAATTTATTCTTGTGCTGTCAAACGAGTGAAAGGTTTATGTGCCGACTCAATCGTTAAAAGAACTCATTCGTTTGTGTGTATGTATTTCTTGTATTGAAACGTAGCAGACCCGTCTGTCCAAACCAAATCCCTCCTAAAGGAGAAAAAAAATTATGATTACAATAAACAATCTTAATCTTCATTTTTTGTATCTATTCTAATTGTCCCTTGTTTTGGGATCTGACCACCAGAAGTTGACTTAAAGTGATTGTCTGCAGTTTGTCAGAAAGAGAGAGAGAGAGGTGCTTGATTTGATAAAAACGACCCAAGCTCCTCCCCCTTCCTTTCTGATTGGTCTACACCTACGTTTCCGTAACACATTTAAATGTTAATGAGAAAACACATTATACATAAACATTATTAATACACATGCACGGCGGTTTTCAGAATTATTTGTTAACGTTTTCATGAAAAAAATAATGTTTTGATGCACAAAAAACGATCGCGGCAAACCAGGAAGTGCTATTATCATTAATTGAAGCAACTTTTGTTAAAGTTAAACTCATCATTCTACCAATGTGCAGAAGCCAGTACTTTTCCACTACTTGTTTTGACTATCGCTGCTGGACTGGACAGAGACGGATCGTGGTGCGCCAAACTCTGGAAGTTTATTTAGGGGTCTCTAAAGTTCCAGTGGTTCCTGATGTTTCTTTCTCTCAGACAAAATGGAGTCAGTACATGATATTTATAGTCATTGTTACGTCACACATCGAAAGACATACGTGTCACACAGAGACAGAGCACATCATAGTCATAACATGGATACACAATCAAGAGTGCTTGTAGTTGTCCTGCACGTAGGCCTAACAGCGATCTAATCCTCACACCTATTATTGGCAGTTGTCAGTTTGGGGCAGTATTTATGTCATTGTATCATGTAGTAACAGGTTTGTGAGAGCACGTGGTCCTTCTCGGGGGTTTTAGGTTTATATTTGTCTAAATTAGGTATCACTCTCCCGCTTTGGTTCGTCTCAGATCACTGAAACACAACTGTGTTTGAGGCTTAGTGATCTGTGTGTCTTGTAAAGTTGATCTAAGTCTAAGTTAAACTCCTGCTCTGAGTGAGTGTGTGTGTGTGTGATTGACAGGAAGTGGGTGGCCTACAGTAAACTGTACCAGAGTCTGGAGGTGGACTCCTCGGTCCTGCTGCAGCAGCTCACCAGCATCGAGTACCACTGGCACCAGCAGGAGCTGCCCCACCAACAGGTCAGCCGCTGCGGTCCTTGTCTCATGTTTTATTGTTTTGCCTCTGAGTAAGAAGACTGTGTGGGTTTACTGTAGTTAAGTGGTTAGACTTCCCTTTTCACTCAAACATGATGGGCTCAAAATATTACCATTCTTCTCTAAAGCAAGTTTATAATTGTACTTCCTGATGCTCTGCCTGAGTCAGACTAATCTTCATTAATAGAATCTTATGATCGGAGGAACAAACTAAGTGGCAATTACAAAAGCATTACACAAAATAATAGAGAATATACTGCTGTAGTTACAGGGAGGATGTAATATATTTGTATTACAATATTACAGAGATTTAAACTTTACCAAATTATAGTTATGAGATATTTTTCCATTCACACACGATGATGACGGAAGTGAAACGCCAAACACATCAAAGTACATCAAAGCCCCCAGACCAACACTCACTCATTACATTACATTGTACATGTTTTTAGTGGTACTGGAAACCGGAGCACCCAGAGGAAACCTACGCAGAGACGGAGAGAACATGTAAACTCCACTCAGAAAGGACCTGTTCCGACCGGGATCCGAACCCAGGACCTTCTTGCTTAGAAGCGAGAGTGCTAATCACTCAGCCACTGTGCCGCCCACAATAGAACAAACCAAATTTGTTTTGTGTTTGTGTTTCAGAAACAGGAGCTTGGCGACTCTCTCCACGGCTTCCTTCAGTACGGTCTGTGTCTGGTTTCCAAGTACAGAGACATCTGCCCCCCCAAGCCCACCGCCACCGCCAACCTGCACACTCTGCTTAGGTCAGTAGTCGATTACATTTTATTCTTGTATCGTCCTAAATCATAACAGTAGTTTTCTAAGACTTTACAAAACCGTTCTCCAACACAGATCAGAGAATCAAACCGTTTAAAGAAATGCAATGATAGAAACAGATTGGTCCATAAGGGGCAGAGACCAATGTCTGTAAATTATTAATCATAAACACCAGAGTTTTGTCTAAAAAATTTTAGTTTTCAGTCATCTGATATAATGTAGTTTTAGTCGATGAAGCATTAGCAATACTGGTGTTGTGGTTAGCGTTAGCAAAAATGTTATTGTCCCCAAATTTGTTGCATGTGTTGGAGCAATACAAATAGCAATACAATACAATAATACAATAATCACAGTGAGTATGGCACATATCAGGGCACATCACAACTTAATCAAGAGGAAACATGTCTAGATCTTTAAGTGTCTATTCAACAGGTTAACTGCGGAGACCATGAATGAACATTTAAGACGGTTTGTTCTAGCCCTGGGAAGCCGATATCTTCTCCCAGAGGGGAGCAGTTCAAACTCTAGCCTCAGGGGGTGGTCACAGATGGACAGAATAGACTGAACTTTGTTCAGGACCTGTCTTTCATATATTTGCGTCAGAGACATTTGTTGTTGGCCAATTATACGATTGGCCTCAGACACAATTTTTCCCATACGACTTCTGTTTTGGACGGACAGGGGTTCGTAAAAGGAAACTAAACAGAAGGACAGAACAGACTCGAGAAAAGACCTATAAAAAAGCATGATCAGGGACTTGTCCACATCAAAAAACTTTAGTCTGCATAAAAAGTACATTTGTTGAGCCCCTTTCTTACAGATCTTACAGAAGTGTTCTCATCTAACCTCAGACGGTTATCTATGATGGTTCCCAGATACAGCTGTGGATGACAGATGGGGTGGTGAGAGTTGTGGTGCCTTCCCAAAGTTAAGGACCATTTCTTTAGTCTTATTCACATTCAGAGTGAGGACGTGCCTGTCACACCACTGGACAAAGTCCTCCATGACTGGTCCATGCTCCACTTCTCCATCCTGCAGCAGACTGACCAGGACTGTGTCATCTGCAAACTTCAACAAATGTCTGTTTGGATGCTTGCTCTGACAGACATTTGTGTAGAGTATATACAGAAGGGGTGAGAGGACGCACCCTTGTGGAGATCCTATGGATGACTCTTTTTGCGCCGACAATATTCCATTCAGTCTAACTCTTTGTGGTCAAAGTCATTAATCCACTAGCCGAGCTTGAGTCCTGCAGCTTTCCAGATGCTTGGAGACGAGGTGGAGCAAGGTAACTTCTGTTGTTTAAAAACTTCTTCACTAGACGTTCAAAACTCTTCATTACTAGTGAAGTCAGAGCAACTGGCCGAAAGTCATTAAGCTCTTGTGGAGACTTTGTTTTTGCCACTGGCACGATCACTGACTCTTTCCACAGTGACTTTGTCACTTTGTGCTGTGAGAGAGAGCAGTTAAGAATGTCACTAAAAACTTCACAAAGCTGATCAGCACAGGATTTCAAGAGTTTTCCTGTGATCACATCAGGACCTGGGCTCTTCCTCCAGTTGCATTTCAAAAACATGCCTTTGACATCTGATGCACTAACGTTGAAAGCAGTGGTGTTGTGGTTAGCGTTAGCAATAGTGGTGTTGTGGTTAGTGTTAGCAATAGTGGTGTTGTGGTTAGCGTTAGCAATAGCTTCTGTTCACAGCTGGTTCCACCGGTGCTTACTAAGACAAGCCCTCATTGGTCCTCTCCTCACACATACTCTTCTTTCTTATTTGCCTCATCTATCCTTTCATCTGATTTGATTTTGTCCCGGTCTATTTTTCGTCTTGTCTTTTATCCGTTGACTAAAATTTCTTTAAATTTTATCATTGTCTTTGTCCCTATGAATGACTTCCATTTTAGTTTTTTAATTATCACCCCACCCCGAAAATATATTTGTGACAAAAAAATATGACTTATTATATGATATGAATTATTTCATCAACAAAATTAACACTGATAAACACACTAGATCTGTTTGTTCCCGTTTTTTTTGGATTAGATTTTATTTTATTTATGTGTTTAACAGGATATTGGTGCAGATCTGTAAGACTCGGGCGTTCCAGAAGCTGAACCCGGCTCAGTTTGAGTTGCAGGGAGAGGTCACAGATGCTCTTCGGGTCAGTGACTTATTCATCAATATTCATTTCTTAATTAAGAAAACATGTTAATCATGTTTTTTTCTTTCCTGCCAGTCGGGGACAGAAGAGTGGTTCTTGGTCAAAAAGGGGCAGCATCAACCTATGACCAAGGTAAAGTAATATGTTGCCTTTTATTGCTTGTCCTATTTGTCAGCAGCTCAACAATAATCCAGGGTCAAAGACATGTGCACGTTTAGCAGTGTAGGAGGATCTTGGAGGTCGTCACATGACCGGCTGCTAGGGCTGGGCAATAAATCAAATTTAGGCATTTAATCGGCTTTTGAAAAAATCAAATTTGTGTAAAATGTGAAAATTGTGAAATTGAATGAAGGATATTGTGAGAGTTCCAGCAGCACAAAAATTATACTTTCAATATCAGCACAGTCTGTACAAGACTTTTATAATACGTATTGGGGGAAACAAATTAAAAATAGTTCTGAAACTTGAATATTGAGCGGAAAGATCAAAACATATTTTTAAGGGCAAAGTGTGTCTTCGGTGACTTTATTGAAAATCGATTGAAAATCTAAATTGCCCAAAGCTTTAAGTAAAATAGAGATTTTACTTTTTTGCCATATCGCCCAGCCCTACCGGGTGGCAATACAGCATGGAAAGCTTCCTGGATACTAGAGAGTTAGCTATTTTGAGACATTTGGAGAGAGGTTTTAATAAATCAAATGGTCCATTCTTGTTGTGCGTTTGGTTGTACGACTCGCTGGGGACAGATTAAGTATTTTTTCTAATTCTTTCGGAAAAGAAAAACTCCACCAGAGGTGGAGAACCTGGTCCACTCTTCCGCTTGAGACGCCCAGACCTCTCTATCCTCACACCTCCTCCAGCTCATCAGGGGGAATCCCATATGGACCGCTTGTATCCGTGATCTCATTCATTTGGTCATTACTCAAGAAGGTGATGGAGGGGACTTAGATTGATGGGTCATTTAGAAGCTTTGCCTTTCGACTCATCTCCCTCTTCACCACAACAGTTCGATACAGCTCTGATTGCAGACGCTGCTCCCTCTTCACCACAACATACAGCGGCCGCATCACTGCACACACTGCACTAATCTGTCAATCTCACACTCAGTTCTGCCTTCAGTCTTGAACAAGACCCAGAGATACTTGAACTCCTCCACTTGAGGAAAGACCTCTGCTCCTGGAGGTGGAGCATCATGGTCTTGGATTGCAAACTCCCGGAAGTGTGTATTGAAGGTCCATCTGATAGGAGTTGAGATGTTCCCAACAGACCCACACCATAAGGTTGGGCCTGACAGGTCTAACAGCCTCCACAAAATACAAAATATACACGAAAACAAAGTTGATCTTCGACCTCAGGCCTGATCTAGTGCCACGTGCACTGATGTGTGTAATGATGCTCAAACAAGTGTAGCTAGCACAGAGGTTTGAGGACCCGCAATCACGCGTGGAAGTCCCCCAGAACTCACCTCCCCGATTAATAGTGTAAATCTAAATCTAAAAAAGAAAATCATACACTGAAATTCTCAATGCTTAATCAAAACAGTATTGCTTACGCCATACTCTAGTTGCAGTAATGTCACACTGTACATTTTGCAGGAGTTGTCTGAGATCGCTAGCGCCCTCTCCAGGTTAATCAAGGAGGTGCAGGAAGACATCAAGCACTGCAAAGATGTGTTCAACAAAGTGTTTGTCAGGTAATACTTACATTTATCTTTTCGTATATTAAGTTTATAAATATATTTAGACTTGCATAACATGTTTCTATTATTTATCACTAAACTTCATATACACGATTTGTAAAATGTATAAGATCTTGAAAACATGTGACCTAAGATCTAATATTCATAATAACCGAAGAAATAAACTACCACTACTATTTATTTTATTGTGTTTAGACACTTTAGAAATGAAAGCACATGTGAGACGTCTGTGCATGTGTGTTGTTTTTCAGCGTTGTGCAAGTGGACGCCTTCACCGTCGTCTATCAGAAGTACGATTCTCTGGTGAGACCTGTTTCTGTTCTTATTAAGTGCATCTACAATATGAGAAAAATAGAGAATCGCAAAGCTTTTGTTAAATATGATGTAAATTACCACTTTTGACAGACTAAGAGCTGTTTTTAGATCCATCCACGCTATTATGAGGGACTTCTGGCAAAAAGACATCTGGCTCCGCCCCTTCTGTCTCAGTCCTGTACTAGTATGATGTCATTGTAAAACTAGGACATCATGCACTGAGCAGATTGGCTTTCAAAACTTGTGCCTATGAATTAAAAAACTAATGAGAATCTGTATTTTAGTAAGTAGAAAGTCCGATGCAGCCATGTCTAACCCACCTTTTTTACCTCCTGAAGACATTTTAAACACCTCTGAATCACAGCTGAGTCACCATTTACTGTGGTTACATCTGAACTCACGAAGAAGAGAGCGACACCGAAGGCTGCGGTGACCATTGTGTGTGAGTTTGATTCTTGCCGTTGTGTTGCAGCTGGCTCGGGAGGTGAGAGAGACCCTGGGTGTGATGGAGGGTAAGATGGAGCAGTCTCTGGCCAACAACCTGTTCCCTGTGTACCTGAGCCTCCAGGAGATCCACCAGGAAAAGGCCTTCCTGCAGAAAAGGTGCTGCCTCCAGCCTCTATCGCCCCCTCCTGGTCACTGCTCACAGACAAGAACATCTTTTCAATATTTTTTCCAATTTATGTCATTTTTTTGTCAGTAAAATGTAGTCTAGTGCAGCCTATTGGTCATAGAAACACTGTGACAATTCAACTAAACACAAACATGTATTAGTCTACTACACGACAGCACTTTAGTTTAGTTTAGTTAACATTTAGTTTGTGAGTTTGAATGATGTGAAATTTTGACATTAATGGCTCTATATATCAGTTATTAACTACCAATTATGGTGTGGTGGGTGTGTGTGTATCTGTGTGGTGTGCGTGTGCTTGTGTTTGTATCTTTGTCTCTATCTGTGCGTGTGTCTCTGTATGGTGTGTGTCTGTCTGTGTTTGTGTGTATCTCTGTCTCTGTGTGGGTCTGTCTGTGTCTCTGTGTGTCTGTGTGTTTGTGCATGTGTCTCTATCTGTGTGTGAGTGTCTGTCTGTCTGTCTGTGTTTCTGTGTGTGTGTGTATCTGTGTGTGTGTCTTTGTGTGTGTGTGTGTGTGTGTGTGTGACAGGGGGTTGTTGGAGCTGACTCTCTTCCATGAGGACTTCAGAGAGGCTCTTCCTTATTGGCTGAACCAGGTTTTCAAAACCACACAGGACCGAGTGGAGCGGGCCGTGCAGGTGGACCAGGTCTGGAACACACACCCTGCTCTGTGCTCAGACACATTTACTGTTTATGTGATGAATATGAAGTGTCGTCCCATTTAGCAGTCAGACAGTTTGAAAAACTTTATTTCAACACTTTACTCAATATCACAAATCATATCTCTTATCTGTGTGTGTGCTTGTGTCGTGTATGTGTGTTTGTGTGTCTTGTGCATGTGTGTGTATGTGTGCGTGTATATGTGTGTGTGACCCTGCAGCTCGAGCCCCTGCAGGCCGGAGCCGTGCCCATCAAACACAGCTCGTCTGCGGTGGACCTTGTGGCCTGTGTGCAGCCTGTGTGTCAGCTGTGGGAGCAGCTGTGTTGGCCCGACCCCGAGGAGGCCTTCATGCTCATGGTCAAAGTCACTGAGGTGCAGACACTCACAGCAAGGAGGGCCCGAAAAGCACCAACGCTGAAATACTGTGTGTTTTCTTTAGGACGTGTGTAAGATTGTGGTCAACTACTGCAAAAGCCTGAAGGAGCGAGTGCGGGTCCTGACAGAGAACTCGGAGTACGGCAGAGCCATCAACATGGTGAGAACTGAGCTGTTCAGACGGTTACTGCTCATTTACACGAGAGGCGTTGACAGAGCGTAAGCATTGACTGTGCGCATACACACGCAACATTACTTGGCTGTACGTCCACTGGCCGTATGCAGGTACGCAACTTCTGATGTGCAGAGGACTGATTTAGAGCAGCACAAATAACATGCATGTGTTTGTCCTCATGGTCTCTGTGCGCTGGTTTGGCCAGACGCCAGACTTTATGAAAAAAAAAAAAACAATGTCAAGGTGTCACACGTGCGTCCTAAGCGCGTATAACACTACTGTAAAATATTACAATTGCTTCACATGGAAAAATGTTACGCATACAACGTGAGAACAGTGAGAAGCATCTGTAGGAACCAATAACATCTGTGCATGTGTGTCTGTCTGTCTGTGTGTGTGCGTCTGTGTCTATGCGCATGTGTGTCTGTCTGTCTGTGTGTGTGCGTCTGTGTCTATGCGCATGTGTGTGTGTGTGTGCGTCTGTGTCTATGCGCATGTGTGTGTGTGTGCGTCTGTGTCTATGCGCATGTGTGTGTGTGTGTGCATCTGTGTCTATGCGCATGTGTGTCTGTCTGTCTGTGTGTGTGCGTCTGTGTCTATGCGCATGTGTGTGTGTGTGTGTCTGTGTCTATGTGTGTCTGTGCATGTGTGTCTGTGTGTGTGTGTGTCCTCCAGCTGTGTGTGGTGGTGAATGACCTGGAGCACCTGCGGTCGCTCCTGCTGCGGCTGCCGTCGCAGCTGAACTGGAGCGGGCTGAAGGAGCGGACGCAGCACGTGATCGGAGAGAGACAGTTCCACAACACGCTGCCCTCACAGCTGCAGCAGGCGCAGGACGTCCTGAGCCGAGAGACCCGCTCCGCTCTGCACACGCTGGGCAAGAGGGTAACACAACCACCACAGCACCACAACAACACCACAGCTTTACCATCAGCTCATGGTCTTCTTTCTCCTTGTGCAGCTGAACACAGACATCGAGACACACGTCCGGAGCATGGCCACAAGGAAGAGGTTTCCCTCCAAGTCCACAGAAGATGTACGTGTGACGCACTTCTACATTCTGTCTTTCATGATTGATAGACAGACAGTTAAACAGACAGTTAGACAGACAGACAGATAGACAGACAGAGATACATACTATCGTAAGTATTTATTTATTTTTATATAGAAACTTTATTGATCCTTGAAGTAGAAATGCAGGTATTCAGCAGCAGAAACATATCCATCCAAACAAAGACATACAAAACATAATTCGAAACGTTACTAACAATAGTAATAAGGTGCAGCAGCAGCAGCAGTAGCAGCAGCATCAGCATCAGCAGCAGCAGCATCAGCAGCAGCAGCAGCAGCAGCAGCAGCAGCATCAGCATCAGCAGCATCAGTAGCAGCAGCAGCATCAGCAGCATCAGCATCAGCAGCAGCAGCAGCAGTAACAGCAGCAGCAGCAGCCGCAGCAGCATCAGCAGCATCAGCATCAGCAGCAGCAGCAGCAGTAACAGCAGCAGCAGCAGTAACAGCAGCAGCAGCAGCCGCAGCAGCAGCAGCAGCAGCAGCAGCATCAGCAGCAGCAGCAGCATCAGCAGCATCAGCAGCAGCAGCAGCATCAGCAGCATCAGCATCAGCAGCAGCAGCAGCAGTAACAGCAGCAGCAGCAGTAACAGCAGCAGCAGCAGCCGCAGCAGCAGCAGCAGCAGCAGCAGCATCAGCAGCAGCAGCAGCAGAGGTGGTGTAGCTGCTGGTCATGAGCTGCTGAGTCTGTTTGGTTCTGACCATTTTCTCTGCTCTGGTTCAGAGTGAAATTCTGAATGCTTTATCAGCATTCTATGGAACAAGTATCATTCCTCCAGTGGATTAAGCTCGATCTGTTTGGTTGGGACCATCCTCTCTTCTTTGGTCTGGATCAGTGTAAAACCATGAACACTGTTCTGTAGTTACATTTACAGGTAGTAAAAAGGAAGAAAAATGACTTATTCTGATAAAGCATTCAAAATTTCACTCTGAACCAAAGCAGAAAAAAATATTTGAACCAAGTAGACTCTGGAGACATCAACCAGAGGAAGCAGCTCATCACGAGCGGCTGCACTTCCTCACTATTGTTAGTCACTTTTATATATTTATTTGTTTGTTTGGATGGATGTATTTTTCTGCCGGACTCCGGCATTTCCTCCAACAAGGATCAGTTAAAGGAGCAGTGTGTAAAAATGTGGCCAAAGTGGTACTGCAGCCTCTCCCACTCTCCCTGACTCAGGTTGCCAGATATGCAGACGAATCCAGCTGGGACCATAACAGCTGAATAGACAAGAGTTTAGTCAACAACAAATCTATAACCAACACCTTTTTCACAAAGATAGAAATCCTGGTTTAATTCCTTGTTTTGTCGTTAATGATTTGAGAATCATAACGAGACTTTTTTTAGCTTTAAAAGATTTAGGGGCTGTAAAACTAATTTTTTAATTTGAATATCTCTGAACTACTGTTATCACTTAAAGAAGTATTAGTACTTTAAGTATCAATCTATTTAAAATATTTTATTGTTACATTCTTTATACTTTGCTGTTTTGAAGGTGGCGGCTCCTCTGATGCGTTACCTCGAGCAAGAGCTGCAATATATGAACGAAAACCTGGTCCAAGAAAACTTTAACAGGTAACAGCCTCTCGTTCTAGGCCCCAACAAAAACTACAAATAAACCACTTCTGAATGGTCTTTACAAATTCACAAAGTACAGGTTCCACAGGTCCATACTTCCTGCTGCTGTCAGACTGTACAATGAGAACCCTGCATATCTCATCTGTAAATAGGAAATACTCCAATCATGATCAAAGTGCAACACCACACTTACTTATTAATATAATTAATATATATACAGAGAGATATATTGATATTTACCATCTGATCTGGACCTATACCATGTGTTCTATATTTGTTGTGTTTTAACTGTTTGATTCTCTGATCTGTGTTGGTGATTTCAACAGTTTTATAAAGTCCTCTGAGATGAAAACTGTTGTGATTTAAGGCGATACAAGAATAAATTGTTTTGTATTGACACCTGTGTCTCCTCTGTCTCCTCTGAAGCCTTCTGACTCCTCTGTGGAATAACTCGGTGAAGATCCTGTACCAAGTGGCCACACAGCCTCATCATGGGGAGGGGCTGATGGTTTACTGCCAGAGACTCTTCTACACACTGCAGGTACTGTCCACCTCACCAGGGCCCATGCAGTTCACTGTAGACCCAGGACTGAGGCTGTAGATCCAGGACTGAGACTGTAGATCCAGGACTGAGACTGTAGATCCAGGACTGAGACTGTAGATCCAGGACTGAGACTGTAGATCCAGGACTGAGGCTGTAGACCCAGGACTGACGCTGTAGATCCAGGACTGAGGCTGTAGATCCAGGACTGAGACTGTAGATCCAGGACTGAGGCTGTAGACCCAGGACTGACGCTGTAGATCCAGGACTGAGGCTGTAGATCCAGGACTGAGGCTGTAGATCCAGGACTGAGGCTGTAGATTCAGGACTGAGGCTGTAGATCCAGGACTGAGGCTGTAGACCCAGGACTGACGCTGTAGATCCAGGACTGAGGCTGTAGATCCAGGACTGAGACTGTAGACCCAAGAAGACTGAGGCTGTAGACCCAGGACTGAGGCTGTAGATCCAGGACTGAGGCTGTAGATCCAGGACTGTGGCTGTAGATCCAGGACTGAGGCTGTAGACCCAAGAAGACTGAGGCTGTAGATCCAGGACTGAGGCTGAGCCACCTCTCTGACTCTGTTCCATCTGTGTAGTGTCTGGAGCAGTGCTTTCACGCTGAGGGGAATGGGCTCCCGCTGACCACTCTTCAGTCTGTTGAGTATAAGGTAAGAATGTACGGCGCATTTAATGACCTTCACAATCGTCATAAAAATCTCTTTTACGCTGTGAAAACTGCAGGACAAATAAAATATACAATTAAACACAATTTCTTATCTATGGTACAAATTAAAAACAAAAAATTAGCGACATTGTTATTTCTGTTTATTTTTAGCTTAGCCGTAGCACCAACTGGTAACCACTCCCCTCTCCTCTCCACCAAACCGGAGAGAAACAGGAAGAGGGTGAAGGGGGTAAACACATCCCATTGGTTCGTTGGGGATGAACGAATCCCATTGGTTTATTTTTATCAGTCCGCTCCAAAATATTTATTATAAATTTTTAGAGACTATAGGCATCTGGACAACTCAATTACTATTTGAAAACACATGATAAATTGATACTTTAAGGGTTTAGAGACATTTTCCCACAATATTTTAAACAAAATGCTTCTGGAAAATATCACTGACTGCATCTTTAAGAATGACCCGTAGGTACAGAGTTATTCTCCTACGACACAAAAGTCTAAACAGATAAAAACAAGCCTTTGATGCAGTTCTGTCTTCTTTCCACAGACGCTAAAATCTCACCTGACGCACAATTCTCTCAACACCTTTCAGCTCATTGAGAAATTCTTTGAGAAGAAAGTAACCGACCAGGTATCGTGCGCGGCGTCGGTTTGTTTACTTTAACGGCCTTGGTTATGTCATTGTTGATCTCGCTCATTGTTTTTTAACAGAATGTTTTAATGGGGGAGAAGTACGGAGCCGTCACTCTGCTCACATCCTACAGCAGATCACAGAAACGACTCCGAGTGGAGGTTCTGAACGCTGTCAACCTGATCCCCATGGACTCCAACGGTGAGCGAGATCTATCCATCTATCCACCCATCCATCCATCTATCTCTCCAGTCTAGCAGCAATTTTAAAAGCCAGTAGTTTGCAAAGACAGAAAAGATTACGGGTAAATAAGTCAAAATAAGCGTCATGTTTATTTGAGTAGATTTTGGCTGTAGTGAAAAAGAGTGCGTATGTTTTGCCTTATTTCTGGAGAGACTACAAGAGACAAGATCCACCCATGCGTGCGTAGTCTACCAGTCTGAAGTTACGCTTAAGCTTCATTTTAGTTTATGTCAATGTCTGTCTTATAACCCTCCTGATTGAAAAGACTGTAACCCTAACCCTAACGGACAAAACGACATATGGACATAAGCCAATTCTCCATTATTTTAACCCAATCTGAATGCACTTTTTGTCAGGTTTCAGCGACCCCTTCGTGCAGCTGTGCCTGGAGCCGAGCCACATCTTCCCTGAGGAAGTTGATGGAACTTGCTGCACTCAAATCAAGAGCTGCGACCTGAACCCTCTGTTTGAGGAGGTTTTCCACTTGTAAGGATCGCATTTTAAAACGCATCAGTTCTTTTTCCTTCTTTGTTAAACTTTTTAGTTCCTCAGCTCGGTTTCCCTGGAGCAGTGCAGATCCCCCGGGGCCTGCCTCATGGTGACGGTGTTCGACCACGACACTTTGATGGCGGATGACTTTGAGGGCGAGGCGTTTCTGGCTCTCAGGTCCATCCCTGGAGTGGGAGGGGCTCAGCAGGACGTGGACAGTGATCCCCCAGATGCCCCGCCAGCGCAGATACGACTGCCTCTCATGCATCCCAAGCCCAATGGTAAAGACGATAAAACTATGATTAAACTGTTGATCATTGAAATCTGAAACCAAGACTTGGGGTTTGGCGCCATCTAGTGGTCGCTATAGAAATATTAGTTTTGGTAAAATGGATGGTATTTCAATACTTGTTTATTTTGCACAGGGGAAGCTCTGAAAATCCTAAGGCATGTGAAGTCTAATAGTACACTGTAAGAAGTAATGAAAAATTAGTCAACATTTTTTCAAATGTATCTTAATTTGAGCACAGTCTGACTGCCTTAAAACTAGATTTATCACCGGGACACACAGAATTATCTAGCCTAAAAAAGATACAAGAAATGTCTCCCTTTGAATGAAAACAAAAAGGCAACAGTTTTGAAATAAGACTAAATGTCTTTGTCCCATCGGAGAATCTTGTTTCAAGCAATTAACTTTTTTTGCAGTGTAAGTAGTAAGTCTACATGTTTTAAAGTGACATAATTAATTTAAGCCTTCGATATAATTGTGAGAGTTATGGCTTACAGTCTGTTTACAAGATTGTAATTCTAAGACATATATTAGTTTACATTGTGAGTTGAATTACCTGTTTGTTACGCACACTGGTTGCATAAAGTGATATTGAGAAGTACCGACTCCAGATAATCCATAATGATTGAACGACATGTGTTTCTAGAGGACAACATCCTGAGGCTGCTGGAGACCAGGAAAGGAGAACGAGAAGCTCAAGTGTTTGTGAAGAAGCGGCGATTAAGAGAGAAACAGTCCCAGGAGAATAATCAGCCGTGATACAAGAAAAACAGCCTCAGTTTCCTCCAAAAATATACCATTTATTTGACTGGTCTGTACCAAAAACAAAGGAACTCCACTCAGAGGCAAACACTGGTGACGATGGTGTCGTGGACAGTTGGAAACATCACAGTGATCATGAAACTTCTGCTGCCGCGTCCTGAAGCTTTAACCAATCAGTGCAACAGAAAGGACAGCACAAAACTATTGATATTTATATATATAATATATATTATTAGCCTACTTTTGACACAATGTGAAATGTCAAAGATTACTACAAATGTCAGGGTTTGGCAGAGTCACCTGTCACATATTCAGTGAAAACAAAGTAAGAGCCAGAAAAACAAAAATATATTTTTAAATGTATATGAAAAATGTAAAGTAAAAAAAGGTAATTTCAAAGACTACACAAGTTTGAGTACATTTGCCTTGATTGTATGAACATGCTTTCTTCTTAAGAAAACCTGAGTGTGAACAGAGGCTGTCTGTTGTATAGCAAAAACAAATACTACATTTAAATACGCTTTTGTTGTTACACATAGTTTTCATTGAGACTAAACTAACTAATGCAAAATGAAATTAGAGATGAAAGTCCAGAGTGCCTCCGGTCGGGCCCCTTTGGCTGTAGCTTAAGAACTCATAGTTCAGATTCACCTCATCGTAAACGCCAAAACCATTTTCTCTAAGCATCATTGTTGGTTTACAAAAATCAGTGCAATTAGTTGTAATATTTGGTTAATGTGGTTACACCAGCCCGCATTATTGACAGCGCTCTTCTGTGTTAAGAAAATATATTTTGAGAGAAGTTTTTGTTTGTGTTTTCTCAAGACGCCGCAATAACACAGTCTGTAGATATCGGTGTTTCTTTGTTATAATGACCTAAAACTAAGCAGACATTCTGGAATAATGGTTCCTTAAGACCGCTGCTCGTGAATATGAGTGGACTGAGCGTTTTAAAAGTCTTTACGACGCAAACAGTGTCATCGGGTCAAGAACCAATCACCCTCTGTTCGGTTCCAAAGTAACACTGGGAAATTGAAAGAAGCTAAATTGAAAAAGTGAACATTTAGATGAGGCTGGAGGCTGCCAGTCCAGAACTAATGTTGTGGATCACGGTGGGGGTCAGGAGAGCGACTGTGGAGGCTGCTGCTGCTGCTGCTGCTGCTGCTGCTCCTCCTGCTGCTGCTCCTCCTGCTGCTGCTCAGGACACACAGGGCAGGAGGAGGAGCAGCTGTCACACTGTAGACCGTGTCCACAGGGCAGAGAGAGTGAGCCAGGCTCCCCACACGACACACAGCACTGATGCTGCTTCCGGTAAACCACCTGCGACACAGAGACACGGCTTTTAAGGTTTTACCAAGGCTCAAGAAGCTTCTGCTCCAGGTTCAGAAAAGTTATGTTTTATTTACAGGAAAGACTTTACCATGTGCAGTACCGTGTACAGCACTATGTACTGTACCATTATCTTGTGCAGTACTTGTGTATTACCATGTGCAGTACGTGTGCAGTACCATGTGTATTACCATGTGCAGTACGTGTGCAGTACCTGTTCTACTGCATGCAGGCAGCTGCAGAGCTGGGCCTGGAGGCTCAGCACAGACTCCAGCGGCAGCCTGTGCAGCAGCTGCAGCTGGTGCGCGTCTAGATGAGGGTTTTCTCCTCTGCGCAGACTCTCCAGCGCCTCCTGCAGGAGAGCCGCCTGCCTCTGCGCCTCCTCCTCGGCCTGTTTGGCTCGCTCTGCCTCCATGGCTAACCGTGCTGCATGGGCTCTGGACTCCTCTGCTTCAGCCTTCATGGCTGCCCACGACTGCAAACATTCACAGAAGACCAGCTTTTAAAACTCTACCATCGACCACAGTCACACCACAACCATTCACTCTTCACCAGAGGAAAAAATTGGAACATATTGATTATAGTTTAAATCATGTAAATTGGTGCTGGTGCTTATGAGAGCGGTGCAGACATCAGTTCTTTCTCCTCCTCTGCCCTCGCACTGTTACTGCCACAGTGACGATAAAAGAGATCATATCACAGAGGTGGTAAACCTGCGGATCTCGACCAATCAGCATGCAGCTCTTTACTTCATCAAGTTTAAGAATAAAATATACGTCAAAGTACCGTTACTTTCCCTCTTTCCGCACCGGGCCTCTCACCGTGTTGTAATAGTTTGCCTTGAAACACTATATTAATACATCAATATCAATACGCACGGTACCACGTTACTGATGTGCGTTCGCTGAGCTGTTGTCAACGCGGCCACAGCTGCCCCGGGTCAGAGCGGAGGATGTGAATCCTGTTCAGAAATGGCATCATTCCTTTTCAAAGACGTCACAATCACTTCCTCCTGCTACATTTGTTGGTCGCGTCCAATTCTTACATTTCCACTACTTGTTACATCCAGTGGTCGCATCCAATTCTTATCTATCAAAGTACTTCGCTCTCTGCTGCCACCTACTGATATGAAAAAGTATTACATGGTTTCTCCAAAGTTCAAAACAAGTGCTCGCCAACAGTGGATGCAGTCATTATTAGACTGAGTAGACAAATTCATCACCAGACAATATCATAAAGGTACACTAGTGTGCCGCGGCACAGCGGTTGAAAAACACTCTGTATCGAACAACACGATGACATGCACCTCCAAAAGGCCCCTCCCACTTTAACACATGTGAACCAGAGAGTGTCAGACCTGAGCCGTGTGCCTCCAGCTGTGGCCCCACTGCTTCAGGGCTCGATGAGCATCGTCCAGCTCCTGTTTAAGCCGCACCGTCTCTGGACACAGGGCCGACGGGAGGAGGGTGGGCGGGGTCCCGGGGGAGCCCTGCCCAGAGGGAAAGTGCTCCCAGATATTGCTACTCATACCATTCAAACCTGCGGGAAAGAACATGTGGACATAAGACACTGAGTGAAACTGTACGAGTGACGGAAGAATACAAATCCTTTAACTTTCAGGATTTAAGCCCATTTCATCTCTGAGATCAAATTACATACCCACACATATTTATTTTCTTTTAACTTTTGGAGAGAAAAAAAAACTAAACTAAAACCAAAACAAAAACAAACAAGAATGAAAAATAATATTTCAAAATTTTATTTAGGGTTGTTAATATTTGGAATAAAAACAAATAAAAGAAAAACAGTGGTTGATTACGACTATGATTCATTAGATAAATACTTCACTGTGGTGTGAATATGATATAAAGGAAACCAGTCGTTACCTAAAGAGCTGTGGGATGGGCCTAAAAAGGGGTTGTCTGATTGGCCGGGATTGGATAAATGCGAGGACAGGAAGGATGAAGCATGGGCCCTGATTGGTGGAGAGGGCGAAGGGGACCCAAAGGGAGCAGAGCTGCTGAAGGAGCCTGGGATATTGACGGGAGCTGAACTCTGGAGTTGGCTTCCTCCTGGAGCCCAAGAAAACAAAGTGAATGAACGTCAGGTGAAAATGTGAAGATTGAAACATTTCTAAGCTGAATTTACCCAGCATGACTCCAACACTGCTCTCTAGACTCCGCTCCAGCGCAGACACTCCGAAATCATTCAGGTCTAGATCGTCCAGGGCAGATTCTGCAGAAGACATTTTCATTTTCATCTCAAACAATGAACTGACACTGATGCAGGACGTGGGTCTAAACGTGTGATGTGTGTGGAGCGTTAGCATGCTAGCATCCTACCAACGACAGACTCCACGGTTTCACTGGTGGGGTAGAAGGGCAGGGCGTTGGCGTTCATCCCAGAGGTGAAGGAGGGTCCTGGGGGTCCCAGAGGAGCAGGGCTGGGGGGTGTGGCAGCCAGACTGGAGGGAATACTGGAGGAGAGGCTGAGCGGGCTGCCCACGGGTAAAAACACCAACAGATCCTGGAAGACATCCTTCTTCATTATTCTTTAGACACGCTTCTTGTGTGATCTGCAATATTGGTTACTTCCATTTTGAACCAGATCGTTTCTACATTCTAGGCACGCACACCTAAACCCCAAATACTTTAAACAGGATCAAGCAAACTTTCATACTTTCATGAATCAACATCAAAAGTTTAAACAGAAGGTGCAAAATCTCTCAACACTTTTGCTTGTTTTGTGCATTTCTTGATTTTCAAACGACGCTGATGAGACAGAGATAAAACATCTATTCACACAAAAACAGTGAACATGGGATCTATAAAAAATTGTGGTATCCATCCATCCATCTTCTACCCCTTAATCCATTTCTGGGGGGGGGGGGGGGGGGTGGCCAGAGATGCCACCCAAAATTGTGGTAATATTATATATATATTTTATCAAGACACTGCCTTTGTAGTGCAGAGGGCTTTTTTTTTTTTTTTTACCAGACGCAAAGTCAATCTCGTTAAATTATGAGATTAAACTAAAAATATTATGAGATTAAAGTCAAAGTCAGAAATTGTCTTATATAAAACTGTTTTCTTGCAGAACAAGGAGATAAAAAGATAAGATAGACTTCATTGATCTCACACAGGAGAAATTCACAAATAAAATTACAAGAATGAAGCTGTAATCTTTTCGCATTCATGTCATAGTCAAAATAAAGAAGTACTTCCCTGCTCAGGGTTCTAGAACCTCTGAATGGATTTACTATTTTACTCTATTCTCAAACTCCTGCTTTTCAGCGTCGTCTACGAATGATTCTGCACCGCGGCTGTGAGTACGAGCTCTGTCTCAGCCCGGTCTTGCCACTCCTGACCCGGACCCTGACTTTAACTTGCGACTGAGACACAGAGTTTCGAACAAATAAACTGTTGCAGTGTGTCTTTAGTTTAGTGGTTCCCAAAGTGGGGGGCGGGGGACGAATGAATGAACGAACGAAAATACAGCAGGCTAAATGACACCGCTAACATAAGATGGACACATTTTTGACAAATTGCAATCTGGTTTGGAATTTGAAAAAATGTATGTAAGCAAGTAATTTTTTTTTTTATATAAATATTTTTTTAATTAGCGCATTTTACCAAGGTCACCCAAAGCGCTTTCCAATGTTCAGAGTTGATGACAGAAGCGAGTCCAGATTTTAGAACACACTGGACCATCAGCTCCAACACCATCCATTCACTCTCTCATTTACACTCAGACTGTGCATGTTTTTAGTGGTCGGGGAAACAGGAGCACCCGGAAGAAACTTACACAGACACGGGGAGAACATGCAAACTCAGAAAGGCCCTGTTCCGACCGGGATTCAAACCCAAGACCTTCTTATAGCGCATTTTACAGACCAAGGTCACCCAAAGAACTTTACAATGGTCAGAAATCAGCGAACCAAAGCGGGTGGGGGGGCAGCAGGAAATGTTTGTGAATCACTGCTGTAGACGGTTTTATGTTTTCAGCTGCTGTGGACCATGGAGCTCCGAAGTCTCCAATATCCACCGACTCTGACTTTTATCTCATTATATAAAAGTTTATTCTCATGATCTCATATCAAGGTTAAAGGTAAATATTCTGACTTTAATCTCATAGCGTCTGGCAAAAATCTTTCTGGACGTACATTTTCTCTTCAAACACAGCCAGAGATTTACTTTGGAGATTTTGGAAAACCTTTGTTCTTACTCATTGTTGCGGTTTGTGTGAACCATTTTATAAAATACATTTGAGCCTGAGTGTGTACATTTTGGAGGTAGAACTGGTGTTGAGTGAGTAGAGAGTGTCACCTGCTTGCTCTGAGCGGAGGCCATGTCTCTGTGACGTTCCAGAGCGAAGCTTCTCTGTTTGGCCTGAAACACAAACCTGGATGTGAGACTCGAGCCCATGATTGTTCCTGCAGCGTCAGTGGATCAAAGCCTAACCTGGTCTTCTCTCTCAAAGCCGGGCGCTCTGCCGTAGCCGCCTTCCCCCGCCCACGGAGACAGCACGTCAGGCCCGCCCACCTCCTCACTCAGCGACAACACACTACCCAGAAGCCCCTGCTCTGGAACCAGGGAGCCCAGGGAGCCCAGGGAGCCCAGGGAGGGAGGGAAATGGTCCATGTCAGATCCCAGGCCCGCGCCCAGACCCCCGGGGCTGGACGGAGGCTCCAGAGCGGGCATTGGGTCTGGAGGTCTGGATGCTGGAGAGCCGGGTGTGGGGCAGGAGGATGGACAGTCGTCTGGCCCCAAAGGCTCTGCAGGAGAGAGAGGTTCAGTCCGAGGCCACAGACACAGGGAGGAGGCTGCGGCGGACTCACTTTCTACATGAGCGAAGGCACAGAAGGGTCCTCGGGGGCAGCTGCCGGACTGCTGCATGTCGTTACACTTTGTGGATTTGTAGATCTAAGAGAAAGTGGAGACAGTTCTCAAATATGTCCAGCTCTCAGTTTAAAGTACCATTTTCCGGACTTTAATCTGCACCGGATTATAAACTACAGGCCCTAATTTTTTAGATAGATTTTGAATTTTGTTGTTGTACAAGCCGCACTGGATTATAAGCCGCACTTGTCCCACACTGTAATTGTAAAAAATGTCGCTCCAAAACATTCATGTCTTATTATAACTGTGAAATAGTAAGACTGTTCTTAATCTTTCAGTGTGAAGCAAAAAAATAAGGAGCAACATCTACTGGTCTCTTCACTTTCATGTCTGTACAAGGAACACAAAAAGGATTTATTATATAGAGATATTTACACAAAAATATGAGGTCGTTCAAACTGTATTTAATCTTACAATTTCATAGGACCTCTGTTTACTACTCACTATAAGCCGCAGCCTTCAAAATGCAAGAAAAATTCTGCGGCTCATAGTCCAGACTTTACGGTAGTGACTCACGGGAGAATAGAAAACCTGCTGATAAGATACAGACAGCATGTTGTGGTCTGATTTGTGAAAGTAAAAGTCTTTCTGTTGGGACAAACTACATTATTGATGATGATTTATGACAGAAAGAGTTAGGTACTTCCATCTCGGCTATAAAAAAATCAGTTTTACATTCTACAAATATGTACTAGAACAATCCTCGGAACTTCTAACAAAAATCAGAACCGTGTGGAGAGAGAATGAAGGTTTGAAATGTTCTCAAATTGCAATAAAACTCTGATCCTGAAACCATGAACTCGGGATAAACTCTCTTTCCTTGGCCTTATCGAGATCAAGTGCCGTGAGAGAGAGAGACCATAGAGAGACCATAGAGAGACTAGAGAGAGACTAAAGAGAGAGACCATAGAGACCAGAGAGAGACCATAGAGAGACCATAGAGACTAGAGAGAGACCAGAGAGAGAGACCAGAGAGAGACCAGAGAGAGGGACCATAGAGAGACCATAGAGAGACTAGAGAGAGACTAAAGAGAGAGACCATAGAGACCAGAGAGACCATAGAGACTAGAGAGAGACCATAGAGAGACCATAGAGAGACCAGAGAGAGAGACCAGAGAGAGACCAGAGAGAGAGACCATAGAGAGACTAGAGAGAGACCATAGAGAGACCATAGAGACTAGAAAGAGACTAGAGAGAGAGACCATAGAGAGACCAGAGAGAGAGACCAGAGAGAGACCAGAGAGAGAGACCAGAGAGAGACTAGAGAGAGACCATAGAGAGACCATAGAGACTAGAAAGAGACTAGAGAGAGAGACCATAGAGAGACCAGAGAGAGAGACCAGAGAAAGAGACCAGAGAGAGAGACCAGAGAGAGACCAAAGAGAGAGACCATAGAGAGACTAGAGAGAGACCAGAGAGAGACTAGCGAGAGACCAGAGAGAGAGACCAGAGAGAGAGACCAGAGAGAGAGACCATAGAGAGACCATAGAGACTAGAAAGAGACTAGAGAGAGAGACCATAGAGAGACCAGAGAGAGACCAGAGAGAGAGACCATAGAGAGAGACCATAGAGACTAGAGAGAGATCAAGTGGCGTGAGCTGTGGTTCCTCGTTTGCGGATGAGCAGGACGTGGACAAACCTCGGGGTGAAACTGCTGCTCTGTGCGGGTGTGGCAGTACTGACAGCCCTCGGTCCCCTCACATTTGCTGGGATCGCCCCACTCCTCGCTCTGCTTCACCGACGGACACGGCAGCGCTCTGGGAACCGTGACAAAACACAAACGTTCACTTTCTGACTTCACATCTGAAACACAGCCGTCGGTTCCTCCTCACCTGTATTTATGCTTGTGCGGGCTGCGTCTGCGGTCTTTACTGTTGTGGTAATAGGGACAGGCGTAACCTTGGCGACACAAGCGAGGGGGTTTCTTACACAGTTCAGTTTTGTAGTGTGATAGGACGTAGTTGTTGTCTGTGATGGAGGAAAAAAACAACATAAGCCATGCTCACACTACAGCAGCGGTCCCCAAGTCCTCGCTGACATTCAAACTGGGCCGTCAAGGAAAGAATACATCATTTACATAGTTATTATTCCAGTCTAAAATGACCGGATTCTCTCCTTACATCTTGGTCTCGTGACACGGTAGCTCCCGCTGCACAAAGACTCGTAATGAAGTTTTACAAACGCAGAGAATGACAGGTCTGTGGGAGCTTTAACATGAGACAGGAGCGGGAAAGGATTAAAGCTAAAACCACGATGCCCGTGGTCCTGCCCGTGGTCCTGCCCGTGGTCCTGCCCGTGGTCCTGCCCGTAGTCCTGCCCGTAGTCCTGCCCGTGGTCCTGCCCGTGGTCCTGCCCGTGGTCCTGCCCGTGGTCCTGCCCGTGGTCCTGCCCGTAGTCCTGCCCGTGGTCCTGCCCGTGGTCCTGCCCGTGGTCCTGCCCGTGGTCCTGCCCGTAGTCCTGCCCGTGGTCCTGCCCGTGGTCCTGCCCGTGGTCCTGCCCGTGGTCCTGCCCGTGGTCCTGCCCGTGGTCCTGCCCGTGGTCCTGCCCGTAGTCCAGCCCGGAGTCCAGCCCGGAGTCCAGCCCGGAGTCCTGACTGTGGTCCTGACTGTGGTCCTGACTGTGGTCCTGCCTGTAGTCCGGCCCGGAGTCCTGACTGTGGTCCTGACTGTGGTCCTGACTGTGGTCCTGACTGTGGTCCTGACTGTGGTCCTGACTGTGGTCCTGACTGTGGTCCTGACTGTGGTCCTGACTGTGGTCCTGCCTGTGGTCCTGCCTGTGGTCCTGCCTGTGGTCCTGCCCGGAGTCCTGCCCGTAGTCCTGCCCGTAGTCCTGCCCGTAGTCCTGCCCGTGGTCCTGCCCGTGGTCCTGCCCGTGGTCCTGCCCGTGGTCCTGCCCGTGGTCCTGCCCGTAGTCCTGCCCGTAGTCCTGCCCGTAGTCCTGCCCGTAGTCCTGCCCGTGGTCCTGCCCGTAGTCCTGCCCGTAGTCCTGCCCGTGGTCCTGCCCGTGGTCCTGCCCGTGGTCCTGCCCGTGGTCCTGCCCGTGGTCCTGCCCGTGGTCCTGCCCGTAGTCCAGCCCGGAGTCCAGCCCGGAGTCCTGCCTGTAGTCCTGACTGTGGTCCTGACTGTGGTCCTGACTGTGGTCCTGCCTGTAGTCCGGCCCGGAGTCCTGCCTGTAGTCCTGACTGTGGTCCTGACTGTGGTCCTGACTGTGGTCCTGCCTGTAGTCCGGCCCGGAGTCCTGACTGTGGTCCTGCCTGTGGTCCTGCCTGTGGTCCTGCCTGTGGTCCTGCCTGTGGTCCTGCCTGTGGTCCTGCCTGGAGTCCTGCCCGTAGTCCTGCCCGTAGTCCTGCCCGTAGTCCTGCCCGTAGTCCTGCCCGTAGTCCTGCCCGTAGTCCTGCCCGTAGTCCTGCCCGTGGTCCTGCCCGTGGTCCTGCCCGTGGTCCTGCCCGTGGTCCTGCCCGTGGTCCTGCCCGTAGTCCTGCCCGTAGTCCTGCCCGTAGTCCTGCCCGTGGTCCTGCCCGTGGTCCTGCCCGTGGTCCTGCCCGTGGTCCTGCCCGTGGTCCTGCCCGTGGTCCTGCCCGTGGTCCTGCCCGTAGTCCAGCCCGGAGTCCAGCCCGGAGTCCTGCCTGTAGTCCTGACTGTGGTCCTGACTGTGGTCCTGACTGTGGTCCTGCCTGTAGTCCGGCCCGGAGTCCTGACTGTGGTCCTGACTGTGGTCCTGACTGTGGTCCTGCCTGTAGTCCGGCCCGGAGTCCTGACTGTGGTCCTGACTGTGGTCCTGACTGTGGTCCTGACTGTGGTCCTGACTGTGGTCCTGACTGTGGTCCTGACTGTGGTCCGGCCCGGAGTCCTGCCCGTAGTCCTGCCCGTAGTCCTGCCCGTAGTCCTGCCCGTAGTCCTGCCCGTAGTCCTGCCCGTAGTCCTGCCCGTAGTCCTGCCCGTAGTCCTGCCCGTAGTCCTGCCCGTAGTCCTGCCTGTAGTCCTGCCCGTAGTGCTGCCCGTAGTGCTGCCCGTAGTCCTGCCCGTAGTCCGGCCCGTAGTCCTGCCCGTAGTCCTGCCCGTAGTCCTGCCTGTAGTCCTGCCCGTAGTCCTGCCCGTAGTCCTTCCCGTAGTCCTGCCTGTAGTCCTGTTCTGTGTGTCTGTGAAAGAGCACCTTGCCAGCGCGGTTCTTCACTCAGTATCTTCTCTATAAGGGCTGTGCTGGCGGCTTGTCCCGACTGACCATCTCCTCCTCCTCCCCCTCCGCCCTCTGCCGTCCCGGAGCCTCCTTGGGACTCGATCACCTGCAGCTCCCTGTTGAAACAGACAGATTGATCAAACGGCCACATTCCCACAGTTAGAGTTTGTCGGTGGATGTACCTGATGTCGTAGACCGGGCTGCGCAGGTCGTGTGATCCGTGGGCAAAGGCGCAGTGGGAGCCATTTTTGCTGCAGTGGCCTTTGGAGTCTGTCTCGTGGATGCAGGATCCGGTTTTGTAATATCGGAGGTGGTATCTGCGCTCCGTGTCTCCTGCCGTCCGGTGAAGGAACGGGCACCTGACGAGAGAGAGGGGTTTGAAAAGTTAATCCAGGGTCTCTCTTTCCGTCCACACTGCGGTGTCGTTTTGACTCTACAGTACTTCCTGGACTATAAACTAGGGCTGCACGAAAAAAATATCGCAAATATTATCGCAATATGGGCGCATGCAATATTCATTTTTTTCTATTTTTTTCTTTTATTTTACTAAAGACAACAAAACAGACAAACACATCAACATTCAACAAATAAAACAAACAAAAAGTACATAAATATATGCATTTGAATGTCATTAATTTTGCCTTTCAAAGCAGATGCAATTTTAGGTGAAAGACAAAAATATCGCAATAATATCGTTATCGCAATACTAAACACTCACATCGAATATCTCTCTAATCTCCAATAATCGTGCAGCCCTACTATAAACTGCAGCTTATTTAGCGATTCGGCCAATGAATGTATTTTAGTCAGAGCTGCCCCTGGAGAGCAGGAGCAGAGTTAGATTATTAGTAGATCATCAAAATCAAAATAGATTTACCAAAGAGCTCCGATTATCACGAGTGAACAGCCTGTGAGTTACTTTACAACATAAAACCCTGCAGCTTATATTCCAGTGCAGCCTAAATGTGAACAACTTCCTTTCTCTCAAAATGAACCTGGTGTTTGTTGCTAAATTGGACTGACATGACAATCATATCAAAGAACCAGGGAATAGACGAAAGAGTCAAATGCTACATGTCTGTGTTTAGTTATGAATGTTATTATATTTTTGAATCTTGATCTTACATTTATCAAACCATTGGATTTGATGATGCTCTGATTTGCTGCACTTTGACTGACAAAAACTAAAACATAATAAAAGTTCAGATTTTCTTTGACAGGTTGAAGTTCATGTTTCTAAAAGTGAAGGAGGCCACAGTAAACCTTTGACCCTGAAGTAACGAACAGCAGACCCCTGGAATAAGCATTATCTACCATTTAAAACTAGTGTACCCAATATTCCATCAAAGAGAAGATAATTTATCTCTCCTTAGCTCCTTGTTTGGTTCAATGCCTAATATTCACATGCATTATTCTTGCTTTGAACAGCTCACAAAGAGAAAAGCTCTCAGCCCTAAATGTTTTAACCCAACACATAAAACCAGTCCAACAGCATTAACATTTGAGAGAGGGTCTGTGAAATCCACTACAGACCTTATGCTTCAATCAGAGGTTTTTAAAAAGGTAAAACGTTATATTTCCTTAAGTACAGCGTATAACAGTTCACTCAACACAGATCGATCCTTACAGTAGTTGGAATACGGAGGACAGTACAAGCAAAAGCACTGATCGTACACACATGTATTTAATAACGGATTGGTCCCAAGAGCCCAGAGCACAAACACTAAAATGCTAATCGTGCTTTTCATTACCACATACCAGAGAATCGTTAAAGTCGTCAAGTCGAGTTTCGTGTTCTGACAAGAGGAGTTTGCATTTTAAAAACGGGAACGAGAAGGAATGCAAGACCCAGCTTTATGAATGTAAATACACAGACTGGGAAACCATCAGACAGGGATTCTCCGGTGAGGAAAGAGCAGTTAGATTAGGTGTGTCCCCTCGTTTACATACATTAAAACTTAGGCAAATAGACTCCTCCCTTTGACGATCGTGGTAAAGATACGACATTTTTCATTTTCACAGAATTCAACATTTTTATTGCCAATATTTCACCAGAAAATAGCGCATTTTTAGTTGAATATATTCCAAAGGGCTGTTCTGACACAGTTAGGCTTTTATCATTTGTATCGTAAGATTGGTTAGTTTATTTCAAAGAGAAAAGGAGCACATTACACTACTTTAATCACAATTAATTATGAACTTAACTGTTTTGCTGCAGAACAGTTTATCTGAGAAAGGTTTTGGCCGCCGTTGAGTCTCATTGTTAACTCATTGGCTGCCAGCCGTTTTTGATGATTTCACTGATTCTCAAGACCCACAGAATATTATTTCCTCAGACCATGTGAAATACAAAACCAGATTCTGAATGTCTGGATTGTCTACTTTGATCAGCAAAAATAAGACTGTTTCTAGCTATTTTTATTGTCCTGTAATCTCCAGTCGAAAAGAGGGTCTCAGACAAATACGTCAATGGCAGTCAATGAGTTAAGAGGACTAACGCTGCAGACCTGACCTCACATGTCGTGCATCTGTGCAATAATTTAAACTAATGGCAGAATGCACGATGTAGAACCAACCACATGTGTCCACTGTCCCTTTGTCCCCGACCCTGATGCTGCCAACATGCACAGATGTAAACATATATGTCTAGCACTAGAATATACAGTATCTTGCTTCATTATTATTCTAAAGTCAGAGATTTTATACTAAATTATAAAGCTGGAGATTTTAGACTTGCTTCGTTATCATTATAAAAGCTAGAGATGTTATTTTCCCACCGCTGTCAGACTGTACAATAAGTCACTTTAAGTCAAGCACTAAGACTGACAAAACCTACACTACTATTGCCACTTTTTAATGTACATAATATATCCTGAACAGACAATATTTTTTGCCTCCAACATGTTTCACACTTCTGTCTTTTGCACAATCTGAGTGACTCTGTGCCAAAGTGACAAGTACATTTATCCAGTGTGAGATCAATAAATTCTATCTTTTCTTATCTTAGTTATTGTCCGCTCCTTATACCTAATGTTCTGTAATCGGTGATGCAACACTGAAATTTCCCCACTGTGGGACGTATAAAGGATGTCTTAACTATAATTCAAAACGTTATTATTTCAAGGACCAAACTCTAAATATGCACAGTGTTTAATAACAGAAAGAGTGAACGAAGAAAACCAAAGTGGGCTTCACTCACTCGTCTCCGTCGGGACAAGTGCCAGACCCTTCATCGTATTTGGTACAATACACGTCCGGGCTGTAGTTGAAGGTTCCGTCTCTTTTCCGGACGGGTCTTCTCCGCCGCTGGTTCAAAAAGTGCCAGTGGAAACAGGAGAAGGGCCTATGTTGAGTGCATTTATGCTGGACGAACAAGGGGCATTGCTCCGTTCGGAACTCCTTAAGATATCTGAAAAACAAAGCCATAATATCAATAAAGATTACTTGATTTGACATGTGCACATTTTGCCACATTGATAAACAAAGGGGTTGCATTTAAATTAGGTTTTATTAAAAAGGGACAGTGCACAGCAACGTTAAGTTCAAACACAGATATGTTCTGATCATAGATACGCAGCTCATTTCCATCTGCAGTTACACCACAGAAACAATACAATTACATAAAATCAAAATTACAACAATAAGAAAGTAGCAAATAATTAAACTCCCTCACTCACCTACCAACACGCAAATTACCAAACACTGTTGTAAAAAAAAAAAAAAAAAAGAACAATCGCGTCTACTACACTCTACCTGCTTCTGTGAAATGTAAACAAGAGAGTGGCCGAGTAATTCTCGTTTTCCAGCCACAGAAACCAATAAACGCGTCACTAAAATCGCTGCAATCGCGCACATTACTACAGACAATACAATAACAATGCCACTAGACGCATAACTACGCCTGCATGTATGAAAATAGGAATAATTGTGTTTCTTGTTAACGCTAGGCCTCCTTGTCCCTCAGCATTACTTTGTTTACATATGCACTAGCCTAGAAGCTAACCACCCCAGTTTTCACTGAATAATTGCACAACAAAAGCTAGCAACCGAAACTAAAATACAAGCACATGTGAGTTTGTGTACACTCGATTAGCCTGTGTGCAGCTAAGAGGCTACATACGTGTAATGTTGAGGTTTCTCGGGCTGTACGTTCAACACGGTGGCGGGAGATGTGGAGCCTCCGACGGGCGAAGGCGAGGACGAGTTGGACTGTCCCCCGCGTGTAGTCGCTGCCGAGGACGACGAAGGCTGCGTGTGTGTTTTAGACATTTTAGGCGTTTAAAGCGAAGCCACTATAACCTTGTTTTTAGCTTGTGAGCTAGCTATTCTTATTAGCTTTGCAATCCGCATTCTACTCCGATGTGAGCCTGCGCGCGACGAGAGGAAGTTGTAAGTCACGAGACTATACGGAACTGTGGGACGTTGAGTCTCCATCAGCTTAGACTGAAATTAATAATATTACAAAAAATAATAAACAAGCAGGGAATACAAGTAGTTTAGGAGTTGGGAAAAAAAATATCTGGGAAAATCCGTAAAAAGTGAAATAAATCTGATGTAATACAAACATCTTAATTCTGTATGACCCAAATCCTCCATGTTTAGTCATGTTTAGTTTCCTGTTTAGTATCAAATGTTTAGTACATTTGATATGAATTCTATAGTTCTGTCTTGTTTTTACGCTCACTGTGCATTTATTTATTGTAAATACATTTTCAGTTGATGAAAAAAAAATCTTCTGTCCGATTTTACGTCATTCATGCTTTGTTAAAAACATTACCACTGCTCTTTGGCAATGCTATGGGCAACATTTAACAACATTTCTCAGATAAAACCAACGTATTTTTTCATTTTAGATCGGAATATTTATTTCAGTTGAATTGAGAGATTCCATTGGCTAACACGCCCGTCTATCACTAGAATAGACCAATGAGCGACGACTCTTTGAAAGAATGACGTCAGACAAGTGTATATATACTGAGTCAGCGCCTTGCTAGTGCATTACGCTCGTGTTGTCATCCAGTGCCGTGTGTTCTCCGGATTGCCAGCATCCTAAAGGTAAATAGTTTGTCCTAAATATCATGTCTTATTCTTAAACTACTTATTACTCGGTTCTGTAAACTATATCTGTGCTGTATTTACCCAACATCAAAGGACTGGAGTCGCTTCAAGCCAGCTCGCGTTAAGCCCAGACAATGGCGTGTGTTTTCGTTGTTGTTTTTTCTCGATGTTATACTCAAACAAAGCCAATATAATCTCCGTTTTGCCGCTCGATTACACTGGGAAGTCTGTGTAAACTTGCCCAAGATTCATGAAGTGTTTTTTGTTTTTTTTTTTACAATGTGTATTTAAGTCGAGGCAATGTCGCTTGGGGGTGAAACTATTAAAATGGCGAAGGCGAGAGGCAGCAGAGGCTTGTTATGGCCTACATATCACTCCAGTCTCACATCGACCACCTAACCGGGTATCGAACCATTTACCCATTCCATACAGACTGGTGTCAAGGCTTGATATTCGTACATTTGGGCAGGGATCAAACCCGTGGCAATGTCTACGTTTCGTTTTGCGGTAGTATTTATATATTGCTGTTCTGCGACGGTGGTAATATGCGCACCAGAGCGAGCCAGACTCTCAGCAGAGCTCAGGACTGGGGGAGGGGAAGTGTTCGAGTGGAGAGCGCTAAGCTACCCGCTGCAGAAGCTGTAAACCGCCATCCCTCTGCTTTAAACAAACGCAAGGTTTTCAATACATCGGTTGTAATGCATTATTTTTTTTTCTACCTTTTTTAGAAGGTAGAAAATGGCCCGTACCAAGCAAACTGCCCGTAAATCCACTGGAGGTAAGGCGCCAAGGAAGCAGCTCGCTACCAAGGCAGCCAGGAAGAGTGCGCCCTCTACCGGCGGAGTGAAGAAGCCTCATCGTTACAGGTGAGGGAGCTGGTCCGTTTAAGATTTTACATGTCGAGACTTGCCTCTTGATATTAATGTAACCTTTGTTTTTGTCTGCCAGGCCCGGAACTGTGGCTCTGAGAGAGATCCGTCGTTACCAGAAGTCCACTGAGCTGCTCATCCGCAAGCTGCCCTTCCAGCGCCTGGTCAGGGAGATCGCCCAGGACTTCAAGACTGACCTGCGCTTCCAGAGTGCAGCCATTGGTGCCCTTCAGGTTTGTACATGCTGCAATGTTTTAATCCTAAACTTCAACATCTGTATTGTATCTGAAATGTTGTGCTGCTTGTGTTTACAGGAGGCCAGCGAGGCCTACCTGGTGGGTCTGTTCGAGGACACCAACCTGTGCGCCATCCACGCCAAGAGGGTGACCATCATGCCCAAGGACATCCAGCTGGCCCGCAGGATAAGGGGCGAGAGGGCCTAGAAGCTAGTGACAACACGACAAATTACCCTATTTATCGTACTTAACCATTTTTGTGGACATTATTTCTTGGGTATTTTTTTTTCTTTTTATAAGTTGACTTTTGTAATGTATTTTAGATTGAGACAGTAAGTCAGCCATTCCACAAGCCTGGGCTAGTTGGAAGTGTTGTGCAGTAGTTTTCTGTGCCCATTTCACTCTGGGTCATCCACTTCTCATCCACACTAAAGTTTCAGGGACCTCCTGTCCCTGCACTGTTGGCATCTAAAGACATTGACGCTAAATTCTAATCTTCCGTGGGGTCTCTCCTGGTACCAGCATGTCCTTACACCAGGTCTCATTGCATTGTGGGCACAAGGGTGGCCCCAGCTGGCCTTCTGGACTGCTTTTTACATGTTTCCAACACACAATTTTGGCAGCTACATTTAATACTGTTTATGAAAATGTTGTCACATGTCTTTCTATTAAAGGTCTTTATCAGTAGAAAGCATTGTTGTGGTCCTTCAAAAAGACAAGTCTCATCTTTTTAAACTTTTATTTACAATATAAAAAAATTCAGAGCTGCTATACAAACCACTCTGTGTGCTTAAAGCCGGTAGCTGCAAAGGACAGACGTTAATGAAGCTTTGTAGAGACTTTACATGGTTTTAGTTCCAGCTTACCAATGCGACAAACTATATCTTCACACTCCTTTACAGAGTTTGCTTTCAGGACCACGCAACAGAAGCCGGTGGAGTGGGGGGTTTCTGGGGAGTCTCTAGAAAAGGTCAGACATTACATCAATGCAGCTTTGAGGTGCATAAAGGGTTAAAGTTCTAATTTGTAATTCAGATTAATTCCTGTGCTTTTAAAGGCAAACTTAGGTACTTTCCTCTGATCATTGACTCAACGTCCTACATATTAAAATAAGCTGTGTTTGGACCCTATTTTTCCTCTTTCTGAGGGTCAAAGATCGCCAGATTTCAATTTATTCTGTACAGTAGGTTTTGAGCAGTTTGGTGCTTTAGTTTCTTGACTGACTTTCTTGACTTGATCAGTGTCATGTATTAAAATTGTGCAGTGCTGATAAACGGCCAACAGGTGGGGCCATTATCCATTCTCGTGTTTAAATTTTGTGTTCATAGTTTCGACCCCATTTTTTACAATTAAAACCTCAGATTATTGCATAGGGAGAACATGCAAAATCCTTAAATCTGGTGGAATCAAATCCAGGATAAAATAATTGCATAATATTTAGAGTAGACCCAGAAGAGATCAAATGAAATCCTGTCAGACACTTGTTTTATGCATTGATTCTTTTGGAAAACTTGATTTCTCGTCCCACGCTTTATTATACACTGCAAAAAAGGAAGTATAGACCAGTGTAGTTCACTTGTTTTCAGTGTATTTATCAAATCACACTTTTTTGGACTGAAGATGCTTAAGATAATATTCATTATTAAGATTTCTTTAAACAAGAACGACATCTTAACAAGTGGAAAAATCCTGATCCACCGGCAGATAATGTATGAAACAAGTGGATTTGTAATGGTAGTTATTGTTTGTTGATTTTTGGAGCCACTTTTTACAGTAATACATTCTTGGCCAAATGACTCCATGAAGAAAACGACATAAAACAATGTGCCTTTGTTTACCAAAGTCAGGTCGCAGAGTTTAACATAAGTCGGACTAGAAAATGAGTAAACACAAGGTGGAGAATAGTATCGTATTACGTATTGTGCGGTGTAGTCCAAGTAGAGTATGACCATAGACTGTAAATATTAACGAACGTAGTCACGCCCATCTCCGCCGTTCTAACTAATGTGCCACAACTTCCGCAGTCTATGGACTGTTTCAAAATGGCCGCGGGGGCTGGAAAGTGTGAAAAAACGCATCTGCGTCAGCTGCACGAGCCCCATTCATTTAAACGAGTGACTTCAAAAGTCCACAGCGACTAAACTAGACTGGTCCAGAACACTCAGCATTGACACACATGTGGAACGGAGCTTTGGGCCTAGAGCAACTTTTGGTCCATCCTGTAAAGACGTTTTCCAGAGGTAAGAAGATGCTATATGTTAGCATTGGCTAATTCTACTTCTGGGTCCACCCCCATCGGCCCGGGGTGGTATTGCAGAATGTCAGCGCACGTCCTTTTGGCCACTTTTGAGCCGGGACCCGCCCCCACTGAGTATGACGTTATTATTTATGTCCTTGTCTTGTGCGCACTGGGGACTTTTGCGTATGTATTCCAATGTGGTTTTACTGCAAATGGCAAATAAATGAATCTGAATCTGTTATACTTACGCCACACAAAAGGCGAATGTGGTGTAGTCTGGTTTGCTGTATCTCCCGACACATGAAATCTCCGGATAGTGATGCTCGAACTCTTCCTGTGCGACACAAAGTCAGTTTCATCAGTCGCTGTCGAAGCCAATCTCAAATCCATCAAAAAGCCCAAACTTTACCGTCTTATTGTTTTTGTCCGTACACGTCAGATGTGTTTCCTTCAGGTCCAGCAGCACTTCCTGCAGTAACAATCCAAACTGAACCATTCCGACCCGCTCACATTCACAGCTGTATTTATAAATTACCTTTCTCTCCAGATTCTTGTGCAGAACCTGAGGAATAGCGTGCTGTAACACTTCTTTTCCGCCAAACTACGTCAACAGAGAATATTGCACCGAGTCAAACCCAAACACACACTGGGAAAGTATGGATCATGTTGTTCTGCAGTTACCATTCCTATATTAGCTTTGCCCAAGTACTGCACGATGTAGACAATCCTGAAAAAGATGTAAAACAAATCAGTTGAATGAGATTATAGATCAGGGGTCTCCAAACTTGTAGCTCCCCACTCCCGTCCAGGTAGAAATGAACAACTAAATTAACATACTTCATATTTCTTAAAGGAGCAGTATGTAAAAATGTGGCCAAAAGTGGTACTGCAGCCTCTCCCACTCTCCCTGACTCAGGTTGCCAGATATGCAGCTGGGACCATAACAGCTGAATAGACAACCTTTTCTAGTTCTGCGGCCGTTTGATGTCCCGCCCTCCACCGTTTCACCAATCAAAGTCTGTGGTCCGGGCGCCAGAACTCACCGTGTGGAGCTAATCTCACTGGTAAAGTACCATGTGGCGCAGAACTAAAAAAGGTCTCGTTATGATTCTCAAATCAAACCAGGATTTCTATCTTTGTGAAAAAGGTGTTGGTTATAGATTTGTTGTTGACAAAACTCTCAGTCTATTCAGCTGTTATGGTCCCAGCTGGATTCGTCTGCATATCTGGCAACCTGAGTCAGGGAGAGTGGGAGAGGCTGCAGTACCACTTTTGGACACATTTTTACATACTGCTCCTTTAAGTTTGAAACATAAAATCAAATAGCGAGTTGCCTTCCGTCCTTGAGACACTGGGATGCGGCGTTGGGTTCGGTGCCCGGCGGAGTCTGCTTGGAGACCAGCTGCAGTCCCGGGTTGTCGGTCCTCAGAGTCCGCAGCAGTTTGACCAGAGGACGGTAAACGGTGCCGTCCTCCTGCTGCCAGCGGACCACCCTCACAGAGAGAGGGCAGCCACGCAACCGGGACAGCACCGCACCCGCCTGGCAACACACAACCACACGCATATGAGACCACACACAAGCCATTAGTACAGCCTCAGTCCTGGGTCTACAGCCTCAGTCCTGGGTCTACAGCCTCGGTCCTGGGTCTACAGCCTCGGTCCTGGGTCTACAGCCTCGGTCCTGGGTCTACAGCCTCGGTCCTGGGTCTACAGCCTCGGTCCTGGGTCTACAGCCTCAGTCCTGGATCTACAGCCTCGGTCCTGGGTCTACAGCCTCAGTCCTGGATCTACAGCCTCGGTCCTGGGTCTACAGCCTCGGTCCTGGGTCTACAGCCTCGGTCCTGGGTCTACAGCCTCGGTCCTGGGTCTACAGCCTCGGCCCTGGGTCTACAGCCTCAGTCCTGGGTCTACAGCCTCAGTCCTGGGTCTACAGCCTCAGTCCTGGGTCTACAGCCTCAGTCCTACTTTGACTTGAGCACATTTACTTTTAAAACAAGTTATGTCAATGAGCCAAGCAGTGCATGTCTTATGTCAAGTGCAGTTTCAATGTAGTTTGTATTTTGTAAGGAAGGTTTTTTTACCTAGACATTTTTCTTGTCCCATTCTGGTTGAAGGCAGTCAAAAAGTTCTCTAAATGTTCTTTCGGTTTCCCCTACCACTAAAAAATGCACAATAGTTTAGACTGTAGTTTTCTCAAAGCTTAATGATTATCCTCCATATCTTCTTCTCAAAAATTGTGCAGCATTGTGATAGAAAACTATTTGATATCCGTCCATTTATTCACATTTTTGACTTATTTTTGTGTGTGTTGTTTCCCCCCATTGTCCCTGTTGTCTGTCATGGTCCCGCCCCCTGGTCCTGAGGGGGGTTGTGGTCCTGAGGGGGTTGTGGTCCTGAGGGGGTTGTGGTCCTAGGGGGGTTGTGGTCCTGTGGTCTGAGGGGGTTGTGGTTGTTGTGGTCCTGAGGGGGTTGTGGTCCTGAGGGTGGTGTGGTCCTGAGGGGGGTTGTGGTCCTGAGGGGGTTGTGGTCCTGAGGGGGGTTGTGGGTCCTGAGGGGGGTTGTGGTCCTGAGGGGGGTGGTCCTGAGGGGGTTGTGGTCCTGAGGGGGGGGTTGGGGTCCTGAGGGGGGGTGGTCCTGAGGGGTGGTCCTGAGGGGGTTGTGGGGTCCTGAGGGGGTTGTGGTCCTGAGGGGGTTGTGGTCCTGAGGGGGTTGTGGTCCTGAGGGGGGTTGTGGTCCTGAGGGGGGTTGTGGTCCTGAGGGGGGGTTGTGGTCCTGAGGGGGGTGGTTGTGGTCCTGAGGGGGGTTGTGGTCCTGAGGGGGTTGTGGTCTGTGGTCCTGGTCCGGGGGGTTGTGGTCCTGAGGGTGGTTGTGGTCCTGAGGGGGGTTGTGGTCCTGAGGGGGGTTGTGGTCCTGAGGGGGTGGTTGTGGTCCTGAGGGGGTTGTGGTCCTGAGGGGGTTGTGGTCCTGAGGGGGTTGTGGGTCCTGGGGGGTTGTGGTCCTGAGGGGGGTTGTGGTCCTGAGGGGGGTTGTGGTCCTGAGGGGGTTGTGGTCCTGAGGGGGGTTGTGGTCCTGAGGGTGGTTGTGGTCCTGAGGTGGGGGTTGTGGTCCTGAGGGGGGTTGTGGTCCTGAGGGTGGTTGTGGTCCTGGGGGGGGTTGTGGTCCTGAGGGGGTTGTGGTCCTGAGGGGGTGGTTGTGGTCCTGAGGGGGGTTGTGGTCCTGAGGGGGGTTGGTGGTCCTGAGGGGGGTTGTGGTCCTGAGGGTGGTTGTGTGGTCCTGAGGGGGGTTGTGGTCCTGAGGGGGTTGTGGTCCTGAGGGGGGTTGTGGTCCTGAGGGGGTTGTGGTCCTGAGGGGGTTGTGGTCCTGAGGGTGGTTGTGGTCCTGAGGGGGTTGTGGTCCTGAGGGGGGTTGTGGTCCTGAGGGGGGTTGTGGTCCTGAGGTTGTGGTCCTGAGGGGGTTGTGGTCCTGGGGGGGGTGTCCTGAGGGGTTGTGGTCCTGAGGGGGGGGTTGTGGTCCTGAGGGGGGGTTGTGGTCCTGAGGGTGGTTGTGGTCCTGAGGGGGGGTTGTGGTCCTGAGGGGGGTTGTGGTCCTGAGGGGGGTTGTGGTCCTGAGGGTGGTTGTGGTCCTGAGGGTGGTTGTGGTCCTGAGGGGGGTTGTGGTCCTGAGGGGGGTTGTGGTCCTGAGGGGGTGGTGGTTGTGGTCCTGAGGGGGGTTGTGGTCCTGAGGGGTGGGTTGTGGTCCTGAGGGGGGTTGTGGTCCTGAGGGGGGTTGTGGTCCTGAGGGTGTTGTGGTCCTGAGGGGGGTTGTGGTCCTGAGGGGGTTGTGGTCCTGAGGGGGGTTGTGGTCCTGAGGGGGTTTGGTCTGAGGGTGGTTGTGGTCCTGAGGGGTTGTGGCTGGGGGGGTTGTGGTCCTGAGGGGGGTTGTGGTCCTGAGGGGGTGGTTGTGGTCCTGAGGGGGGTTGTGGTCCTGAGGGGGGGTGTGGTGAGTCCTGAGGGGGTTGTGGTCCTGAGGGGGGTTGTGGTCCTGAGGGGGGTTGTGGTCCTGAGGGGGGTTGTGGTCCTGAGGGGGGTTGTGGTCCTGAGGGGGTTGTGGTCCTGAGGGGGGTTGTGGTCCTGAGGGGGGGTGGTCTGAGGGGGTGTGGTCCTGAGGGTGGTTTTGGTCCTGAGGGGGGTTGTGGTCCTGAGGGGGTTGTGGTCCTGAGGGGGTTGTGGTCCTGAGGGGGGTTGTGGTCCTGAGGGGGGTGTGGTCCTGAGGGGTTGTGGTCCTGAGGGGGGTTGTGGTCCTGAGGGGGGTTGTGGTCCTGAGGGGGTTGTGGTCCTGAGGGGGTTGTGGTCCTGAGGGGGGTTGGGTCCTGAGGG